CCCAACCGTGAGCCGAAGCCCTTGCGAGTTCGCGGGCCTCCTCAGCCTTGGCTAGCTCGGTGGCTGTCTTGTTAGGTGCGGGAGGAGATTCAATAACCGGTATGGCACATAGGTAGCGATGGGGAGGAGCGGTCATGATCTCGTAGGACTCGGCGAGATTTCGATCACCGTCACCGATACTGCTATCAACATCGGCCCCATCCTTAGCAGGTTGTATATTAGATATGATATCGGTTTGACCTGGTAAGTTGGCGTCATAGTGAGTGGGAGAGGGGCTAGCTTTTTCAACTAAAGCTTGCGCATCGGTTTCTGATATGTAAGATTCGGAGAAGACTACTTCGAACTGGCGACGTCCGTATTAGTTAGATGCGGTGGTGGTGGTCGAGAGGGTAGACTGCGATCATGTCTACCTATGAGGTAGGTAGGCATTTATATATATGTATTATATTTGCATATATCTGTATATATGATTATGTGTATAGACATGTAACATACCTGAGGATATGCCAGAAGATCGTGGTGGATGCTGAATCCTGGCTGGCGAGCCTGGCTTAACCCTAGCAAGCCGCCTAAGAGGAGTAGCAAGTTTTGGCGGCACATGATGCCGGTTCGTCTAGGGATATCTCACATGGACACAATTACTGCAATTGTAAGTATGCGTTGAAGTTGTATACGTGGTGTTGTATTGGTATTGGTATTGGTATGGGTAATTGTAGTAATCGTAGATGCGCCGGCGGTTGCGCTTCGGGTTACGTACATAATGACAAGGTGGCCGATAGGAAGACGGCATTATCTGATCCGTATGTAGAAGCCGATAACGATAACGATAATGATAATGATGACTTACATAAGGTCTATCTTACATAAGGTTAACTAATTATAAAAGGTTACCTAAGGTAATTGCTGTATTACCCTATTACCCGATGATTTGCCATACGTGCATCCTTCGTTTGTTTTCTTGAAACAAGCCGGTCGGCAGCTAGCGAGTTCTGTGTTACATTACTATAGTACGAGGATACATTTAAACATCGTACATGTTATAGGTCCCACATTATTCATTTTACCCACTGCATGTTTTAATTTTTTGACATCCGATATTCAAATCAGACAAAAGTTGCTAGACCACTTAGAGATAAGATCAAGTTTGTCTCGTTAATACTTTCTCATCCTCGCAACACGTCCGGCACGTCTCGATTTTCATTCGCATAAGGTCAATTCCCCTTAGTGTAAAGATAGTCTCTTATAGACGATCATTACCCCCCACCCCGTAGCATCGCTATTAAGTTATTAGCAATTCCCGAGATATGTCCAGGCTATTACCTTCTATAACAGGACTCTTGCGGAATGCGTACCTATCTCCTTGTCACCGAGCATGCCGCCGGGTTGCTCCGGATTAGAGATCCACATCTCTCGGCCCACCCGTCAGTTTGCGGAGAACTGCCGGTAATGTTATGTAGAACTTTGATCGACAATCTGCCACATAGCAGCTCTAGACCACCTAGACCATCTTAACATCTGGATATTGGATGCGGCCTTGTTAGCAAGAGATTTCGCTCTCCCCTCCATCCCTCTATCCCTCCAAGACTCCACGAGTAAAGCAGTAAGCGCACAAATCCCACTACTACCACCGCCGGCGTCTATCCGTAAGCCACTGGTTAGCATCGACCTCCTAGACATGTCACACTACATGTTGGAGAGATCCAGGCAATAAGCACCGGAAGCACGATCTAATCTCCCGCATCACAGCAAAGCACGTTCTCGTCCTACTTCCTTACGTCAATTCCGCAATGATCTGTTATCCGACGGATGACGATGATATGATGCCCGGAACACATTTCTTGTCGCAGATGGCTTGAAGCACCAATAATACATCATCGTTAGACATCGTCGGAAGTCATATTACAACGGATACCAAGCCACTGAAATTTAATTTTACGAAGCGGCTGTGGTGACGTGATGGTTGAGTATCTGGACTTATCCCTGAGTATTAGATATGATATGTCGACTGAGCGAACAAAAATAGTATATCTGAAATCACCATCTTACATCGAGATATGTTCATTTATTAGTAGGGATTCAGGAGAATTAGTTGAATCCCCAACGTCATCATTCTTGACTTGGATGGGCTTGAACGTGGCGGCTACGAACGCGCTGCAAGAGCTTACCGACTGCTATTTTCGCTGCCCGATTACATTCAACCATAGTTCTATGCATTAGAAGCATGAGAAGCATGGCCGTGCATGCATAGACGGGCGGTCAGCCGAATAAACAAAAGTGTGTGTGCACTGGGCGTTCAACATCTTTGCGCACCATGCAATATCCGCCGGCAGCCGCTCGTCTAAGACCAGATAGATCTACGAATATCTCTGAGCAAGTGAACACCAAGATTGGGCCGATATCAAACCGAATAGGACGCACGTTTCTCCATCATCCAATAACTACTCATTACATAGCATTCATAGTTTCATATGCTGTAAAGCCTCGTAGTAGGGCAATAACAGCCACAGCCAGCGATGTGTTGCTAGTGGTATTCTACATCCAATCTTAATGCTTCAATATAATAATGTACGATGTACATACATGCTCTGACATGTCAGGACATGTCCTGGTGCGCGGCCCACCGTCGGCCGCCAGGGATCTGGTCCGCTTAAAGAATCATCAGCCACTCAAAAGGGTCGCGGGGATGGTCGCCTCACTCTCAAGCAATCCACTTGACTCATTGAGACCCAATGAATGCCAAATTCGTCGAAAACAAGGCAAACATTGGCAACTAGGATATGCAAGCTATTGCATGCATCTGTCCTTGACTCCTTGGACGGTGGGCACGAGGTTCTCCCTTGCAGACCGATGCGTGGTCCAGCTCTTCCCATCTTTGGTATTTCTTTTTTCCCCCGTTGCGCTTATGGGTGCCGGGGAGAAAAGAGATGAATGACTTTCAAGTGGACCTCAATACATAAGCAAGATTCCCTTAAGCGAAAGGAGTGGCCGTTCTATTCGTACATACATACACTCATACTATGTTTTGTATATACGCCGCACTCTACTATATACGGATATGTACACAGCTTACGCATGACCGACCCGATAAGTCGATCCTATCGAAATGCAAGATGCAACCGGCGAGATTCTATCTCCTAGTTCTCCATACCTGGGTACTGATTTGGGTAGTACTTAATATACTAGTAGGTCTCTACCCATCTCTGTATGCAACCCCACGTTTTGGATGACGATGAGCAGAGAACGGATAAGGGAAACATGCATGACCAGGTGTGTGCATGCGTGGCTTCACAGCGAAACGAGAAAGACCCGGAATGGCGTCCGAACGCTTAGAGAGAACGCTTAGAGAGAACACTCAGAGAGAACACTCAGAGAATCGATATTTTTCATATTGTCGACATTTTACGGAATATGCAAAATTGTAACAACTTATTCTCCTACCCCTACCTATGCAGTCAGGCCTTACTTACACTACTACTACCTACCTACCATCGGGCTCCGAGGATTTGCCAATGCTTTGAGAGATGGGATTCACATTTCCTCCATCGTCTTAGCTAGACCTAGTCAGTCTTAGTCCGTCTACTATGTATTATCATCTACATAGAGATCCAAGTGGACCTTAAGTCCCCTCTCCAATACCGAATTCGACAACTCGTCATTACAAAAATTGGAACTGACAGCGGCGCTACAATCTTAGCTACTCGTTAGACGATGTATCTAAGCAAAGCTACCACTTACTAACTACCCGCTTCACCTGCTATAACCCTTTTGGGTTCCGATAATTCTTAGTAAATTGCAATCACATGTGCTAGTTACGGTAGCATGGCTCGGTAACATGTCATACACTGCTGCTTACAGTACATACCCTGTCTACGTGTTTCTTTAACACCAGACTCCCGTCCGTCGCCTTGATGAGTTTGCAGAAACAACCGTGTTGGGTGCAATATGTAATAGTAAAAATGGTCGATCGCTGAATTGGCTGACTGCGTCACTCGGGCGAGGGGCCCCCCTTGTAAGGGTGCTGGCAAAACTGACCTGTAAGATCCCGTAGCAGAGGTTCCAGCGTTGAACTCGCTCTGCAATTTGCAAGGTTACATCACATCAAGACCGTCAGTACTTGCAGCTTGTACGTACATGTTTGTTAGTTAGCCAGGCGCTGTCGTATTCTGCAGAACGAGCAGAACGAGCAGAACGAGACGATCCGGATGGTGCAAGTTTACCATCGGCCCTGTCAGCACGTCTTGAAAAGTCCAAGATCAAAGTCCAAGTGGGCATCTCTTGCAGCAGAATACACAAGTCTGACAGGCCACGACGGTCCATCATACCCTCCGGAAATCCCTCCCAGCGAGCTAGTATCGACTGACATCGCTCTAGTCCCCAAGCGCCCTGTCAAATCACACAAGTTCCTGGGACGCTAGCTTGTTTGGCATCCATTCAACGTTGCAAGGGTTTGGAGCCAAACCCGGCCAGGTTGCAAGGCCAAGAGTCGATCTAAGCCCGCGGGATCCTCGTAAATTAAATACCTACAAATCTACATACCTACATACCGGTACATGCAGATTGGGCAAGCGTATCGTGCGTGGGAGAGAGCGGGCGAGGATTACAGACCCGCTGCCGCGCATGGTCCAAAGCCTCGTCTTGACTGACTGGTACATAATTAAGCAACGTCCTTTTGGTTTTCTGGTCTTTGGGTATCCGAGTCTGTGTTTCGTCCTTCCTTTTTCCCCATACTTTTCCTAGATCGGATTTCAGTCCGTCAATAGGTATTGTTCTCGCCTAATAGATCTCGTGTCGACGAGATAAACATAGCATCTATCATCCTTGTTGGGCTCTCTCTCGTCGAGGGTCTACCAAGCGAGGCTGTTTGTCTTAGTGTGAAAAGGGGAAAAAAAGAAGAGTGAAGCGTTCTAGGCGGTCAATTTCGCCTCATCTATTGCCTTTCAGCATCGTTGAATTTATCCACCACCATTGACCACTCTTCGTGCGAACCGGATCTTAGCATCATGAGTCATTGCCCAGATCCGGATCTTGAGATTAAGAAGCTTCGGGCTCTGCTGCAGCAGAAGGATGTCGCACATCGGGAGGCGATGAGGAATAAGGACGAGGATCTTCGCAGAGCGAAGCGAGAAATATCGCAGCTACAGAATTCTGTTTATCAATCGCAAATAACACAATCCTCGAGCCCGAGCGTACCTGATGCTTCTGCTGTTCATAATGAGTTTCAACTGTCGAGTACTGCCACGCCTGCCACACCCTTCCATCAAGATGGCATGTCGAGAAGTAATACAGTTCCTCGCAGCAATGGTATCCATGTGCATAATCGTCATGAAGGTGTTGCACGACAATCTGTAAGATCACTTCTGACCACGTCCTCGTGTGTGACTGGTCAGCTCCATACTGACGGGCGTTTATTAGAATCGACACAGCAGTAACGCCCATTCCATCAAGCGTGCCAGAACCATGTCCCAACAAACACCAACATCGCAGAGGATGGACCGCATCGGTTCGAATATGTCCACTCAATCTGCTGGCCCCTTCACTGGCAATGTTCCGATATCCCCCCAAACACGGATTCACAACGGCGGTATGCAGATGAGAAGTGCTAGCACAACGGACTTCGTAGATAGAGACGAACATATATCATCATATGCCCTTGTTCACTCGCAGTCTATGCGGCCGTCTCAGTCGTCAAGGCATCGACATGACATGCCTACTCTTTCCGAATTAGGTCCTATGACTGGCGTGATGCTTGACCCCGAAGTCTATTTTGCGCAGCACCCGTACCATGAAGAACCTCCCCCTACCGTAGAATCGTTTGGTTCATCCGTACCATCGCAGAACCAAGATGTTGACGTGCCCCAGTTCAATATTACTAATGTGTCGGTCTGCGGTTCGATGACTACCGCGCCTACGTATGATACTGCGCCAATGACCCGACAGAACAGTTTGTTCGATAATCAGTCTGTGTCCGGCGGCGTACGGATGATGAGCCTCGGATCGCAGATGTCTCAAGGCGGCGAAGTACATTATCACGAAGCTTCTCAACAGAATAACAGCAGTGGCGATAATTCGCCCCTAGGAAAGCGACCTTATTGCAGCGAAGACGCTCTTATTGCTGTAGGATCGAGCCTTGCCCCTCCATTCGCCCATCAATATGCCCCTTCGGCACCTACCGACGCGTTCCTGGCGTCGGATATGGAACGATCGGTATCTAGTGCAAGCATGGCTAGCACTCGGTCAAGTTCATCTCTCAAGGCCCGGGCTAAAGATACGCTAAAGCAGCAGTGCCAGCGTGCTTTGAACGCACCATTGAAGCCCAAGCCGAGCACGGAGCAGGATCCCACAGAATCACAAGCCAGCGCTAAGAAGGATGGCAAGACAGCCATCGCGAAGGCTAAATACGTACGACCGAAGCAGCCTAAGGTCTATTGCGACCAGTGCGATGAGCATAAGGACGGATTCCGTGGCGAGCATGAGCTTCGCCGTCATAGGGATGCCAAACACCAAGCTACCGTCAAGAAGTGGATATGTGTCGACCCAGTCGCACATGGCCTCCCCATAGGTATACCAGCTGTCAATCCTCTTAGTAAGTGCAAGGCCTGCAAGGCGCAGAAAAAGTACGGCGCGTACTACAACGCGGCCGCGCATCTCCGCCGCACTCACTTCAAAGAGAAGCCGTCGCGGCAGAAAAACAAAGGCAACGGTAATAGCCGCGGCGATGAAGACAAGCGCGGCGGTAAGGGCGGTGGTGATTGGCCTCCCATGAGCGAGTTGAAGAATTGGATGAAAGAGATCTGGGTGAGCAAATACGAGCAGGATGACGACGATGACGCCGATGAAGATATGGCTCACCAGGTTGTGGATGTTGAAACCGGGGGTATGGAATCATATCCTACCGATTTCAACATGCCGCATAAGATATCGAACCATGATGTGTTCGAAGTAAACTATGGCAATCTAGTCGTCAACACCGACGTCGGCTATATGAACGGGATGCCGCTCTCGTCCGCCGATTTCAACTTCAATAATGGCATATCGCCCGCCACCATGTCACCCAACTTTAATCCGGATCTTTCGGCGATAACTCCCCAGGACCACATGAACCAGTATAGCTCGGCGCTTTCGTCTTCTGCCACCGTCACTCCTATGACGGCTTACCACGAGGTACCACATGTGGACGACTTCGACTTCAACATGGTCTACCCTCAGTGATCCCCTCTGTCTGGGATGACCGAATCTGCCTGCCTAAGTCCTTAACCTAGCCAAGTTGTGCTTCTAGTCGCTTTTTACGCTGTTATTTCCAACACGATATTCTTCGCTTATTATTTGAACCGTACATAAGCCGTACATACATTATTACTTCGTTTCGAATTACATTTATTGCAATGGGTCAACAGGACTACTTATTCGTCGCCGGCTTGTCTTCTGGTTCAGCTACGCTATGGTACCTAATTGCCCACCTCCTAGGTTACATGGAGGGGTACTAGCACGGCGGCGAACTTATACCAGAATTGCATACGAACATAGCGTTTTACCATGGGGGTGTTAAGTTTCAGTTATACGCACCCACGCCCCCCCAGTGAACTATACCGCTCCAATAGATGGTACGGTTGTCGTTACTTGTAAATACGGTTCCCGATAGGGTATCTACGAGGCGTCCCGGCGACCTAGAGGCAGCGCCTCGCTTTAATCATTTCGATTCTCGTCGCCAAGGCGCGGTTCTGGCGTTTAGAAACAACCCTTTTTTTTTGCTTTGCAGGACGAGTTGGAGGGTGAGGGCCCTCCAGGGAATCGTCGTCCTCAGCGTTTACGTGTGTATATACTTGTCACCTGGGCGGGTAGACGGTATGGAAAGGGGGCCCGAGTTTTGACATTTTGGCTTAGCGCGGAGTTGAGGAAGCCATAGTAAGCAGGCAAGCACGATACGACGGCGGGCATGGGATTCGTTGATGTTGTTTTCTCTTCGTCTTGGTCTCCTGGATAATGCTGGTGCGTGGGAGCGGTCATGGGGAGAAAGATAAAGTGCCCTGAGCTCGGCACGGGGTTGTGATGTTGGCCATCGGGTGAAAAAGGGAGTGCATTAGATATGGATGGGGGGGGCGTGCTGGCTGGGTTTACCTGTTCTTACCCCTTTTTTCTCTTTTGACGTACTCGATTGTATTGTAATGCCTTTAATCAGTTCTAGTGGTAGTTGGATACTCCCCCTTTACGGAGGAGTTGCCGTCCGTCCATGTATTTGGCGGATTGGCAATTAAGGTGCGAAAGAGCACACTTGCCAACTCAGTTTCTATCTTCTCAAATCCTTCTCGCTACTTGTGTCTCTATTTGTGCTTATGAGGCTTGAACTAATAAGTCATTGTAGCAACATATAGGACTAACTTGCCTAGAGCCAATACAGAATATCCAAATTCTAGATACCTTATATAAAGGTCGATATTTTTCGAACCTTCTTCTATTGATATCTATTGGTTGATTTTAGGATATATCTTTCTCTTACCATACCATACCCTACTATACCCTACCCTCTTGCACCGCCCACTGACGATGTTTGTATATGCTGCGAAAAAGCAATTCTGCTTATCTCAGTCCATCCCAGCTTCACTTCGACCGGTCACCCCCAACATCAATTAAATGATACCGAATTTGGTATCAAGGTCGGTCTAAAATACTTAGCGACGAAATATTTTTCCGCATCAGGTCGTAGAACGGTTATAACCACAAGATCAATGGTACGGTGAACTATTTGGTTTCAAACTCATTGAATCCGGGTATGCTTCTGCGAGTCATAGGTATGTATCTCAAGCCCGTGAGGGTCGTTTTCCATCTTTAAGAGCAATTCTTACTTAGGTACCTACCTACTTAATCTAATATCTAATTACAACAGACATACTTAAATATTTATTCTACTTATCTCCCATATAACGAGGGTAGCATTCGGACGCATCTAAACGTGTACATGTATGTCACATAGAAAATCCCGGCAACGCGGGAAGATAGAAGAACCATCTTTGAGTGTGCAGCATAGCCTCGTTCCATATTTAGACCATGCGTGCTGCCGGTAGCACATGGCTTTTGGGTTGTTTAATGCCGACATACACCCGCAACAAGTGCAGAATACGTCTATAGATTACCTTAGGTATGGTAAGCTAATCGAATAAACGTCTTATATTGAATAATTAAGGCAGTTATTACTTTGCTGCAAGGGACGAATCAGTTCTCTTACATAGGTAGCCTCACTCACTCTTAAGAGCTGATGGTATAATGCAACCCTATTTGCTCCCTTTTCTAGTTATATCATTACTCTCAGCCTCATCAAGTAAGAGAAGAATACACTCAGCTTCTAACTTGAAAATTTTACCATTGCATACCCGTATGGAGTCGGAGCCCGCTGGCGTAAATATTCTAGTGAATTGGTTCCCCAGTACGAAGTTTCAAGAGGACATTACACGGCATACAATGTCGTGCATGGTTTCTATATAGAGATACTGCCTCGTTCTGATAAGCTGACATAGGATAGGGCTTCTGCACTTTGGTATGACGGATTCCTCTCAGCCGAGAATGGTTGGTTTCAAAATAGCTACCCTATATATTTGGTGTATATCCTATCGAGAATGAGGAATGAGGAATGAGTATGCTTCCGTAACGCATCGCTAAAACCAACTTCTCTCGTATGATCGGCCGCCGCCATAATATTGTCTAGGCACGATGGGCTCATATGTTTCAGTTGTTGACTGCAAAGCAGACTACAACATCACCTTAAATTGCTCTATTGAGCGTGGAAACACTACCATGGGCGAAATGCCGATTACAAGGATCGGGGGCTATACTAAAGGACAATTTCCCGGAGATCCAGATATTGCTGGCATAGGAGTACGTTCTGTACCCGACCCTTGCGATACGCTGAAGCTCATGCGAATATAGATTCTTGCTGTTTTCGTCGCCGTCACCTCGTTTGCGATAATCACCGGTACCGTGTCGATTATTTGGAAACTAGCGAAGAGGTTCCACTGGAAGGCGACCTACGATGAAAAGTAAGAGGAACACAGGCTTCTGTGACTTGAGGGGTGTGTATGAGTTAGCTAACATACCTCTTTCCTAGACAGAAGAAAGAGAGACGATATTATACGAGTTTCTCCGATATCTTGGAAACCCTGGTCCTGGCTTGTAGCGATCAGCAGGTCTTCACAGGAGCTGCGTATGCGCTCACACTTCGGTACTGGAGAGGCTGTACGATCTCGGCCTATCACTATAACATCGTCGCGAATATGATGCTTCTCACCTGCGCCACGCACCTAATATCGGTCACCATCGTCCGAAACTATTGGAGGTTTCCATGGCTAGCCGCCCTCCGCGTCATCTCTATAACAGCTGTATTCGCAGTCACGGGGTTACTCATGACCAACCAGAATGCAGACATTGGCATGCAATTTCCCACTGGCATACCAGACGCAAATGAGACTGACAGCACCATCTTCCTTCCAGCTGCTTGCTTCCAAGGCGGAAACCATACGACCTTAAATACATTAAAGGAGACTATTAAGAATGCTCATGCCTTCTTCAAGGACAATATCGCTCAGTCAACACCACGTAATAAAATCCAAGGCTGGAATTTATACATCATGACCCTTCTCTTCTACGGGGCCGCCATAATCGCCGAGCTGGTCAGGTTAATTCGACGCAGCAAAAGCAGACCCGGCTGGAGAAGTTACGTTGCCAATCAATTTCGAAAATGCGATAACCTCGGAACGACCGCAAGGAAGATCTCGCAGTGTGTATCCACCGTTTATCTTCTGGCTGGCGTAATCTTGAGCTATTCTGTCACCGTCATATCGACACGGTATATATTCGAGCTTCGAAAATGGGTTGATAGATCAGGATGGATCAGCCTACAGAACAACCAGAACCCAGAAAACGATGCCAAAAGCTTTGGCCAGCTGGTTCCTATAATCTCGAGCGTGTTGATTGTTTTTAGCTTCGCTCAGATTATAAGTGGTATGTTATCTTTTCTTTTCTTATTATATATCGTCTTTTTGGCTCATGCTCACTCGGTTTCTTCGCCTTTAGAGAAATGCACGAACCACAATAACCGTAAGCATAGCGACGAAGAGACGCCCTCGAAAGTTGGCACCGTCGAATACCTCGGTTCATCTAGGTACAACATGGTGCCTCAGTCGACTCCAGAAAAAGATAAGCCGATGCACTATAGGTCAGCAGAAGTAAGCACGGCTAGCTTTCTACCGCAAGTTGGCTTCGAGACCCAGTCGCCTTGGGGGGGAAGCATGAACTTTAATGGGATGGTGGCCACGCCACTACTCAGTAATAGCCCTTATTCCTCTGCCTCGGGAACGCCAGGTGCGCAACAGCCTACGATGAATGATTCCCACCATAGCATCTTGCCCGAACGACCTACACCGAAGTCGCGCAGTTTAATTGGAACTTCGAACCCTTCTCTAGAGTCGATGTCGAGGCCAGCAAATATAGATGGATTATAGGTTCGGCAGTCTTAGGGTCGAAAAGATTTGTTATATTTTGTGATTGTAATTATGTGGTGATCTTGGAGTATTGGTGTTGATTTTTTTCGGTGCAGATTATTCCTCGTTCGATGCTTATACTTATTGTTGCCCCTACTTATATCTATCTCTATACCCAAGACTTGCGAACCTAATTTATATAAACGAAGATAATTAGGAGGATTAATGTATTTGTATATAAGAGACTACTAGAATATAATCTAAGTCAAACGACGCAAAGATGTTGTATTGAGATAGATTTGAGAATTGGAGTTCCCCCCCCTGGCTTTAAAGATTCAAAATACCCCTTACAGACATACAGGTTTACAGGCTTACAGGCTTACACCTACCTAAGCACCCCTGCATTTCGTACCTTTTCTTCTCGGTACTTGTGACACCCTGTCAATTCCCCGCATCCTTTCCGCCATCTACAAAAACCCCAACCCCCGCCGAAAAAAAAAAAACAAGAAGGGGTAAGAAAAAAAAGGGAAGCAAAAGCTTGTTTTCGACTTCACGTTACTCGAAGTCATCTTGTTTCTTCCTTGATTTTTTTTATTTTTTTAGTTTGCATCATTTTCTGTGCTATAATCTACTCTTCCGAGCTTGAAATTGACACATCACCAAATCCGATATCCTCTCGATGTGTCTAATCCAGAGGATGAAGATGCCCTTACTCATAATCGTCTTCGACCTGCTTCTTTAGTTTTCTGCCTGAATAGGTACACTATCCTTTTCAATTCCCTAACAGAATGATAAAGGGAGTTCGCGATAGACTTCGCTAAACCATCGTTTTAACATCACGACCACGTTACTCGTCTATCACTCGTTATTAGGTCGTTTTAGATTATCAATGCTTTTGTCAGGATGGCAGACCATGGTGGAGATGCCCCGGCTGTACCTCCGCCAATCTATCAACTTCCAGACTGGGAGACGATAACTCATCCTCCTAAACCTCGTCAATCGCTGTTAGGCCGTATCCTTCCTTCGAGGGATGTTCTGGATGAACCACCATCCGCCTCAGTTCAACGCACAACAACCGCAGACCTTGAGCAAGCCAAAGAAGAACCTGGTCGAGCGTCTACGCTCCCAACATATGCTCCTTCAACTGCTGAGAACAATACGGCAAAATCTAGGCTCGTTTCTTCGTTGCATAAGCGCCTAGATTTGGTATTTCCGCCACATCGAACCTACTTCGGACGCTCGCGACGCTTTCTGTTTCTCTGCATTGTCCTGCCTATCGCCATATTCCTCTTCGTCCTTACCCCGCTGGCCATCGGCCTCGGCGTTGGCCTATCACGCCGCTCGTCCAAGACGCAAAACTTGCCTCTGCCGAGCAACAAGAGCGTGTTTACTGGCGACTTAACATACTACGAGCCTTCTCTGGGTGCGTGCGGCATACAGTCGAACAGCGGCGAGGATATCGTCTCCGTGTCTCACATTATCTTCGATGCCGCGAGCCAAGGATCTGATCCGAACGCGAATCCGCTTTGTGGGATGAAAATCAGAGTTACGAGAGACTTTGTCGAAGCCGGCATGGGGAACCGGAGCGTGGACGTTACTGTGGTGGACCGATGCGTCGGTTGTGCAGCTACAGATCTGGATCTAAGTACTGCCGTGTTCGAGCAGCTAGCACTGCTGAACACCGGAAGGGTGGTTGGCAATTGGGCGTGGTTGAGCTGAAGAGCCCGTATGAGATGCGAATATGAGAGATGAAAGGCATATTGTGTTCTGTTTTAGGGGCGTTATTTGCATATGGAGTTCGGCTAACGGTGGTTTAGTATACCCCTTCCGCTATGATTTCGGGATATGTTAAAAGAGTCTACTGTCAAAGAGTCTACGAGTGACTAAATTACGATTCAAGTCAAGCTAGGAACGTTTGACATCTCTAAGCATAATGCGCTAAAGTGATTAGTTTAACTTAGTAAGGAATTAACTGATATGAATTGATTCATGATTTTCCAAATTAGAAGTCAGAGCTACGGCTAAGCCACGGTGAACCCGGCACCCTTCTATCGGCTCTATGCTCTAGATATAGTGGCAATTTTTAGCCAGTTAGTGTACGGAGATGTCTCCGCAGTTAAGAGTTTAAAGTGGTGAGTGATGATTTTCCGCCAAGTATTGATTTCTATCGTATTCAGCGATCTTTGCCTCCGGTAGCCACCGCTCCAGTGAAAGTTTGCCTACCGTAGCATTCCGAGGTGTCGGGTACAGCACTAATACCATATTAAGAAAAACTAATAATGTTTATACCCACTAAAGTCAGTTCATGATATGCACATGTACATTATATGCTACTTACCGATAAGTTAGCCACCAGAGAAAGCACGCGTTTACACGAGCGAAGTCAAGTCCTCGGCATGTCCCGGACTTGGCTAATAACCACAACAGGAGAGAGACATTAGATTAGAATAAACCAGCAGATTCTTTACGAAGAATAACTAGGAGACAACTTTAGACTATAGTTCAGTAGGGTAAACGGGCTCTATCATGGGGATACAGCAAAATAATGACGAAAAGGGGCTTGGAGAAGGGCAAAAAACAACAACAAAAAAAAACGCCGACAAAAACGAAACGTACAACACCGGGGATTCGCTGGTCGTCACCGACCCAACTACTAATCCGGCGGTATCCGGCTTATCTAAGGGGGAGCGGACGGGACCCCGAGTTTTCCAGATCCTATGGTCGTACGTGAAAGTTTAGTCTGACTTTTTGACTTATAAGTGTGTGTGTGTGTGTGTGTGTGTATAGCCTCAGCTCATCGTCTGATTACGTAAGCCAGCTCCCCTATTTATCAGTCCAGAAAAGGTTCAAACATAAGGTACCTAGGTACCTAATATAACATACTGATTTCCGAACTGGAGCGCATTCTTATGCATATCTGATTATATATAGACAGGCTTATTAAAACATTATCAAAGCTCATCGTTCTAGAATTTTATAAAGAATTAATTGGGTTGTAAAACCCTTGCACGAAATACCTATATGTATCTTGATCTTTGATGATCTGCGTGGTTTAAATGCTAGTGTTTGGGATATCGGAGATCGACCTGGTATCATCCTACAAGATAAAGGATAGTAATGGGTCATTGGCGTTTTGGACCATGTTTGAAGATGCCAATATATACATGATGCCAATACGGAAGATACCCAGAGACAAGTAGATAGACTGCATTTCCCAAGAGTGGTGCAGAATATGTAATTAGCGGTCGGTAGATAGAATATGATGTCGTTTTCTAGGTTCCAAGATTATAAAGCGGAATAACGCTCGATGATATAAAACTAGCTAACGGAATGCCATGAAATTCCGGCATTTATTGGCAAAGGATTTAAGATAAGAAACCAGAATTGGATTAGCGGGCCTTGGAAACGGATTCGGTTGACACAACGACGTCAGCTAACCTTATCAGGTTGCGATATCTACTCTCATAGGCTCATTAAACATCGGTGCTAATAGTGCGATCGGAACCGGTTTGCTGACCAGTTCCGGAGAGAACCCGGCCTCATATTGACGATCCTGCGGTGAGTATATGTAGGTATCGTCCGAATTTTGGCCGTCTGCACGTGTAAGGATCACCACCACTCATAACTCTTAGTTGGGTGATGATCTCTAAGCTACACTTAGAGGCTGAGATATTTTTGTCAATTACATGGTCATATTCTTCATTGTAGAGTCTAGACTAGTTCTAAATATTAGATGCTGCTATAGTTGTCTAGGCACGATGGTATGTCCCAAGTGAATATGGCCTCAGCAACGTGAGACCGAAAAGCATAAACTATTGTTATAGCTTTCCACGATAAGGACAAGCTCCAATAATATCTCTTAGAGAATGGTGTCGGCGGGACTATCGGATGGATGGGCATCTCCTCATCCTGCGAGATGGTGCTTTGATGGAGCAATGCGCACGACTCCGTGGGGAATGCACGTGTGGGAGCGGAAATTTGTTTTCTGGGACGATGGGGATGGTTACTTCTCTTGTAGTGCTACTGAGGGAAATACGACTTCTGCCCCAATCAGGGCTTGAGGGGAGCCGAAGGAGACGGAGAACAAGAATATCCCCATAAGCGCCTTTGCCATCACGCAGAAGCAACTGCTCCAGGTCGTGCTCCAGGCCATGGAGAAAATACGGGGTCTAAGATGTGAAACGGAGACCAAGAGTGAGGCTTTCATTTAGGAGAAGCAAGAAACGGTCCGTCGGGGAGATAGTACTGCCACGTCTACACTCGTCGAAACCGGGTTTGCGGTGGGTAACGTCGGGGGTCACCTAGAGAAGGAACCGGGTGAGTTCACGAACGAGAAGATTAGACCGCCGAGGTATACGCTAGATGAGGTTATTGACGATAATACCCTCACCTTTACATTGCATTTTTTATCTTATCCCCCAGAGATGAGATCTGAATTGGGGTTATTAATGAGGAGACGTGATGTGATCCCCAGCTTTATTGCTATGGAAGGCCCGAATATAAAAGTTGGGACTTATGAGGGGGGATATGTTTTCCCCCTTTACTAGTGATATGACAGCCCCAACTTTCATTCAATGGAACGATGAACTACATACATAGTATGTACAGTAGGATCATTCTACTAGTAAATAGACTCTTATTATTCTATCAGAATGCTAGGATATTGTATATGTACCTATATATCCCGTGACCAAGCCGGGGGGGTTATTAAAATGGCAGTGGTAGAAGACGATACAAGGACCAAAGCAGAGGGCAAAAAAGTGGAAAGATGAGATTAAGAAAATTAATACTTTCCATTTTAATAAAAGTATCGATTGGAAAAGAAAGCCGCATGTGACTAGAAAAATACTATGGTATAGCGCGGGGTCTCTCCATAGTGTATGATAATGCCGTGCCACCGGTGTTTCAATATCATCATTCTATCGTATGGGGCGACAGGAGATGAACTTTTTTTTTTTTCTTTTCTTGTCTCTTAATTTTCTTTGGTTCGTAGGTGTAAAAAAATAAATAATAAGAAGTTTTTTTGTTGAACTCGAGACCCAGGGCAGAGCCGCTTTGGGATCCACAACAGGACCGACTCGGTACTTGCTCGGCCAGCCTAAAAAGTCCCCTTAAGATTTCTTATCCAATGACGCATTATGTTAATGCTCGTATGAGCGAGAATTAGATTTTACTAAAAGATAATTAACTTTAATTCTTTAGCAAAAAAAAAGGTTATCAATTCGATCAATTTATTTTTAAGTTGGAGGAAATATAAAAAATGATACTTGATATTCTGTATATATAAACTCGCCTCTTTCTAACTAAGGGGGGCGAAGTCGCCTCGGCATCCGGCGCTCGTTAAAAACTAATAAGAAACTAGGAAAGTCGGATCCGCCGGAGAGCGGCTCTGTCGGGACTAACCGCAGCGGAGCTCTTCAGTACGTGAGTTGCTCATGAGATGGGCCCATATATAGTGGGTGCCCTATGGTTCCATCGGGGCCGCCGATCAACATTGGTACCTATCCCGACGTAAGTACTCGCGCGACACGCCGTCACGAGTCCGATGGGGTGATGACGCAGTAGGCGAGGTCAGGTCAGGGGAAGGAAAGAAAAAAAAAAAAGAAGTTAGTTAAGAAAGTTTTTAGTCAGTCTTAGTTTATTCCGCATTATGCCATAGCATAGGTAGTAAAGTTTTGTTCAAGGTTCAGAAAAATACCTTTAAAATAAGACCGTGAGCCATTGCTACCCCCTATGTATATTAAAAGAGAATCCGCACATCTCAAGCTTGCCTTCAGCTTGCAATAAGTCATTCATACTCATCTTTAATAATTTATTATCATCGATAGGACAGCATAGTCAACATAGTATGCCATTCCTAAAACATCACACCGATCAGGTGGAAGCACCTCATGCCGCGACTTCAAGCACGGCAGGCCCTGCTGCCAAACAGGAGCAGAGCTCAGAACCTTCGCCGGTAGAACAACAAAAGGTTACCTTCATGGCAGTCTTCCTCGGCGCCGTAGCTAGTATAGGAGGATTCATGTTTGGATATGTTAGTGGTCAGATATCAGGTTTCTTCAACATGGACGATTTCGCCCAACGCTTCGGTGAAAGGGCAGACAACGGAGAATATATATTCAGTGCAGCGAGACAAGGAACGATCGTCGGTCTTCTTCCTGTCGGTTGTTTGATCGGTGCCTTGATTGCCGGACAACTCGCCGACATTATCGGCCGTCGCTTAGCTATCTCTCTCTCGGCTCTATGGTCCTGCGTCGGAATCGTTATCGAGATATCGTCGCAGACAGTCTGGGTACAATTTGCCGTCGGTCGTCTAGTAACCGGTTGCTCGATCGGTGCCCTTTCCGTTCTCGTCCCCATGTATCAGTCCGAGAGTAGCCCGGCCATCATCCGTGGTGTCCTAGTATCGACATACCAACTTTTCATCACCCTCGGCATCTGGACCAGTTACATGGTCGACTGGGGTACTGCTCACATGGAATCCAGCGCGTCGTGGCGTATTCCTAACGGTATCGGTTTCCTCTGGTCCCTAGTCCTATGTCTCGGAATCCTTGTTCTCCCCGAGAGTCCCCGACACGCGTATCGCAACGGTCAAGAAGAAGAGGCACGCAGAACGATTGCCAGGTTGGCTGGTGTCGACCCCCAACACCGCAGCGTTCACGATCAGATCACTGAGATTCGGGTAAAGCTGGACGAGGAGAGAGCCGGTGGTAAAGCTAGCTGGTTCGAAATATTTACCGGACCCAGGATGCTTTACAGAACTCTCTTGGGTATGGTACTCCAGGCTGGTCAGCAGCTAACGGGTGCCAACTTCTTCTTCTACTACGGTACAACGGTTTTCAAGTCCACTGGTCTCAGCGACAGCTACGTCACGCAAATCGTCCTCGGAACAGTTAACGTCGCCACTACAATCGCCGGTCTATACGTCGTACAGAAGGTTGGACGCAGAAAGGCACTCATCGCCGGTGCCGCTGGCATGATGGTTTGCTTCCTGTAAGTTTTCCCCTTTCGTGGCAGAAATTTCATATTTCCATCGAAACTAACTCTTATCACTATAGTATCTACGCCTTCGTCGGCCACTTTGCTTTAGATTCGACCAACCCCCTGAATACTCCCGCAGCCGGCTCAGCTCTTATTGTATTCTCTTGTCTTGCAATTGCTGCATTTGCCACTACTTGGGGTCCTCTTGTATGGGCTGTCGTTGCCGAACTCTACCCTTCTCGATACAGGGCTCCTTGTATGGCTTTGGCCACCGCTTCCAATTGGTTCTGGAATTTGTGAGTATAAGCCCGTCTACGATCTATATATATATAATGCTAATAAATGACATAGCATGATTTCGTTCTTCACTCGATTTATTACCGACGCGATCGACTATTTCTATGGCTTCGTGTTTGCAGGCTGCTGTGCCGCTCTCATCGTCATCGTCTACTTCTTCGTGATCGAGACCAAGGACCGAAGCTTAGAAGAGGTTGACACCATGTATCTACTTCACGTCAACCCTATCAAGTCCAGCTCCTGGGACGGCAGCAAAGTGCCGGAAGGTGTTACTGAGGACTCAACTCACGAAGAACACGCCGAGGTCTAAAAAACCAGAATGAAATATAGATTGTAGAAATAGTATAGACTACATAAGTTAATTTTAATTTGCACATATCATAAGCATCTACCTAGTTATCTAGTTGTGCGGTACATTCTTTGAAAAGATCTTTTTGAATTCGATAGTCATTCAATATTCACCTCGTAACGGTTTAGTATGTATTGTCTACTAACTTGTCTTGCTATTATTTTCGCACTGTGAAAGGGTTGGGGCGGTTGCTAGTAGGTAAGGCGAAAATGTGGTCTGGAAAACTGGAGTATACAACAACGACGAAGTGGGTTACGGCGAAATAAAGGATGCATGTAGGAAATAATATATTTTATTAGCGTCCAGCTTCAAATTAGTAATGGGGCTCTTCGGAGATTTGTAAAGCCTCAAGAGGGTCACGAGCTCTTACTACCTAGCTACTGACTTGCTCTCCCACTTATACATGAACTACCTAGTTTAAAGGCTTCTCCTGGAAGCGACTTCTTAGTACCCAGTTATTATAGCCCTAAGCAGCCGTCGAATCAGCTTAAGTTTTTATAATAGATGACGCTTGGCCAGTCCATTTTCCTATTCGTAAATCCCGTTACGAGTTTCATCCCTTACTGTCTCCAGGTCGCTTTCCCGATTATTATTATTATCGTTGTCGGCTTCTACTTGAAGAAGCCAGTCGTTAGGGTTGGTGAGTTGAGGAATCACTAGAAAAGGACCATCGTATAAAGTCTCGGCTCTCCAGACTTCCAACGCGTGGTTCCCGACAATATGCTGCTGAACCAGGTATTGCTCTAAGTTTATACACGTAGGTGTCGACCCTTGGGTTTCCATCGAACCGTTCGTAGGCTGTTGGGTAGAGAAAGCCCGTGTAATGAGAGAGGAACAAGCAAGGCATAAATGTCTATAATGGGCCAGTCGTTCGTTATCGCCGTCGTGAAGCGCCCTATGATTGTCGGGTTCGTGCATATGCTCGGACGGCAGCTGGTGTTCATCTGAAGTATAGTTCGTATTATCAAGGGTGGTTTCCCTTTCTGGTGTGTCTTCGATTGATGTGTCGACAGCAAGTTGTTCTCTCCCGTTGATTGCTGGGGCCATGCTGGTGTCGGCTTGAGGAAGCTGTCGATGTCTTCTTTGTCGGTTTCTTCTACCGGGAAGAATCTCCTTGAAAGAATTAGCCCAGATGGAAAACTTTTATTATTAGTTTGTTAAACTCACAGTTTGATGAGGCATGTTTAGGTATTCGTACTAGAAGTTGCCTCAGCTCATGATGTCTGCGTCCGCGTTCTTCAAATTGTAATTATTCCTGCCTAAGCACCGTCCTTCTGGCATAGTTTATGGGTATATTTATGGTTAGTTATCCCCTGAGTACACCAATCGGTCCAAGAAAATCTTCATCAATGTACCCTCGCATAGTTATGATGTGGAAAGTGTGATAAGTCATATCTCACGTAGTAATATCCGATTCGGCTATCTCGAAGGATGGTGTGGCGCGTCTTTCGACGCCATTGTCTCTGGGGACTTTTGCTCCCAGCTCCTGCAAGCCCCTATTAAAAAATAATAAACACCAGCCGAGCATGTTTCTAGGCCCAAGGTGATTTGTTCCATGCAGCTATGAGCAACTGCTGATTAATTCCCACCCTGGCCAAGGAAGAAGATAGAAAAATTATATACTGGCTACGTACCTAGATCCATGCAATAAATCAAGCTATTGGCATTCACTCCAAGTTTCGTTGGGAGTTATAGCTTTATTGTCACATTCAAGTCATGCCGGCACCCTTTCATGTTGTTGCGATGTTACCGAATGAGGTCCTTGCATGTATGCGTGACAGGTGTCAATACTATATCTAAAAACACCTACGAGCTGGAATAATAAGTCAAGTTCTTGGCCTTTAATTCTGGAATGACCTTACCCTAATTTGTTTTATGATTTGGTTGGTGGCTGGTAGATAGACATCTTTTCCCTGCAAGCCGACGAAACAGCTATCAACATCGGGGCTAGGAAAAGCTTCTTTCTAACTGCTGGGATTGTCTTAGCTCAGTATTCATACATCGTTTGATTACGGTTAATGACGGTCTACATTGTGTATAGTATTAATGTAGTAATCAAATAACCTGTGTAAGAAAGGGGAAGGGGAAGGGGCCAATCTCCCGGCTATCCTACCTTTGTGGCCTATAGGCTAGATCTTGGCTGTCACAAATCCTTCGAAGACTTAATAGAAATACAGAGTCGTTTTCCGGCCCGGTGATGTAGAGCCTACCTAGCTAGCGTAGGCTACGTGTACTGATCGCCAAAGACTCACCATATTGTATCCTTACAGGGTGGACAAAAGTGATGGTCCTGTAAGTCTTGATGACTGACGTGGCTGCATGATAATTTCGGGAGGGATTGCAATGGGATAGTCCTTATTATGGTACTGTACGAGCCTGTGTCGAAGAGTCGTATCACTATCCTAGTTCGAATGTTCGGGCCGTCCTCCTCGGAGACTAATACCGGGCCAATTCCAACTCAACAACACATAGAGGTTTCGAGGTTCACATAATGATAGTTGAGTAAGCGACAAATGACTCGTAGTATAATTTGATTCGGCTCCATGGTACATTCTCTCCGACTTGTGCGCGAGTTGTAACAATAGGGAGGCATTGCCACTGTGATATTAAGTAATGCTTTAAACTGTATCAACATACGTGTTTGTAAATGCGCCCAAGTCTGGATAAGAGAAACTTGTCTCTCTCCCCGAGCAATTTAAACATGGCACCATGTAGCAATCTATTAGGTTATTGGTTTATATGTTTTAAACGATATTAAGATTGATGATGCCTTGGGTGGGATAGCCGGTACTCCCCTGAGGCAAGCAACCAAGAAACGTCAATGAGAAAAAGAAAATAGACAACTGCGCAGATGCATTAAACGTACCTTATTATGAGTTCTAGGACTTACATGGTGATTAGATAGGAAGACTCGATAAGAACGAGCACCGTTGGTAACCAGAAAAGGGTGCGGGCGCCACCTCTCCTAACGTGCAGACTGCCAATAGCTTACACGTCGGCTCCAGGGCTAAGCGAATAAGCTATAGTTTATTAAGGACGCTTAAATAAGTAGCTTACATTATAGCTAATATTCTTAGATTTACTACTTTTCCCGTGCGTACGAATTTCCATGACGGTAAGATGCTGATTTTGCAACTAAGAAATTAGAGACATCCCGTATTTTATTTTATTTTCAAGGGCAAATTTAGATCACACATGTTTAGTGCGTATCGTTAGGTAGTAATCGTTAAAGGTGTGTAGGGAAAATATACCCCTATATGAAAATACTATGGATATGGTGAATGGTGAGTAAGTAGCTTCACCAGCCACTGATTTAACACGTCGACAGTTTTTAAGGATGTCGATTACAGCAAGTGTAAAAATATTAAAATTAACCCTGATGATCAGTTACACAACATTGTGCTGTCACGCCTTCCTTTTTTTTCATGGTTATGAGGTAGCCAGGACAATGCTACTGAAGTACAAGCTTTGGCAGGACAATCCAAGATATGTGTCCTGATCTGGCCTTTTTTTAATTTTTTATCAGAACTTAGCCCACTAACCCATTATTCCCACACTATTGAAATATTCGGAATATTTATGTACGTGAGTCATGCGTGTGCTGCATTGATAAGGCTGGGGGGAGTTTCTACACTTTCGGCCACAGAGATTGCCATGACGGAATAAGCCCCGGAATATTTCTACAGAGTCGATATCGGTAATACCGACCGGAGTGAATCTTATTTATATCAGATTACAGAGCTACTAAACTAAGAATGGCAATAATGTCTTATATTTTTACTCGATAATATCGAATAGAGTCCTTAGGTATTAGCATCTTCTAAGCCAACTAACTTAGAGAGGTAATCAAAGAATACCGCGATTATTCATTTCTTATATAATATACCATGGACAAAATGACCTTGCCAAGTGTACGAGAAACGGATAGCAATACCGTAGCAACGTGGCTGGGGGGCCAATTAAGCGATACCAACTTTGCTGGAGTGAAAATACTGTCAAAAATGCCTAACACTGGGCAAATTAGGGAATCTAGGTTACTTGCCAGTGACCATCCATGTAACATGTTGAGCTCTCATTGTAGGCAGATTAGGTATGCTTGAGTTTTGATCCTAGGTAATAAGATCGATTATATCAATAATCAATGCCGCAGCCGTTTTCTCATATTCAATCCACCTAATTGATTTTGATCCCGTGTCAACCTATGTATTACCCGAAATGACTTTTGGCCCTTGAAGTCCCAATAGGTAAGGCTACCTCCCGCCGATCATAAAGGGGAATTACAGGCCTTGGCTTTATATCTTTTGAAGATATCGGTTTTATTACGAGGTTTCTTAATTGTTACAATAATGCCCCAACACAATATTAACACATGACCATTTTTACACTCTCCGACTCGAATACTCGCCGAAAGATCAAGTTGGGTTTACGGTCCTCAGCTGGCTTCTCGATGCTACTATAATTAATCGTATATCTATCCGCATTGCGGTACGACGCTTGAATCTCTTGAAATAGACATGATATCATATATTTAGAAGGCTGGCAATTTAATGCTCACAAAGAGGGAAATTGCTTGATGTGAGAGGCGTTCAACTCAAAACTTGCTTACAGAGAAAGGGGAATATTAACTACTATTACTACAACTACATACAACCAAAGTTTGTGCCAGAGGCTAATAAAGATGACTTGCAGAAGGACCGCAGTGAAATAAATCAACTACGCCAAGCGTACTAAGTAGGAATTTGGGGTCGCGTCTCGCATTTTTATAAAGAAAGAGTCAAGAGAAATCCAGGCCAACCAAATCTGAAACCTATGAGGCTGTCGAAAATTTTGATTTGAATAACGCCCGTTGTGGGATTTCATTTATATGGTAGCAGCTATTGGCTAAATCTGTTTGGTTGGGATGGCCGGTAGGATCATCTGGGTTACAGTACATATATACTTACTTATATGTTACCCTTCTATTTATTTCGCGACGTTATCGTGCCTGCAACGTAGATCCTGATTGGCTTTTATGCAAGGTAGCAATACTCACCGGAAAAGTCGTAAGAGGTAAGTTGTGCTTCTCTATGATCCTCCAGAAATTCCCCAGCTACATGACGAAACGTATAATATGTGCGAAATACGCCCCCTACTTCCGATAAGCTGAATTCTGTGTATCATCGAGGAAATTTACTATTACTCCTTATATTAAATAACTATTTATTGTATAGGTAACTATATTTACCTATATATATAGTTACCTGTTAAATGATGTATTAGAAAGGTTACATCACCGCAAACTTTAATATATACCCTTACCGAGCGGTGATTTTGAGCTTACGAGATTAATTTGATTATGGTGGGTTACGATGGGCTTATTGACCTTATGTCATATTGCGGCTCAGTCGCGATGTCGACGTTGTTAGACTAGCCCCCTATATCTAAGGCACTTGAGATATTTATCAACCTAAATTGGTTCCCGCGATAGCCGTATGACTGTTACACCCGTTGAGACATAGATTCGTGCTATCCTAAGCACATGGCAGCTGATCTCAAGTCGATCGATTCTTCATCCTCCCCGCGAATCCTCCCTTACTACATCCTATATCACTCTATGATAAACATGCATTGTTTCCGGATTGTGTCAGTCTCTAGGTCACCATAAGTCTAGGGTATTTCTCTCTCTAAATACCCCGCCGAGACCGTTATTAGTCTGGGCGTGTAGAGAGAGCAATTAAGCTATCTTTGCCATTCCCATTATGAGACGTCTCCAAATACGTAGTGGCTTACTCGCAAATTATAGCCCATTTACCTCTGGTATATCATAGAATGGACACAGTCAGCTTTAAGAACGAATATTTATCGAGTTTTAACTATAATAAAATACTAGACTTAAGGTCTACAGAACGCAAAAATTCAATTCTGCAACTGTCTGGTTCAACCACAACAATCGCATTACCTACCTAGCTATTATCCTGAACCAAATCAGATTTATACTACTAATGACTGGCCTATGTTTTATTTGCGCTAAGAACTATATCATCCCAGAGCAGACCGGCATATTCCTTACATCTACGGGCAGGTCCTTCGTCCGATAATAAGACCTTAGGAGCGAGTTTATCGTCTTGTCATACCTTTAATCCCTACTTTTAGCTCTTCGATACCGCAAATAGGAGGACCGTGACGTTAAGGGTCGGCCTAAAATAAACCTTATATTGACACCTCTACCCTGATAGCGCTCAACAACCTTTCGTTGTACTTGATATGTCATCGAACGAAGCTGGTCTTAGCACAGGGCAGATCATAGCCATTGTCGCATCAGTGGTGACGGCGGTGACGTTATTAATCGCCGTTCCAGTAGCAGTGCGTTGCTATCTGATACGACGGCAGCAGCGGCAGCACGACATCAAAGAGATACCGAAACGAGAAATAGGAACATCATCAGATAGTATGGTATCTCAGATAGAACGAGGCAGTACTGAGGAGCCCAGAAATTCGGCTGCTGACACCATCCAAAGTTCGATCTGGGGGGATACAAGGGGCTCTTTCGTCGTACCTGCATCCATTTTCAACAGCGATGATGACGTCTGGGATAGTCGACAGTGGCCGCTACCACCAGGTCATTCAGAACGATACACGTTTTTTAGCGAGAGAAGTTCAATAACGATAGATGACACAGCAGAGATTGAGCAATTAGGCAAAGGAGATCACAATGGAAATATGGACGAAAGAAGATATAAGATGGAGAGTAGATGTGATAGCATCTGGGGAATCTCCGAAGCGGGCATAGCGCATTGAGAAATACTGTCGTTTGTATGAGATATGAATAATGATATAATGCCCTTCATGAATTTTTTTTTTTTTTTACACCTTATACATATGGAATATATGGAATATATGGAAGATGGATTGATGATACCAAGATTGCGGTTTCTCTAGATAGATCTTCACAGATCAGCACTTCATCGGCCTATTCGGATCTGATAAAGGAGAACCGCCGGGGGACGGGGCTTGGATGATCAGCCGGGAATAAGCCGATTCGGAGTAGTGGATCTTAACTGGGGATAAGCATTGGTGCGCTAATAATTAAGCAGTTGCTGAAAAACCTGGGGAAAGGAACTGTGATCTGGGCGAATGGAAGTAACTTTAGGTGATTTTAGGTGACGTGCCAATCAATTGCTTAGGTTTAGGTCCTTTGCAGCTTTGTCGGGTCGCGACTTACTTAACTTGAACTGACCTGAAAACAGCAAACAGCCCCGGTTCCTAAGCTAGGTAATTCTCTCCATCAGCTAATTAATTCTCTATCAGGATCCGACATCGTTCGACAACTTTCCCAAACCATCCTAAAATTTACTCACACAAGTCTTTTTTTTCTTTCCTTAACTTCGGACTTAAACCGTCGGACGTTTGTGAAATCGTTAACTTCTTGTTGTTGTTATTCTTCCTCTTTTACCTTCCTTTCTTTTTTTATCATTTTCAATCTCCGATAAAATACCTCTTTCACCATGCTTCCCGCACTCCGTATCGCCGCTCGCCAAGCTGCAACTCGTCGAGGATCGGCTTCAGCTATTGCCTTCCAAGCTACGAGAGCTGGGTCCACCTGGGCCAATGTGCCTCAAGGTCCTCCAGTACGTTATTCTCATTGCCCCATGCTTCTGACATAATTGAAGATATAATAAACGAATGAGAAATGCTAACACTGGAATTAATGTGTAGGATGTGAGTTTTAATGTCTTCGCTGCGGATTTATCTCGGATTCGTAAAGACCTCGTTTTTAGTAAATATATAGCTAACACAAAGCTTTCCTACTACTCACTAGGCTATTCTTGGTATATACTTCTCTCTTAATACTGATAATTAAAGCTTGGGATCACTCTACTTACCTTGCGTAGGTATCACCGAAGCTTTCAAGGCCGACTCCTTTGAGAAGAAGATCAACCTAGGTACGTTAGGCATCCCTTAATCCCCCATTGCGCTCCCTATATCTCAATGGTCAAGGCGAACCTCAGCACTCCCCGAAGACTAACAGTCCTGTCTAGGTGTTGGTGCCTACCGAGATGACCAAGGCAAGCCTTATGTGCTCCCTTCTGTCCGTGCCGCCGAGGACAAGATCGTCGCGAAGCGCTTAAATAAGGAATATCTTGGCATTACCGGCCTCCCCGAGTTTACCACTGCAGCCGCTGAGCTGGCCTATGGCAAGGGCTCATCTGCCCTTGAACGTCTGGTCATCACCCAGTCTATCTCGGGCACTGGAGCTCTGCGCATCGCCGCTGCCTTCCTGTCCCGGTTCTACCCGGGCGACAAGACTATCTACATCCCAACTCCTTCGTGGGCCAACCACAAAGCAGTCTTCCTCGACTCTGGTCTCAAGGTTGAGCAATACCGCTACTATGACAAGAACACTATCGGTTTGGACTTTGAAGGAATGCTAGCGGACATCAAGGCCGCTCCCAAAGGAAGCATATTCTTATTCCACGCTTGCGCCCATAACCCGACTGGAGTCGACCCTACCACCGAGCAGTGGAAGGAGATTAGCAATGTCGTTAAGGCTCAAGGTCACTACGCCTTTTTTGACATGGCCTACCAGGGTTTCGCCAGCGGTGACACGAACAAGGATGCCTTCGCCGTACGACACTTTGTCGAGCAAGGCCATGACATCTGCCTAGCGCAAAGCTTTGCTAAGAATATGGTACGTCAGCTGTTTTCTTTTCCGCCTATTTGAAGCATCGTGGCTTGGCTAACGCATATGAAACTAGGGTCTCTACGGAGAACGTGTAGGTGCCTTCTCCATCGTTGCCTCGTCACTTGAGGAGAAGAAGCGCCTCGAGTCTCAGGTCAAGATCCTTATCCGACCCCTATACTCGAACCCTCCTCTCCACGGTGCACGTATCGCATCTGAGATCCTCAACGACCCGGCTCTTAACAAGCAGTGGCTAGGTGAGGTTAAGGGCATGGCCGACCGCATCATTTCAATGCGTGCCCTCCTCAAGGAAAACCTTGAGAAGCTCGGCAGCGCTCATGACTGGAGCCATATCACTTCGCAGATCGGCATGTTTGCCTACACCGGTCTCGATGCCGCCTCTATGGAAAAGCTGGCCAAGGAACATAGCGTCTATGCTACAAAGGATGGTCGTATTAGCGTCGCTGGCATCACATCCGGCAACGTCGGACGCCTAGCCGAGGCTATCTACAAGGTTAAGGGTTAAGTTGCCCACCTTTTCTACTTAAGTGAAGAAGAGTGGAAATCTTGCACAAGGGGAAAGTTCTGTACGATGTGAATATTTCGAAGGGGAAAAGTAATAAAAAAAAGCACCATACCCGATATGATGGTACGAGATAGACGAATGACCTAAATGGATGGATTGGTTGGTAAAAGCACCTGTTCATTGCGATATTCCTCTGGATGATAATAGGGCGGTATTCTTGATACATCTCTGCTATTTCCCCCTTTCCTGTCTTTTGCATCTACTTGAGCTGTCTCACCGAAAGATGGACGGTAGACAGCCGATGCTTGTGATACCACCACCACTAGATACCTACACAAATGGAACTCATTACGATATCTTTTTACTCACGAAATAACAGTGTTTAAAATGTTGATTATGCTTGCGATTAACAGACTGGCCTGCTAGAAAAAAAAGGGTTGCGCGTCGAGATTAGGGAATATCTTAGGTTAGGTAAGTACCAGGTAAATGGATTATTTCAATCGATCCAAATCACCCTTGACTTCATTAAGCCTTGACTCCATCTCACGCCATACCCTAGCCATCTCGCGCATCGTACGCTCTTTGCTGCTCTGTTCTCCACCATGCCCCCCTTTCTCGACAGGCATCACCCCGTAGTCTTGTAGCTCCGCTTGGCGCACACGGAGAGTATCAGCAAGGCGCATCCGCGCATCACCCAAGTGCCGCTTGTAATTAGCCAAGGCGCGCCTCGCTTCGGGAGGGTACACGGCGCGCCGGGTGTCCCAGAGCAAGGCCTCGGCGGCAAGGGCCCAGACACGCACGGAAAGATTAGCCTCCTCGGCCCGTAGCTCGGCGGACCGCGCGGCGGGGCCGTGTTTCGACTCGAGCACGCGGACGAGGTGGGCTAGAATGGCTGCGTGTCGCGCTAGATGCGTCGTTAAGTCGTACGCGGCGCGCTGGCGGGCAAGCGACAAGGCAAGCGTGGAACTGGATATGCTGGATAGTAAGGCGGTGGTTGTTGAGGCGATGGCTGGGACGGAACGGTGGATGTAGGAGGGGTTGGTGTGGGGGTTGAGAACGCGGGCTAGGGAGTTGGCTTGGCGGAATAGGGTGCTGGATAGGGTGGCGGTTAGGATGGGGAAGAGAGAGGGGAGATCGGAGAATGGGGGGCGGGAGAGGAGGAGAGTGAGGGCGGGGGAGGATAGGGAGGTTGGGTTGGAGAGGAAAGGAGGGAGTAGAAGAAGGAGATCGAGAATTTCGGGGGGAGGAGCTTGGGATGTGGTGGAAGTTTGCGTTGGAGGTCTTGGTCTTGTTCGTCGACTGGGTTGGGATAGGTATTGTTGTTGTGGTTGTAGTTTAGATGAAGTGGCGCTGCTCGTACTCGTGCTTGTGCTCGTGCTTGGTTCGGGACTGGCTGCTGCTGCTATCGCGCGGCGGAGGAGATGTTGTTTTGTAGCCTTGAGGCGATAGGTTTTAAGTTCCTAGATAGATATGAGAACTAAGTTAGTCAATTGACTTATTTACAAGATGCATTTGTATTTGTTGGAAGGTGTCCGACTTAAAAACGTACATTGTGTACGGCATCCCGCTTCTTAGCTGCCGGGTCGTTGCTCCGTGTCGAGCCATCGGGGTTGAGAAGAGAGCCGGTGAGGGTCTTGTAGAGACGATCGAAGTCGGGGTTTTGCTTGAGGACGGCCTCGTCTAAGGGGGGAAGCATTGTGACTTCTTTTTTCTTCTTTTTTTTATTAGATGCGCAGTGGCTAATCGGAGGTGTAGATTGTTATTGACTTGTTATATTTTTGCGATTCGAGTTCTGACAATAATACATCCATGTACATACCTCATGTACTAGTACTTAGGCGGTGAACCCCGCGGTCGATAAGAATACGGAAATCGCGAACGTGGAGCGCTGCCACATGACTTTCACTGCTCTAATTACTTGCAGCATGGATACCTACATATACCTTCGAAAACACTACAGTACCTATATACATATCTCCCTATAGCATATATTGAATTAAAAAGAAGTATCTGCAAATCTTCAATTCCAAAAAAAGCCAAAGTTCGTGATATATACCTTACAATCCAACATCCACCACCAAATCCGGTGCCAATTCCACTGCTAAAATCCATGTCGTTGTCGTCGTCATAATAACATAACTCACACCATATAAGCGCTATTAATCGTACACCCACCCAGCCGACACAATGGCGCCAATACGACTCTCAGCGCCGTCGCCGTGCCGCCTCTCCACGATTACATCCCACATATCCCCCAGCATCTCCTCTCAACAAATACCCAATACAACAACAATAGCAGCAACAATAGCAACAACGACAATAACAACCACCCCCCTCCGCGCCTTCAGCACCACCCCCCCAACCCCCCGCCAAAAGCCCTCCCACCTAACCGTGCCCACGGACCAAGTCCCCGCGTACCCATACGGCCGGTTCCGGACCTACAAGCAGGCGAACGAGGGGCTCTTCGCCGGGTCCAAGATCCGCTTCGGCAACGTAGTCGCCCCGGACCACGGCAACAAGTCGCGCACGACGTGGCTGCCGAACCGGCACACCAAGCGCCTGTGGTCCGCGAGCCTAGGCGCCTTCGTGCGCACGCGCCTGACCACCGGCGTCCTCAAGACCGTCGACCGCCTCGGCGGCATCGACGAGTACCTCCTCGGCTCCAAGGCCCGCCGCATCAAGGACCTGGGCCCCGCCGGCTGGGCTCTGCGCTGGAAGATCATGCAGACGCCCGCCGTGCGCGAGCGCTTCGCCCGCGAGCGCGCCGCCCTGGGTCTGCCGCCTAAGGAGGAGGACGATGGTAGAGGGGAAACGCTTCCCGGAGAACTAGTCGCCGACGGCGTTACGTCCGAGGCTGTGCTGAGCGAGGTCGACGGTATGCTGGAGCGCGGTGACGAGTTTGTCATAGGGGAGGTGAAGGATGGCGAGGAATTGCTTATCAAGGAAGACGGGGAGGCGATTGGAGAGGCTAGGGAGACTGGGGAGACTGGGGAGACTACTGAGGATGTCAAGGACGCCATAGAGGAAGAGAAACCTAGCGGCGACGACAAGGCACCTAAGGTATGATACGGCTTGTTTTACTCGCTTTACGAATTCAAGGGTGTTCAAAAGGCTCAAGTGTGTCGCAAGGCACAAATGTAGAAAGACAAGATACAAAAGATATAGCATCGTATCGTGTATATCAATTCGTATAAAACACACTAATATGCGCATCTATATATCGCCCAATGCCATGTATCACATTATTCTTCACTTTTTAGGGATACTCCACGCCATCAAACGCCGGGTCTGAGAGCTTCGTAAAGGTTTTGAATTCTCGACCAAACCTACAAAATAACCCTCACCATTTAGAAACGCAAATCCCATCCGATCTGGGGGCCTAGCTTGGGCAGCTCTTCCGCGACACTCTGTACATCCTTGTCACCCCTTCCGCTAAGACATATGACCACATCCTCGTCTTTCTTCATCGTCTTGGCCAGCTCGATAGCTCCGTAAATGCCGTGGGCTGACTCGAGTGCGGGTATAATACCTTCTAGCTGACTCATAAGTCTGAACCCGATAAATGCTTCGGCGTCGGTAGCGGCGATAAATTTAGCCCTCTCCGAATCTTTCCAGGACGATAGTTCGGGACCAACACCCGGGTAGTCTAGACCAGCCGAGACTGAGTGTGTGTTTGAGATTTGTCCGAACTCGTTTTGCAACACGTACGTTCTAACGCCGTGTAGGACACCCTTGGTACCTCCGGTCAACGTAGCCGAGTGCCGGGTAGTGTTCACGCCGTCACCACCAGCTTCGACGCCTAGAAGCTTAACGCTAGGATCGTTAGAAAAGGGATAGAACATGCCAACGGCGTTGCTGCCTCCGCCAACGCAAGCCACAACGGCATCGGGTAATTTGCCCTTCTTTTCAAGCATTTGTGCCTTTGTCTCGTTGCCAATGACTGACTGGAAAGTTCTGACTATGGTAGGGAAGGGGTGAGGACCAATAGCTGATCCGATGATGTAGTGGGTATCCTCAAGGTGGACGACCCAGTAGCGGAGTGCCTCGTTGACGGCGTCTCGTAGAGTCTTGCTACCAGCTTCGACGGCGACAACTTTGGCACCGAGCAGCCGCATTCGGAATACGTTCAATGCTTGACGACGGACATCTTCCTAAACCATATTGTAAGTTTTACTACCAGTTAGATGCTAGATTCAGGTAAAAGATAACTTACGGCACCCATAAAGACTGTGCATTCCATGCCAAACTTGGCGCAGACTGTAGCAGTTGCGACACCGTGCTGTCCGGCACCAGTCTCGGCGATAATCTTCTTTTTCCCTAACCGCCTCGCTAGTAGAAGCTGCCCTAAAGCGTTATTGATCTTATGAGATCCGGTATGGTTTAGATCTTCCCGCTTTAGCCAGATGTTAGCGCCTCCAGCGTGTTCCGTAAGCCGTTCGGCCAAGTGTAGCTGGCCGGGCCTGCCCATCCAAGGGTAGTAGGATCTGTATTCCTCCCAGAACTTAGGGTCGTCCTTGATGGCATTGAAGCCCTCTTCCAACTCGGATAAGCAGTCCATGAGCGACTCTGGCACGTATTGGCCGCCAAACTCACCAAATCGCTCAGGTATTTTGCCATGAAGCGCAGCAAGTTGAGCTACTAACGCGGCATCGTCGTGCTCTGTTATTACGCCATTGACCGTTACGTCCTCACCGCTAGGCTCTTTAGCCGCACTGAGGGCCTCAATTACGCCGACTTCTCGGGTTGTCTCATCAGAGTCCCGTCCACTTACGTAGGCACAGTATTCCTCAACAGCTTTAGCACCGTTGCCCTCCTCAGCCTTCTTTAAAGTCGTGATGATCTGTGAACCTATGACGACGCCATCGGCAATGGAGGCGACAGATTGGAAATGTTCTCGTGTCGATACGCCAAATCCGACAGCGGCAGGCTTGTCGCCACTATACTTCTTAACTCGCTCAAGCAAGCTGGGCAAGTTGGCATTGAGAGTACCTAGGGCACCTGTCACGCCCATGCGGGATACGACATATATAAAAGAATCGGCCAGGGCACAGAGGATTCGCATACGGGTGTCAGACGTTGCGGGCGCAATTAGGGGCACATAGGATAAGCCTCCCCTGCTGCATAGTTTTCGGAAGGATACGGCCTCCTCAGGAGGAAGATCGCATACAATAAAGCCATTGACACCGGCCGCTTGACAATCCCGTAGTAAAGCGTCCTCGCCGTAGCTGAGTAAAGGATTGTAGTAGCCCATTAGCAAAACTGGGGCAGTCAAACCCTTAGACCTGGCCTCGCTAATCATGTCGAGAGTAGACTTAATGGTGACACCATTTTCGAGGGCGACAGTGTTCGCGGTCTGAATCGTTGGGCCGTCGGCAATAGGGTCTGTGAAGGGTACACCGAGCTCGATCACATCTGTATTCTGTTAGTTAGTGGTGTCCGCGCTCATCTTGAATATGTCTATTTGCCACAACATACCGGCGCCACCTCTTTGCATTCCTACTAAGACATCAGGAGTGTCCTCGGGTTTGGGATAACCGGCAGTGACATATGTCACCAAGGCAGCCTATACGTAGTAGTTGTTAGTTAAGTGGGAAATATGATTGTATATACATGGCGCAAAAAAAAAAAAAAAAAGGCAAGTAATAAAATTGAATCATACCCTCTTCTCTGCCTTGCAACGCTTAAATGTCTGTTTGAGAGCCTCCATGTTGTCCAAACCGAGTCAATTGGTATAAGAGGAGAAACGAGAGACAAGAGATAACTCGTAGGGACAAAATTAGAAGTTGACTCTTTATAAGAGAGAGTTGAGATTGGAAGGTCTGAGTCAAAAAGAAAGATGTTCTTGAGCTATTGAGGGCCGATACCTCAAAATGGATAGATATGTGTATTTCCGTATTCCATATACAGATATTTTTCTAAAGCGATAACCGGAGGGGTGAATCATTCTTCTATCTTAACCCCGCCATCCCACTATGTTGCCTATGTATTAAAGTACCTACCTATGTAACATATTGATGTACAGCATCCTTGTGTGTACTTTCATTTATCCCTGTTTATCCTTGTTTGCCGCCTCCCGAACGGGTGGGCCGACCCCTGGTAAAAGTTTAAAAAAAAGTAAGGGACCAACCAGATCAATTGAGTCATAACGCCACTCTATGAAGTACGTAGTGTTTATGTATATAAGGTGGTTAGTTATTTATCACAAACGAATATTTTTTTTATTACAACCAACACCCACGATCTAAATACCTAGACTTGATAGAACCAAATCTCTCTATGACTACAATAACTAATGTATCTATTACATAACCTTACGAAAGGTAACCTCCGACCTATAATTATAATAGTATAATTAGCTAGATAATAAAAAGAGAAAGACGAGTATACCCATCCACGAAGGTATGTTGAAGGCTTAACGGGAAGAAAAAGGAAAACAAAAAACAACAAAAAACATACAACACCGGGGATTCGCTGGTCGTCACCGACCCAACTACTAATCCGGCGGTATCCGGCTTATCTAAGGGGGAGCGGACGGGACCCCGAGTTTTCCAGATCCTATGGTCGTATGTGATAGTTGGATGGTTTTGTTGTAATATATACCTAGGTAGGTTATGGTGTCCGGCCAGCCGGCATACCGGTAGACATGTACCTTCTTTTTTTTTTAACCTTCCTAAGGGGCCCACCACTTAACTCAATCTAGTACAAACTGTTTGTTAGATATAAAGCTAGTTTGCGAACGAAAAGCTCATCAACACCAATGGGGTTCATGGCCTAATGGTAAGGCGTTAGATTTCGGTTCCATCCTTGGATTCCCCACCCTCTAAAGATTGCAGGTTCGATCCCTGCTGAGCTCGTGTGTATTCTTTTTGCCATCTTATAGTGCTATTATTATTATACTTTTATTTGTTTTAATTTTTAATTTTTATGGGCTGCTCTTGAGTCAGGATACTAGTCTTTTATATACATAGTGGTATGATAAAATTTCTACCGGGGAGGTCGACAGTGTGTAAAGCGATAAAGCCAATCAGATGCAATCTCGCAAGAGAAAACGGAAGTCAAAAATACTCTCAATACCGAAGTAAATCCGCGCTAGGTAATACTAATCTCTCATATGTACATATACGCATATATGCATCGAGTCCCTCTGCTATTATACTGGAAATCATCATACAAATCTAAACCGTTCCTTTCCCAATTGTCACGCTTCCAGGAACAAGAAACTCGAAAACATCAAGAACAAGACCCTCAAATCGAGACGACCATCTCATATAAGCCGAAAAAGAAAATAAAAAGGAATAAAGCCAAATACCCTCACGATGGCGTCCCGCCTCATCTACCTTACCCGACTCACACGTTCATTCACACACACTCACCCACAACCATATCTCCTCTCCCTACAACACCACCGCCACGCCTCCAACAACTCCAACTCCAACCCCAATCCCAACCCCTTTCAATTCACACCATCGCCGCCGCGCCTCCCACCCGACGAACAAGCCGAATTCGAGCGACTCCAGCGCACAGCCAACACGCAAGAAGGCTTCAACCCGACCTCAACCCCAGATTTCAGCTCACCCATTGCTTCCAATCCCTCTACCACAGCAGCAGCAGCAGCAGCTACGCCAGCCGTCGAAGACGACCTCCCATCGATACCGCTGCGAAAAGGCGCGCCCCCCGAATTCGAAGGCGACGTCAACCCCAAGACGGGCGAGGTCGGCGGGCCCAAGAACGAGCCCCTGCGCTGGGGACCAGCGGGCGATTATAGCTTCAACGGGCGGGTTACCGATTTCTAGGGAACGCTGCCTGGATAACTACCAGCCGGCCTACCTACCTAATATACAAATAATCCAAGGTCATGCGTCCTAACTCGGGTATTGGTCATATCAATTAAGGTCTGCAGGAGATAACTTAACCTGGTCGAGTTACCGAGGTAGAACCCGTTACGAAGTCAGGCCGAGACGACCGCTCCCTGGAAGATGGTATACTAACTAACCCTCCGCAAAAATCCTTTAACGTCATTACATATATTTACGTGTCTATCGCCGGGAGCATTAGGTAGTTACCTGCCTATAGACATATAACTCGAGTAACCTAATATATCCCCCCACGAGATGCAACTTATCGGGGTGTCAGGGTCCGTCTTAAGCTGAGCTATCATTGGATTAACAACATATCACGGAACCACCAAGTCATTAAACACAAGAGGTGGAAATAGCCATGTTACTTGGCGCAATATTGAAGTACCGTTGTTATAGAAGTGCAGCATCAGATGATTTATTTTATACCATCATACACTTTTCTTGCTCAAAACTCCGCGCTATGCTATATAGGTGAAGAGAAGCAACAACAGCCAGACATGTAGATATGTAGGTAGGTATCTTGGAAAACCGTCAAGAGTATGGAATGTAGAAGAAAAGCAATGCTGTGCCGGATCCCTCTACTGTACATACCCCAACTATAGCTTTTAAATATACCCGTTTTGTGACCGCCAGTACAAATCCTGCTATCTTCTAACCCTTTGTATCGATGTAATTCCAGTTCGATGCTACGTAGAAGCACTCATAGGTTCGCCCACTCCATGTTTTCCGGCTTCTTCAGCATCAGCAGTCGTAATGGCATCTATCGTCTTTGCGCTTTGGTCGTCCGTTAAACGGGGTTTCTCCCGAACCCCACTATCCAGGTCCGGATTCATGTCTACATCAGGTCTCTCTTGGCTTGTTATGAGAATATCGCCATTCAGTGCAGCTGTAGGGCGGTTCTCTTTATTGCCCTCTCTGTTGCCGTCGGCCGCCTTCCCGGTACTCTTCTCCTTGCCAGCGCTGGAATCCCTCGATATGGCCACCTTACCGAGAATCTCCTTTTCCCCTATATCTATCACTTGGCTCCGGTTAACCTCGCTCATGGCTTTCCGAATTCGTTCCCTACGCGCTTTGCCGCGAAGCCTGCTTTGGGGCGCTGCACCATCCACCCAGCGCACACTTATGATCATAAAGCTAATTCCATCGTGTATTGACTTACGTCCGTTATAAGTCCCGCCGAATTCGCGGCTCTGGATACCGAAGCGCGTTGAGCTACTGTATTTCTCGAGCGCAGGAAGCACGAGAAGCGTCACGTGCAAATCTCGGTCAGCAGGGACTCGGACGGGACCCGTGACTGGCGGCGAAGTCAATACCTCGAGGTGTTGCTCAGCAGGTGCCGCACGTTGCTTCTTTGAAGTCGTAGGCTTGTACAGGTCCAGCAAGTCGATATCCACATCATCATTCCACTCGCCTCGAATCCAACCCGCATGAATACATGCAGCAACAACATCCGAGTCATCCGTGTAAATGTCCGTGCCCCAAACAGCTCGGCGGGAAGTAATTTCCTCGCGCGCGGACGGGCTTAAGTGTACGCGAGGAATCTTAACCGTCAGGGTAGAATTTTCGTTCCCCTTGATCACGTCCATAGGCAAGGGGCGCGGATTAGACGAGTAACCAAATTTGGCATGGGACGACTCTAGCTTCGTAGGCTTTAAAGTCACCTGATACACGATGTCGCCTAGGTGTTTCCGTGGCCGATCCGCAATGCTATCGAGCACCGCCTGAGACGAGATCTTATGTCTCGGTTTTGGGATAATAGTAGAGCCGGGCGCTGCTGTCTTCGAAGACGGCGCCGGCGCTGATCTCGGAGGTTGGTGGTGATGAGTAAAAGCAGCGAAGTCTTTGTGTGTGGGAGAAGGTATAGGCGTGTTAGTTTTGAGACCTTTGAGCTGTCCATTTGCCGCTTGAAGGGGCGAAGGGGCTCTTTCCGAACCATGATGGTGATGATGATGATGACTAAAGAATATCACAATGAATATCGGTTGAAGCGCATGAATATGAGAGTTTGTGACTTACTGGTGATGGTGGTGGTGAGCGTGGGTTTTGGGACGTTTGGCTCGGCCTACTGGCGTGGCTCGACCGTTGCTATCATCATCACCCTTGCTATCATCGTCTTTAGCTTTCCTCCGCTTCCCTCTCGGCTTCGTGGGGCCGTCGGCAAGTACTTCTTGACCAGGATGCTCTTCATCACGTCGCGGCGGGCCCGCATTTGAGAACTGAGGTTGCATGCTAGGTGGCACTGGGCTAGAGACACCGATACCGCGAACACCGCTTCCTATGCCGGAGAACATACGGCCGAATTCGCTCTTGATCCCAGGCTCACCGGCCGGACCCTGCAACTGAGGTTGCGCGCCTTGAACAGCTTGCGGCAGCGGAGAGACTCGTCCTTTGCGGTTGATTTCCTGGATGCCGAGGAAAGCCCTCTGATGACCGGTTGGAGCCGGGCCATCGTCTTGGGGACGCGGTCGACCCACTTCGAACACAACCGAGCCTGGCCCGCCGTTATACGCGACTGAAGGCGGAGGGGGAACCTCCTCGGCCGGCCTGCCCCGATGAGCTGCTGACGGCGGTGGTTGCTGTTGAGGATGGGCCTGAATAAACCGGTGTCTATCAGGCGACTCGAAAGGATGCGTAGGTTGTGGACCTGGTTGGCTTACGGGTATCACGTGAGGAGGCGGACCGGTTGCTGGGAAGCGTTCGTGAGGAGGTTGTGCAAAAGCAGGGTGCGCCCCATATGGCGGTGCGGTAGTCGAAGGGAACTCGTTTGGTCGCGGGCCGGAATACGGCTGGCCATACGACTCTCTCGGCGGTGGTTGATCATACCCAGGCCGCTGCCAGGCTGCCGCATCTCGGGGGTCTGGCCTTCCATAAGGCGGTTGTCGTGAAAGCACCTGAGGACCAAGTTCCGCAGGATGTTGGCCATGCGGGCGACTCGGGTCGGATGTGGTTCTTTCTCTTCTAGCTCTCTCGCGCATCTCCATTTCCCTTTCCCTATCTCTTTCCCTTTCTCGTTCTCTCTCCATTTCCCGCTCTCTATTAGCTACGAAGGCGCGCTGCTCTTCGTAATGTATTCTTTCCCTCTCCCTCTCCCTTCGCTCTCTTTCCTGGAATTCTGCTTCTCGATCCGCAACAAATCGACGCTGTTCTTCGTACGGCATAGTTCGAGGTTGTCTTTCCGGATCGTACCCCGCTGGCCCAGGAGGCCGCGTCTCTTCTCGTCTACCGTAAACAGGTTCCCCAGGTGGCGGACCCCTCCCTACGTCTCCAGGTCTCGGGGGCATACCATGGTAAGATCTTGGCTGACTACTCGGTCTGGGAGGTAAATTAGCAGCAGAGATTCGACCTGGCTGCTCCCTTCTCTCATCGGCCGGCTGCATCGGCGGGCCACGTGGCGGGTACGCTTGAGGGGTGTTGTATCGGGATACCTCGGGAGTTCCGTATATGCCCTGTGGCGGTGATCCAATCACGGCGCCCCTATGATCTCTCGGGTCAAAAGGTCTACCTTGGTCCGGCGTTTGGGGCCTCCTATTATAAGCAGCGTATTCATTTGCAGGCTGCATCCTAGGTGACGCATGGACAGGCGCAGCATACGCGGGACCCGAAACAGCAGAAGTAGTAACGGGAGGCTGAAAGGAAGTTGGATGGCCGGGAGTTGGTTCGCGAGAGGCTGGCGGAGGACCTCCAAGTATTGATGATATCGACATGCTCCCCCCTGTACTTCCCGTTCGCGGTATTGAATTGAGCGCGGGGAGCTCTCTAGCAGAAGGGAAAGCGCCCGGAGGACCGAGACTCATTGGCGGGGCCCTCGGCGCAGGTGGGCCGCTGTAATGACCCATTTGGTGCGGATGAGGAACTGGAGGCGGTTGCTGGTTTTGATGCTGAGGAGATGAGGGAGGAGGCATATTCCGCGTCAAAGAAGCATTAATAGATGACGAGCTTTGGTGTCGCGAATGAGTGGGCGCGGGATGCGACGCGGGTTCTGACGCATAGGTTGGTGGTCTTTGTTGCGGGTAAAAGGGACTAGTGTCCGACGAATGTCGCTGGTGTTCGCTGTACGCGGTAGGACCTGCAGATACGGTATTCGAAGGATGAAATGGTGAGGCTGTTGTTACTGCAGAAGGCGGATTCGAGGCGGGTGGAAAAGGTGATCGGCCGTAGACTGGTGGTGATGCGGCATTACGAGCAAAAGGGTGTTGTGGTGGTGGCTGTCTCGAATCCATGGCCTTCCAACGACTTTTTTTTTACCCACCTAGTGCTTAGGAGGTAGGTATGGGGATGATAGGCACGTTTAGGTAGGGTGAGCTAAGAGACCAGCAACAGCACCGGCTCCAAATACACCTCGGGTATTCTCCGTCGCGAAAGGGGAAAAAGAAAAAAGGTAAGATGACGAGATTCTAAGCTCTCTTCTCTATTTCTCCTCGCTGCTACCACCAACGTGTATCTTCAACTTAACGCGCGCCTCTGTCATAAGGATGTATAAACCAGATCCAAGAGAGGAACAGGGTGAAAAGAGGATGACGACGTCGACGCGAAATAATGTTCTATTTTTCTTCTTCTCTCGGCAAGGGAGTAGTAAGGTTGAGACAGACGGGTAAATCGAAGTAGCGCAGGAGCCAAAAAAAAAAAAAATCCAGAGATTCTCACTTGACCTTGACAGCCCAAGGAAGCACAGTCTCACATAAAACCATACAACAGGTACACAAGCGCGCAGTACACAGGTTTGTGGTGCTTCTTTTTTCCACGCTAAACCTTCCTTGAACTGCTTGGTTCAGTTAAACCCCCCTTGGTCCTTGGTTGGTTGAGCTGGGGGCTGTATGGCAGCCCAGCTTTCATAAACAAGGGTTCGGATTGTTTAGATTTGCTTCAGAGCTTTGCACGAAAAGGTGTGAATGGGGGCGGGAGCTTATGAGTTGTGCGCCCAGGACAAGTGTGAGTGCTCCACTTACATGCATCCACCCTTGTACACCTTTTTATATCCTAGTCGAATCCACAGCGTCCACTTGCCAAGTACGCGGCTATCCGCACACCAGAAGTATCGGTCCCCTCTTGTACCTTACGGGTTACTGTGTCAAGGGAACACGGAGTACAGAACACGCAGATGGCTTGTAAGTTGTTGTTTAGATTAAATCTAGGGATTCCGTCGGCTGAGTGAACTGTTTATTTATTAACAGACTGAGATATTATCCTAAGTGATGATAATAACCTAACTAGTGATCAGGTGATTTAAGAATAGGAATATGGTTGAGGAGCTGTTGAATTGGCTTAAATTTTCGTTTGACCGCAATTGTGCACGTAACTTTGTACCTAGGCCAAGGGAGACGGAGACAAGGGGACCTGAGTCAATTTCCTACCAGAAATGGTTAGTACCGTTGATAGTGCATCTACATAGTAAAGCTGGGTCGCGCCAAAGAAAATAATAAAGTGGAGGAGGAGAAAACAACGTATATGATCATGATGACGATGATCCGAGGGACTAGATGAGCATAAGGCGTACGTAGATATGTACATAAGAGTTTAACGAGTCGTTTGCTTGAATCTTATAGTAGATAGCCAATCAACCATTCAGGTTTGGGGTTTTTTTATTTTTTTTTTGCTTTTACTTTTCTTTCTTTACTTTTTTTGCCTCGTTACAAATATCTATGTAAATAGATAGTGCGGGAACTAATAGTAAGCTTCCACCAAACTCAATGGAATCGGTAAAGGCCGGCAAATGTCGTTGATGGCAATCATTGATGAGTTGGTTGCCAGTCTCGTTAACTCGGAATACCTACCTAGGCATGTATTCAAGTATTGATGTGGGGGATGAAAGTTGTATATGAAGTTCCGCGGTAAGAATAGCGGCGCTTATCAAAGATGTAGAAATATCCCGAGCAGTTCCAGGAACCCAGGCGAATCAATGAGGTGGTGGTGGTAGTACCGTCGGAGTGTTAGTCGGTACTATAATGAGAGGAGAGATATCAGGGGAGATATTGGATACAGTCAGCGAAGCCCAAAGCTCTTCTCCTCACTAACAAAACGTCTGCTCTATAATGGCCAAATGTGTTTATTGTAACTGATATGTATCAGGTATGCGTCTGTATATATATAATATGTGTTTGCGGGTTGATGTACGACGCTGCAGTAGAGTCACTCCCGCGCTCTGTTTCGCTGGAGATTGCTGTCAGTGGACGATGGGGCATCCGACCTTGCATCATGCATTATTGCCGTCATGCAAGTCGCAGAAGCATCATCAGTAACCCATTAATGGCCCATAGTCGTCTTATTCATGGACGCGGTGGGATGGGAGTATATCAGCTATAAACCATGTAAGCTTACGCATAAAGTGCCACGAGGGAACAAAAGAAGTTATATGTTTTTGATAAGAGTATTCGAAAACCTGGACGAATTTCTCTACTCTAGAGCTGCTGAGCTGCTAAACTGCTGAACTGCTGACCTGAATATTATAGATGAAAGGTAGTTGTAAGTATTGGAGGTTTTCGGAAAAAGAAAGATAGATTCGCCTAATGCGGCATCGTATCGATCGATTGGACAGGACCAAGCGACAGGAACAGGCAGGAGTAGGTCCCCGGGGCAGTTGCCAGCTAGATGATGCTTAGGTATATCCATGCATTAACTTAACTGGATCATGCATGTAACTAGGTACACATGCATACATTTGATACATGTAGTGCATGTAGAAACCTTACAGATATAAGTCGTAAAAGGACTTACAGATATCGAGGCACCAAGTATTTTTCAGATGTAAGGATATGCGCATGTACCTAATATATATGTACCTATTTAAAGTAGGTACTTTGTATAGTTAATACTTGAGAGAGATAATACTTTAATATTTATGCCTCTATTTAAATTCATCCGTTCCATCCCCTCTCTCTATCCTAGATATTTCTCCAATAAGCGAGGAAAAAAAGACAAGAAAAAAAAAGAGAAAAGAAGAAAAGGTCATTTACCTCCGCACTTTTTACCATCGGCAAACCATTTGCGGGACTTGATGCGTGCAGGGATCAGATAAATAGTTTGCAGCTAACCCCTGTTACTATCCCCCTGTTGTTTTAGTCTTTGCCAGCGCATCCAGATCATAAATAATATGGGCTTTCCTCGTTGCCTTAATATTGTACCGAAGCTCTATACCTATTCGATACTCCCAATGCCCACCTATCTTATACAAACTCTATAAGTATTGTTCACGTATTTACAACTGCAACACCAGCACGATGCGATGCGATGCGATGCGATGCGATTGCGGCGTGTGCCTAATCTATATTTTTATATTTTTATAAATTTACAAAGTCTTAAAGTGAACCAGATTCATGCTGACAAGAATGGTCTCTTGCATTTCCCTGAATCCCCATTAACCCTTCACCTCTATCTTGACCGACTTTCCTCGAAGACAACTGTTATTCTAGTCCCTGTCAATCAAAGACCGTTCCCCTCTGCAGAATGCGGTCATCAGACCTCATAAATCTGCACAATTCATGCGGTGCCACGCTTAGCAGGCGTCAGTGTATCATAACTGTATTCATATTCATAACTGGATATACGCGAGAAACCTCCAGTTGCTAACAAATACAATGCTGTCTTTTTCTCCTCTGATTTAACCAACCCGCGTCTATTTTAACAACACGTTGTTTATTTATCTTAGAAATCATAGCCTCCCATCACATCACGATGTCATGGGTAAATCTGGAGTAATTAAGGTCGTAAGTCTCCGTAGCGTTGGGCCGGACCAGGCAGAAAGACACAGCTGCATGGCAATGTAACAGTACATAGACTCGTGCCAGATTACTGTATTCGGTGTTTAGCAGCCCTACACCGAGTCCAGGCGAATGATATGCCTTAAATATTCTCGGTGTCAAGACCCTTCTTTAAGATACCTGCCTGCTTACAGCAGATAAAGGAAGTTGCTTCGAAGCGAAGTTCGCAACCAGTTTACTCAAGAATATTGCTAGGTATACATAGTATAAAAAGGGGTATCGTCGATAGCTTCCCCTATGTTCTGAAAATCTTGAATTTATAAAATCTTTGGTTTGCTCACTAGGTTAGTTTTCTATAGGTATAATAATATAATTATTAGTTAGTCCACTTCAAATTCTCATCATTATATTACTCCCTAGAGTAAAAAAGGCAGCCATATTCCAGTCAAATAGCTCACTCTGGACAAGAATAAGATTGTTATAACGACGACGAGTTTCTATTAAATATCAAAAAAAGGAAAAATCAAACGAATGACTCCGATCTATATTCCCCAGACATGGTCAAAGAGTGTCACCAACGCCTGGCCCTTCTATTCCCCCCTTAAATTCCATCCCAGCAAATGTGATTCATATCCTCGTAGGCGTAGAAAAATAATTGGCTAGCAGATGCTTACATGACCGAGCAAGCACCTGAGCTACTTCCCTCGGGCGCGTGAAGGCCGCCGTCAGTGTCGCTGAAGTCAAAGAGCCCCTTGTTATGAGTTGCGGGCTTCTGAGCAATTCTGGTGTTCTTCATGTTGGCCATTGTTGATGTTGAGTGCTTTTGATATTTCTGTATCTTGAAATATTGGTACTGAATTAATGTGTATTGTAGTGTGGTAGTGTGGTTGTTTGGTTGTTTGATTGTTATCTTGGATGATGAACAAAAAGATCTGGGTATCTCGCTAGACTTTATACTCAGAAATCTAGATAGGCTTCTGGTTATCCTTGCGACAATTTTTTCTTCATACATTCTTGAAAGCCTACTTGTCTTTGAACGTGGTGGCGAGATAGGTCGTTTGACCTGATTTCTTCATGTCCTTTTTGTTGTCTTTATAATGGTACTCGCCCCAGCTTTGCGCCCAAGCCTATAAATAAGTCCTGTAGATTATTATTAACTTTTAGTCTTAATTAGCCAGCCTTTTATTCTTTATATCAAGAATTATAAGCTATCGTTTACTAATACCCTTTTATTAATAGATTTATTTTTGTGTGAGTTGCCAGAACAAACGCAGGGACTGTCGCAACATTGCAACAATATATTATATTTCAACACTACGGAAGTAAGGCCTTGGTCAAAGGAACCAAGAAGAAACGAGCTCCGCTCCTTAAGTCAAGGTAATTTGATTAATTATATACAATTAGGTATCTAGTATACAATACCTTCCATTGGATACATGTGTGGATTTTGCCCGTCACTTTCCCAGCACAGCCCCTTAAATCCATTATTTAAGCCAGAAACCTCGTGTGGAAGTCAAGATTTATAATACCAGTCGAGCCAATCTCAGTCCTGTACCTAATTTAATATACGGTAGGTACTTACTTACATAGGAGGTATGTATTATATCTACTACTGAAATTATATCTAGCTCAAATTTAACAAGGGAATGATTCCAACTTGTAGTTACAACACTTCAACCGCGCTTGTTTAGTCTACCCCTTAGATACCTATCGTAATACTATGTGCTATGTAGCGGAATTGGGGAGTTATATTATGGCATTTGTTGATCTTGTCATAGTGGTTATATAACATACCTTGTCAATGTCTTAAGCTGCCTCCTTGACCAAGTAGATATAAAATAGTAGCCATTCAAAATCATCACCTACCGATCTAATTAGTCTGTCGTTAAATTTATCAAGACATCACCTTATTTAGTTCTAAATTCTAAGGACAGAAGCTACACTGCATTTTATACAGGGCTATCTCGTATAAGTAACCATTATTCACTTCAGCATTGGAAATAAGACTATTAAGATATAAATAGCATCATTTGATGAGAAAATAAAGTCCGTGATGTTGCCAACACCTATTTCATATATCATGAGCATGATGTCCAACGCACCATTTTGGCGTTGGGTTGTTTTTGTTTGCTAGTCTTGCTAATAGCTTGTAGGTAATATAAGAAATCAAATCCGCATGCTTGTACATAACTCCTTGGTATAATCGCCTCTAGATCATCGAAACTAGCGATTCAATATTAGTCTTTTTAGAAAAGAAGGCAATCATAGTATTCTGTGCTCTAACGAACCGTCTCTGATCGATATGGGGCCACCTTCGGGTTTTCCTATTGTTTCCTCGGACAGTGACAATCCTCACAGAGGACCTTGACTTTGATCATGCGAAACGATCCCGGCTTGCCGCAAGTCTCGCAGGTAAAGGTAGTTAAAAGATAGCGTAATCCATGATACGTTGTGATCTTCAATATAGTGAACATGAAGTTGCGGTAATGTGGCACTGCGCGTTGAATGATACCCTTCGCGGTCGCTTTGATATACTCGATATCTTGTAAGAGGTTCACGAACGTTTTAGCAGCCTTGTTCACCCGCTCAAGTCGTAAGAGAGAGCGTAGGCTACAATTGTTAAAGACTATCATAATGACCTCATTGGGCAAATCAGCTAGACGGCCTAATCCTGTCACATCCACTTCCGACAATGACTCGGTCTCGGACTCAGTCGTGATGATTTGAAGAGGGCGGGCTGCTGCCGCCCGTTGACGTCCAGTTTCGGCGGCTAGCCTACGACGGCGGGCCTCTAGTTCCCGAGATTGACGATGCATATTGACTGGTGACTGGTTGATGGTTGAACGGATGTGACCTAGCGGGTGAATTTTGTGCGATCTTGTAGATCTGAGATTATGGTCTGTGGTCGGAATGAATGATATTTATGTGCATAGTCTTTATATGCTTTTGATTGGTTGGACCGCAAACGCCTATTAGAAGAGGGATGGTTGCCTACAGAAGAAGGTTGGCTTGGCTTTGTATTCCAGTATCACACAGTTTGTCAAATAATATTCATTTCTGCAGGAGCCTTAAAGAAGGATTGTCATTCCTATCTGGAGAATTACGGTTTCTATATATCACTCTGTTGAGTCTGAAATTGTTCTTTATATGGGAAGCTAGTTAGGACTGAGTGTTAGAATAAATTAGGTAGACTCTTGTATGGCTAGAAATTACATCTCGTAGACCTTTATATTTAGTTTATTAAAATCATGCTTGATAAAAGAGCTTTAAGCTAAAATCGCTTATATTAGGTTTTAGATAGTTATGCATCTTCAAGGCTTTCAAAGCCTTTTGAAAGGGTAGAGAAAAAGTGAGACTAACAAGAGGGTTGGATGTTTAACTGACATGTCAGTATGTTAAAGTATACCTAAGAGGTACCTAGCAAAGAAAACCCAACAGGCCTAGGTTCAATTGTGTAAAAAGTTCAACATACATAGGTACCTACCTAACACACATACATGGGATTAAAATATATCGACTTTCAAACAATATTGTTAATACATGTACCCAATCAAGTTGTACTCATGTATGTATTTTAAGAGTTTCTGGGGTACATGTGCCTTAGTGTGATAGAAGTATATTTCTGTGGCTGGGGCCTAGTAGAGCTTGTATATGGTAGCCACACGTGGGTCTCTAATAAGGTTCCTATTCGTCACCAGATTTCTTAGTTCTTTAGCGCATTAATTTATTAATCGGATATCCTAGTCTGACTCTCATCAGCTTATTACATACACTACATACGCTATATACTACACCTAATATACACCTAGAATAGTGTATATGTACTAGTATCGTCTATTGCAGCCGGTTTGCAATTATAAAGTGGGAAGGAAACCATATTTACTTTTAAGTTTAGACGCCGTTGTGGACCATCGCGTATAATTCGGATTTCATCATTTCATGCTGGACTTGAAGGAACGAAAAAGTTTCCACCATTTTTACCGATTTATACCACCCTCACCACTTCCACCATATCACCGTCAAAGTTCCTGGTGACCCCCTCCTCTTCCTCGTACTGCGACACTGCTCACGCGCAACAAGCTCCCCACCATCCCGTCCGAATACCGACGGAGCCAGAGGATAGAGGAGGGAGTATTGTTGGAAAAACTGAAATATCTGGAGAGGCTTACGAACTACAGCAGCTACCGTCTGCAAGGGAACAGCGTCAAAAAGCTAAGAGGGACGAGAAGAGGCGCTGGCTTGACGAGCAAGACGAGATGAAGTTCTCTCATAGCATTCAGTTTAATGCTGTTCCTGATTGGAGCAGCCACTACATTGCATATAGTAATCTTAAGAAGCTGTAAGTTTTATCCATGTCTTTGCTGTCTCCTATCCTACATTATTTCCTAAATATGCCTAACCGAGCTTCCTCATTCGTCGTAGAATCTACGGACTCGAGAAAACTGTTCACCAACCAGCTGTCTCCGACGTCGAAACGCGACCGCTCCTACGAAACGAAGAACCCGAAACCGTCTTCGGTCGCGCTCTAGATGTCGAATTAGAAAAGATCTCGTCCTTCTATGGCGTCAAGGAGAAGGAGCTATTCGACGAAGTCGATGATCTGATGCGTGATATCGAGTCACTCAATACAGATGACTACGATGAACCCGAGCTTGCCCAGAGGCCAATTATACATCAGTATCCTGTCAGCGAGCAAGTAACACATACTCTGGGCACTCGGAGTTCTAAGAGCGCTCGTAGTACGCGTTCAACCGACGACGGTGTTGATGATAGCGATGACGATGACGACGATCAAGATGAGACCTCAGCTTTGAATAGGAGACGCCGCTTGAGCCTTGGCGGCCGGCGTCGCACTGTCCCCAGTGCCATGTTCGCTTCTACCGACCTGACGGCTTCGACCGAGCTTACCAGGTCTCGTAGGTATAGCATCGGATACGATGACTATGCTGAGACGGCCCAAATGTTTTCTTCTGGCATCATGCTGAAGAAGCGTATCATCGGCCTTTATGTGCAGCTGTGTGAGCTCAAGTCATACGTACAACTGAACAAGACTGGTTTTAGCAAGGTGCTTAAGAAGTTTGACAAGATCATCGACAAGGAATTTCGTCCAATATACATGAAGGATGCCGTCGAAACTTCTTATCCCTTTCTACCAGAGACTCTCAAACACGTCGAGGAGAACATCGCTAAGATGGAAAAGGCCTATGCCGACACAGTGACGCATGGCGACGAGGCTCTCGCCAAGAAGGATCTTCGGTCGCACCTTAGGGAACACGTTGTCTGGGAACGAAACACGGTATGGAGAGATCTTATCGGTCTCGAGCGTCGCGCCGAGGCCGCAAGCCTGGGAAAGGGTCTCCTCGGCGCTCAGAATGATGGGATGAAGGTGAGGCTGCAAGGTGACGATGCCCCCGTAACACCTATGAAAGAGATTGAGACACCGATAGGACGCTTTACTTGTCCGACCTGGTTGTTCAGCTCTACTATGTTTATACTTATTGGCATCGTGACTATCTTTTTGGTTTTACTCATCGTTCCTATCATGGATATGCCCGAGCAGCAAAATTGTTTGGCTATGCTGGTGTTTGTGAGTTTGTTGTGGGCTACTGAGGTGAGTTTTGATACATTACGTCGCATTGCCTATGTAACTGACTCCATTCAAGGCAATTCCTCTCTTCGTGACTTCTCTATTAATCCCTTTCCTTTGCGTGGTCCTTAGAGTTGTCCGTGATGATATGCCGCCGTATAAAAGGCTGAACTCGGTAGACGCGACCCCTTACGTCTTCGCGTCCATGTGGACGCCTGTTATTATGCTACTGCTAGGCGGATTCACTATTGCTGCAGCTTTGTCTAAATGTAAGATCGACAAGCGGATCGCGACCTTCGTTCTTAGTAAGGCGGGTACGCAACCGAGGACTGTACTCATTGCCAATATGTTCGTGGCTGCTTTTGCTAGCATGCTCGTTAGCAACGTAGCAGCTCCCGTTCTCTGCTTTTCAATTATCGAGGTAAGTTTGACCCTTTCTGAAGCGGCCTAAATTCTCTGACAAAAAGCTTCATAGCCTATGCTGCGCAACCTCCCTTCAGAATCCAACATGTCCAAGGCGGTGATTATGGGTATAGCACTGGCTTCTAACGTTGGCGGCATGCTCTCCCCCATCGCCTCACCCCAGAACGTTTTTGCGCTCAGCGTCATGGAGCCAGCGCCGACTTGGGGCGAATGGTTCTTTGTTGTGATCCCCGTGGGCATCATATCGATTCTTCTAATTTGGATCCTCCTTCTTCTTACTTTCCAACCTGGCAGGGGTACTACGATCGTACCGATCAGGTCAGTGAAGGAACGGTTCACTGGCTTGCAGTGGTTCGTGTCAATCATATGTATTGCTACCATCGGTCTCTGGTGTGCAAGTCACCAGCTCCAGTCAACATTCGGTGACATGGGAATTATCGCCATTATACCTATCGTGCTGTTCTTCGGCATCGGCATACTTACCAAAGAAGATTTCAATAATTTCCCGTGGACAATCATCATCCTCGCAGCCGGGGGGTTAGCTCTCGGCAAGGCAGTGAAGTCGTCGGGCCTCCTTCATACGGTAGCGGAAAGAATCTCCCACGAAGTAGATGGGGTAGACCTCTACGGAGTCCTACTAATCTTCTCAAGTTTGACTTTGGTGATCGCGACTTTTATTAGCCACACAGTAGCTGCGCTAATTATTCTACCGCTCGTGTCGGATATCGGAAAGGGTATGGACGAACCGCATCCTAACCTACTTGTCATGGGCGCGGTACTCATGTGTAGTGCCGCGATGGGGCTGCCGACTAGCGGGTTCCCCAATATGAGTGAGTTACTTACAGTCCTATTATATGGAAGATCAATGACTAACAGGTTGTAGCGGCGATAATGAAAGAGGACCTCACGGGGCAGCGGTACTTGAGTGTTAAACATTTTATTAGCCGTGGCGTACCGAGTAGTTTATTGACTCTGGTGGTTGTAGTCACCCTCGGATACGGGGCGATGCGGATTATTGGCATGTAGAGGATTTACCTAGGTTGAACTGGTAGCATATCGGCTGTATATGTTATACCTACCTAAGGTATGCTATATTCCGGGCTTCTCCGCTTATATAGAATATTAAATGGCTGTGTAAATACGAGATGGCATATGGACGGCTTTCTATATAGAATCTTAGATAATGTAGATTTCAGCTTTGGTTGTTATGCCATCGCTCTTTTAACCTAACTATGTCCATGTAAGGCCGATTTGTGTTTGGATATTGTATGTAAACACATTCAGACATGTGCAAGTATCTGCGTTATAGTATACTGTCTGATTGTGTATCCAATAGGAAGCATTTAGATACATGGCCGGGGATGCGGCATCTATTATTATGTAATAAGGGTTAAGAGCTTATGCGGTCATAGCTTGAGGTGTCAAAGCAGCAAAGGTACCTTGTACCCACTTTAGCTTCTCAGATGACATACATTAGGTACATACCTTACCTAACTCAATATTTTATGAAGTACCTACCTCCTACCACTTTGAACTTACACCAACTTAAACATACTTTTCTTTTTTTCTTTTTTTTAAAAGACTTATATAAAATATATGTACTTTCCACAAGTCGTACACATTGCTACGAGGATCTGCGAACCAAACTACTTCCATTGGACATACAAATACAACAATCAATGCCTATCCTCCCAGGATAGCTCTCGAGCACCATGCTCTCCGCATTCACGGCTCGCCCCATCATCGAGCTTAAACTGCGCGATAAGTCTAAGATAGAAACAATATTAGCCTATGGTTTGTATTACTGCTTCTTAATAATGTCATGCAACTGTTACCTATCTGATAATCTAATACCGTACTTGAGCTTATATAGGCGACCGCGTTCTTGTTGGGCTAAACACGGGCTCTTTGAGGATTTACCGCCTGAACGACCTATCACAATCTACTACCACCAACGGTACACATCCTCCAACTAGCCCACAGCGAGAATCGAATGGAAGCTCTAGTCGAAATCCTACAGACCTTTTACGTGAAGTAGAGAAGTTCTCCACTCGCGCTATCGAGCAACTTGCCATCATCAAAGAGTCTAATACTATCGTTTCCCTCTCCAACTACTATGTCTCCCTTCACGATCTCCAAACTTACGAATTAATCGAAACGATACCGCGAACCAAGAGTGCCACCTGCTTTGCTGTCACCAGCAACATCGTCAAGGATGCTGCAACTGGTATACCCGAGATTATTAGTCGTCTCGCTGTAGCTGTGAAACGGCGACTCCTGCTGTGGAGCTGGCATGAAAGCGAGTTGCATGACGAGGTTACTGAGATTATGCTTCCCGAATCCATCAGGACTCTTACCTGGGCAAATGCGACCAAGATCGTTTGCGGCATGAATGCAGGATACGTACTGGTTGATGTGGTTACTTTGGAAACGCAAGAGATCGTGGGACTAGGTGCCGCTGCGACCGGAGGGCAGGGTAGCAGGTTCGGCGCAGCGAGTATGGGCTATATGGGGCTCGGAGGTTACATGCCAAAACCGCTATCTACGAGGCTAGCCGAGGGGCAAATGTTGCTTGCAAAAGACATCAACTCGTTATTCATCGATATGGATGGAAAGCCTTTAGAGAAGCGTCAGGTACCGTGGCAGAGCGCACCCGAGAGTATTGGGTACAGCTACCCTTACATATTGGTCCTCCAGCCGCCCATCAAAGGCACATTAGAAGTGCGGAACCCGGACACCTTGAGTCTCCTACAGACGATAGAGCTCCCCGGAGCGGCGCAGTTACATTTTCCTCCACCGACTGTTAGTCTCGCCCACGCTGGCAAGGGATTCCATATAAGCAGTGACCGTGCTGTATGGAAAATGGAGGCTACAGACTATGATACTCAAGTCAAGGAACTGATAGACAAGGCCAATTATGATGAAGCTATAAGCGTGCTCGGCATGCTTGAAGATGCACTGTTGAAGGATAAAACCGGCACCATGCGTGAGGCCAAGATGCTGAAAGCGGAAGTACTATTCAAGAAAAGGAAATTCGCAGAAAGCTTGGCATTATTTAATGAGGATGAAGTGCACGCGCCTGCTCAGAGGGTGCTGAGGTTGTACCCTAGGATAATTGCTGGCGACCTCTCTGCTGAACCTACACAAGAGGAAACGTCAGAGGAGGAAGAAGAGCAAGAAGAGGATGAAAAAATCAACGGCGACAAGGCCCCCAAGAGCGATATGCCTGCCGAGGTCGCATCCCCGTCTAAACCGGGCGCCTTCGCAAAGTACTGGATGGGACACCGCAAAACAGATTCTGATACAGCGTCCATCGCATCCTCTAAAAAGGGTGGGACTGACAATGAAGATGCCGCAAGCGTGAGGATTAAGCCAAAGAAGAGGAAGGGCACGGATGAGGATGGGCCGTTAGAAGGAAAAGACTTAGTCAAGGCCGTTCGCGAACTCAACGGCTACCTGGCTGGTACCAGAGCTCGTCTACAGCGATGGATCGACCCGGCAACTGGGAAGCTGAAACGGCGCAAGACAGAAGCTAACCTCGACTCTATGATAAACTTACATGAGAACCTCGACGTTCTACTTACAAACTCCCACTCGGAGTCTGATGAGCAACTTGAACACGAGCTGAAGCAAACCTTTACCCTGGTTGATACAGTACTATTCCGTGGGTTAATGTTTGTTACCCCGACGCTTGCTGGCTCTCTCTTCCGCATCCCGAACTTCTGCGATCCCGCAGTAGTAAACGAGCATTTGCTTAAGCATAACCGATATAATGAGTTAGTTGATTTTTTCTACGGGAAGAAGCTCCACCGCGAGGCGCTCACTCTCCTTCGCAAGTTCGGTAATGCGGAAACCGAGGGGGAGTCAGCTAAGCTTGACCTTAATGGGCACGTGGACGTCGAAGTCGTTATACCTGAACAGCTCCGGGGTTCGCAGAGGACAGTCGGCTATCTACAGAGTCTACCACCGGAGATGATCGATATCATTCTCGAGTTTGCTGACTGGGTCCTGCGGCGGGATCCCGACCAAGGCATGGAGATTTTCTTAGCAGATAGTGAAAATGCCGAGACCTTACCGCGTGAAAGGGTTGTCCGGTATCTCGGCGCTATAGACGTCAACCTGGAAATCCGGTACTTACAACACATCATCACGGAGTTGGAAGACGGCACGCCAGACTTTCATAACCGGTTAGTAGAGCTATTGATCCACGCACTAAAAGAAGGCGAGCGAGACGAAGCCTGGAGTGAGAAGCTGGATAGTCTAGTGGCATTCCTGAAAGCAAGCCAGCAGTACAGTCTTAGCAAAGCACTAAGCATAATTCCTCGTGATGGTAAGTCATCTATCCCTATGAATTATAGGGGGAAGAAACAGCGTCGTCTAATAACATGTAGATTCTGCATTTTACGAAGCTCGGGCTATAGTATTTAGCAACATGGGCTCACACAAGCAAGCACTGGAGATCTACGTATTCAATATGCAGGACTATACTAAAGCAGAGGAGTAGGTGATTATACAATCTATTAGTAGTGAATGTTAACTGACAAGAGATGTTAGGTATTGCAATCACATTCACGCGCTACCTAGCTCTCGCCGGGAATCTTTTGCCGCGTCGTTGTCTGTGGACGACGAAGATCGCGACCCCGACTCAAAGCCGTCTATCTACCACATGCTTCTCTCGCTATACCTTAATCCACCGGCACCTAACAAGCCAAATCTAGGCCCAGCCCTGGCGCTCCTTTCGAGACACGGTTCGCGTCTACCGGCAGAATCAACTTTGTCCCTTATACCAGACGACTTGCCCGTGACGGGGCTAGAATCGTACTTCCGAGGCCGGATCCGCGCAGCTAATAGCGTGGTATCGGAGTCGCGCATCATTGAGGGGCTTCGAAAAACGCAGCTCATCAATACCCAGGCGTTGCTACTACTCGGCGACGGTATCTCCGGCGGACAGAGCGGGCGCAGCAGGAAGGTTGTCATCGGCGAGGAGAGGGTATGCGGCGTCTGTCACAAAAGGCTGGGCAACAGCGTAGTAGCAGTGCTCCCAGATAATAGCGTGGTCCACTATGGATGTCTGGGAAGGCGAGGGCGCAGCATGAGTGGTAGCCGGAGCGAGGTGATCGCTGGATCATGGGGGAGACACGGGTAAATTAATTGATATCTAACGCAGCTCAGATACACAGTCGAAGAGCGAAATCGAACTATTATATCATCGGGGCAGGGGGTATTTTCGGGGTCCGAGCGGTTGGTTCGTCGAGGCAGAGGGAATGGACCATGTCGCATATATCGAAGGCGCGCAGGTGTTCCGGTTCATTTAGGCCTTAGAGCATTCCAATGGGTATCGTTGCATACTTCTGGAGAACAGTGGCGGCTAAGTAGGCAATACCCCTCGTGTCTAGACCACAGTTAAATTGATAACGTTTTCTTGCTGCATTGTTCGTTTGGCGAAGCATGGAAGAGTAGTCTCGAGCAAATGTCTAAGTCGAGCATCCAGCCATCATTATTCATCATCTTCCACTACTTCCTCCCCATAATTCTCCTCCTCGATCGCCTCGTCGACGCCAGCAGCCGCAATGCTCTTCCCACCCTTTTTGCTATCCCCAGTGACAGCCGCTTCGCGAGTCTCCTTTTCCATGCGCATTGTCAGTTCGCTGTTCACATTGTCTTGAAGAGAGGACACTGCTTCACGCAAGGTGCGTAGGTATGACGTTTTGTGGTCTGTAATGCCGGATTCGGGGAGAGAGAGGGGTGTCGAAAGTGTAAAGGCTTCGGCTGATGATATCGAAGAGTCGGAGGAGTTGGAGTTGGAATATGTGGCTTTTAGATGGACTGTTCGGTTCTTTATTGAGGTGTTGTCGCCGGAAGATGCTGGGGAAGAGGCCGGGGGCGGCATGATGGATGAATATATGATTGTTTTACTTGGGTTTTTTTATGCAGCAGGTGTGAAAGTTTGAGATTATAGAACTTTAGATGATGGCGGGGCAGCAAGTAAAAGGAGCGCGGGGTGTGTGTGGCTAGTGCTATTTAGAGGTAGGTAAATACAAAACCATGTGGATACAATAAGTAACTACTTCATTCGATCTAAATGTTACCTAGGTACCTCTTTTAGCGGCGCATCGTAACGTGGACACTAAGGTTTGATGTCGCATTCATGTTACATTTTATGTATCTAGTACCTAATACGTTAGGTACATATTAGAACTTCATATCAGATCGGCGGCGTTATAATAACCAACCTTTTCAACACCTAACCCACATCTGTATTATACAGTTCTACAATTGTATAGTACCACCTATCTCCGCACCGACTACTCGGCCACTGATAAACCTAGGTACTTATTCAATCGGAGACATAATTGCGCTACTACATCCGCGTACGGCAATTGAAGAGCGCAAATCGATAGGTCAAGATACCGGGGTCGGGTGTCGATCATACATACCGCTGGTTCGGGGAGAAGATGTAACGGGATTTGGGAACTCGGACCTTTTTCTATCACACAATGCAGCCAGCACGATCCCAGCAGAGAGCACCGGGGAGCTTCTCTCCTCTCCCCGGTACTGCTTCTTCGGCTTCCACCGCCGCAGCCGCAGCCGCTTCGTCTTCTTCCTCTTCCTCCGCTTCCTTGAGACCTCAAATTCGTAGGATAGACACATCGTCAAATGACGATACTGTTTCCGTTTCTAAGACGAGAGCTCCTCAGAGCCCCGTTGTTAGTCCTTCTTATGCTACTAGTCCACATAACTTCTCCCGTCCCACTCGACCTAGTATCGAACTTCCGCAGTCGAGAACCGCTTCGCCATTGACCCTACCTCCTACTCGCGTCGGCCACGTCAGAAAGCACTCGCAGACCCAAGGTCATTTCGAACCTACATTACCTTCCACGAGCATATCCAACCTCTCCCAAGTCGTCATGTCTCAGTCCCAGACGCCAGCCTCGGCCCCAGCCCCGACCCAAGCTGCCGGCGCGACACTCTCGGCTAGTCAAATAGCCGCCCAGGCTGCCGTGATGCAGCACCAACAGCATAGTCGTCATCGATCGCAAACCGTCCCTTTCCCCGGCAGCGACGCCCACGACTCTTTAAAAAGACCAGGCCCAAAGCCAATAACCGGTCACCGCAGCCCTCCTATGCTAAGTCTAACCGAAGCGAGCGCCCCGCGAGATAACGGCTTTAGTGCGCAAGGGTATCATAACGGCTTGTTGGGGAGTCATGCTGCTGCTGCCGCCGCGGCGAATGTTGTCTTTCCAAGGTCACCTCAGACTTCGCCTAGCCTACCACCGCCAGATCAGTCTTTCCCTACGCCCACGCCCCTAGCCGCTTCAGAGAAGCCTGCCAAGGCCGAGAAGTCCAAGGTCAAGCTATTTTCTCGGCCAAAAAAGATCGATACCAAGGGTGAAGCGAAAGAACGGCCAATGCCGAGTCCCGGAAAGATTGGTTCTGCTCTGGCTTCGCTACAGCGCGCCAATTTTAGCACAACCAGCTTGGTAGATTCGCAGTCATTCTATAGCTTAGGCAACTCATCTGCCGCCACCATCCGACCAGTTGACCCGACCATGGAGAGAGAAGGCAAAGAAAAAGATAAGGAGAGGAAACACCACTTTCTATCGCGGCAGAAACATAAGCTCAGCAGTAAAGATGATTATCATCTCCCACTTTCCTCTGCTGCTAGCAACTCCCGACCCGTCGATCCCAGCGCGCCATCAAGCCTCTATAATTTCAACCTACCACCGAGTCCGGGTCCGAATAACAACATTGGTAAAAGCGTAAGCGGACTAGACTTGCGACACGGAGGACGTGCTCTCCGCGAGAAGCGGAAGGACGATAACGAATCGACATACGGGGTTGGCACGGAATGGCCCGGGCCTAGCAGTTTCGGGTCAGCAGCCGCAGCTACGCATTCTTACCTTCCGGAACCTATCGATTCTGTTAAATATGGGCTTCATAATATGTCTCTAGACGATGCTTGGCCGTACTTGAGGGCTAAATTACTGGTCATTTTCGAGGGTGAGGATTTACGGTTGCCGGTAGAGGATTTTAACCGAGTTGTGACCATGCATATTCAATACTGTATACAACGTCGTTTAGCCCATATCATTATCGACGATCTACGAGATCTCCTTTCGACAGGTTTTGCCTCGCTTGACCACACGCTACGCACAACTCCCGAGGATAGGCTGATCCCCTCTTTAGTAGAGCTATGGATCTTCACATTTACAAGTGTCTTACCTTATATGCAGGCCATATTTCTCCCGTTGGACCTAGAGTTCTCCGGCAGCGGATCCTTGTTGACCCCTGAGCAGGCGCGGGACTTCTGGGGCGGCGTGGTAGCTAATGCAGCACCGAATGCCCAGCTAGGCGGATCAAATGCTGAACCTCATTTGTCACCAGCATCGAGTGTCCTTAACGTTCGAAGGCTTGTACTGATCTCGTATCGAGATTCCCTAGTTCTTCCTCGGTACGAGAAGCTCAAGACTATATTCTCCCGGTTATCTCTTGAACACTTGCCGTCTTCACTCGCTTCTCTCGCGTTAGCATCGCCACCGCTCTTAAATGACAGCATGACATCTCTCTCGACTTCGCCAAATGATCCGTTATCGGGCCGCCCTGGGACAGCCATGTCGCTAGATCCAAGCGTAGCAAGCTATAATTCAACCTCGACGACGGTCTTCGGCAACGATTCGAACCCGTCTCGGAGCCGTGCCATTAGCAACGTATCTTTCGGCAGCGGCGTGTCCGACGGGGCCTCTACAGGTACTGGAAGTCTGCTCAGGTCTTTCACGCCGCAGACAAGAGACGGAGGTAGGGAAATCCTAGGAAGTGTGCGGGAACAGAACGTGGAGGATAGCAAGCAAGTCACGGAGATGGTAGGTCGTATGCTTCAGTGCATGAGCGTATTGGCTAGTGTCGACATCGGCGTCAACACAGCCGATACGGATGAAGCAAGTAAGATGGTAGCCGAGCTAGGCCGATTGCTCAAGTTGAATTGGCTGGGTAGAGGTCGGACTGGTAGGAACCGGAGGGGTATGGTTGGCGGAAGGGTTAAGCGACAGGATAACAATAGTTCTATCAACCATGGCCTCTTAAGGGAAGGGATACGCGAAGGTGTTGAGGTAATTTGATTTTGGATCTACATGGCATGTGTATCAACGCATCATTGGCGGAATTACGGCGTCTGGTCACACTGGATTGGTTTGAGTGCATCACCAAGGTGAGCAACGAGAAAAGCTTTGAATTGGATCATTATCATATTATATTCTGAATATATAGTGGCTAGCTGAATGGTCTTAAACTCCAAGAAATCTACGCCCTCTACGTCAACTTCATGAAAGATGTGTAATGAAACAGTGATACCTAAAATTTCGTTAGTAAGAAATCTTAGACACGATAAATTGCTAGCAAAATATAAAAATTGTGGTGTCGTTCAGACATCCAAGGAAGGATTATGCTTTCATCTGCTCCTCAAAAGGCTCTGAGTGGAGCTCAAGTGGAAACTGCGAATGTGGTTGGAAATTTTCATCATGAAAACACCATGAGTAGGATCTCGAGTATAGAAAAAATTCGACTGACCTGGGCTAAGCTTGGAAAACGTTCCTAGAAAGTAAACGGTATGGAAGCCCTATTATTGAGTTAGCAAGGTGCTAGATCTGGCGATGCAAAGCGCAGCGGCACAACATAATCCCCAATCCATCCCATCACATGCTACCACAAGACGTGGATCGCGTGATGGGAAGTCAGACAAATAATACTGGCAAGTAACAGGCATCTACCGTAGTAGAATAACCCGAGCAGACTAGAATTCGTTCATGGTCGATTCAGTTGGGAAAAGAAGACAACTTTTATAGGATGTCATCCTGTTGATTGGGGAAAATATGTCGGAAGTGATATGCTTCTCGCACTGCTGATGAAGGAAAATAGGACAACGAACCTTTCAAAAAGATACACTGCAGCGAGCGCAGGTATTAGTTTCACAATCTGAGCATATCTGTCTATCTCTGACTGTGGTATCCAAAAGATTAATTTGGTAGAGGAAGAGAAGAATGTTGTGAGAAGGAAAGAAGATGAATTCCTAAAGCAGAGCGCGACGTTTGAAGCTTTTGAAGTCGCGCCAGCAGAGAAAAAAAAAATTAATGTGGATCGAGAGGGACCCATGAGGTGGAAACGGATCAACCCCGCCGGACGGAAAATTTTAGTATCACGTGAGACAAACGTGCTGCTTAAGATACTTGACCTCAGTTAAGGTTCCTGCCAATTGCCAGCTGTCGACGTTGCTGTCAAACTCGGGCACTAAAAATAATCTAGTTACATATTCTAGTTTGCATAAAAATGCATGGATACAGTGCTATTGGATTACCCGTTTACTGTATCGATGCTACGTTTGGGCTTATATAATATCTTATCGTCGTACTACCTCCCGCAATCTTCCGAGTATTAGTCATTTCTCTTTTATACGTATCTTGTGCAGCATCGCGATCGATTTACATCAATCTTTAATGTTTATTATACTGCATCACCCTTTTTCCTTTCTCTTTCTTCTATATCATTTGTCAAGTTACATGAAGTTCATGGATATACATAATTATTTGAAATGGTATTGAGTAAGCCGATCTTCTTGGTTTTTAATTACTTCATCCCTAACTGGGATAGTCTTTATGGATATTCTACAAATTCAACAGGATAAGGGCAAAGGCAACTAAGCTGGTATATTCCACGAATCTGGGTGATATGTATTGTATACCTACATTACAAGCTATTTAAGTTATTCAGGCTGTAGGACATATAGTATAGTAAGATATGGCTACGACTGAGCTGATACATGTTGTAAGCTCGTGCCTTACCTACTATACTAATAGAATAGAGACACTATTCATAAGTATACACGCCACTCAAGGCAGTATAGCTTCAACTCTCCCACGCCAAACGTAAGTACTAAGCTAAGCTAGGATAGAGACATGTCTAAGCAACAAAATGAGAGGGTGGTAATTTTGAAGGACTTATCAATTGAGTGACCAAGTCGAATAAGAAACCTAAAACATTATTCTATTTAACTAGTTATTATGTTAAAGTCTATACTCTCCCGCTTTGCTATAACACTTGAAAAATAAGTCCCAACAGAGGTATATCCTGTTACATAAGATGCCTATCGGTTGATAGTATATATTCCCCTATTGGACCCTCGGGGCTAGTCGGGAAGGAAGCGAAACTTAAAAGAAGTTAAGCTCATATGCTGATACCGCACACGTGGATTATACACAGTGTATTGGATACAGTATATACTCTCGGGAATATTTAGTACTCTTTTAGTGCATACTAAATCTCTGCGTAGGTAATCTCGCACTGTTTACCTGCCACCTTTATTGGGTCAGTTGGATCCCCCAACCCAAATAGCGAGAAAGATCCATTGGAATTACATCCACAAATGTTCTCCCCCCTCCACTTTCAATACCAACAATTTTTAGACTAAATTATCTACACAGTACTCAGTACGATGTGTCACTAAATTATCGCATCAAATCTACCGAACCCACCTAACCAAGTAATCACAAGCACAGCAGAAGAAGAACCACCCTTTCATCGCTCGCGACTATCGGATCCAACGAGAAGGCATATCGAAAAAAGAATAAAAAATTAAGCGCGCAAAGTTCCAGCCCTTCCTCTAAGCCCCCTTTACTCTACTTACATACAGGGTATCTAGCGGCGTCTAATTCAGAGGGTCAAGTCTTCCCGTAGGCGCGGAGAATAGCATTATTCGTTTTATGATATTCTTCTATTCTATCTCATTCATCATATCCCTCTTTTTGCAAATAGCAAAATAGCACCGCCTTACCTGGCTCAGCCCAGCTCGTTTATCTACTTCCACTAAACTTACAGTTCTACCACTATCGCATTAAGCACCACCTCTTTTTCTTCCTTCTTTTCTCTCCATCGTTACCTTATACTTAATATTTTCCACGCCTTTTACTTACCATATACCCCTTTCTTCCTCCAATTTCTTGCCCTTTTTTATTAACCTATTACCCGCCATCCGCGTTGTTACAAATTATCAGGAGCAACTTCATTAAAAAAGAAAAAAGAGAGATCGCTCACCGTTGTCGCTTAAGATCAAGCCAACACTAAAAGCATAATATAATCCACCAATTTATGCTGTGCATAAAAACATAAAATCATACCACAATCGCACTGTGTTAGCAATTTAGATCTACTGTCGATTAGTACTGTACTATACCGTACCTGGGTCGAATCTCACGACGCCAACGCCAACAACTAATAACACCCACTTGTATCGCATCGTGCACGTCCGCCTCTTTTGCTTCCGGCTGGGCTACCCACGCGCGCCAACGACACTAGCAACAACAGCGACGTAGCTCGGTCAATTGTTCCGACGACGGCGACGACCATACGATCATCATATCAAAATATATTCATGAACTGATCGATCTTTAAGAGTGAGCCTCAGGTGGTGTACCTTGTCGCTAACATAGAATCAACCATTTTATTTCTGCAACCTCTGTGCTATCGCACAGCGCGCATCCGGAGATTCTATTCTAATCGCGTTCTGGGATCTAAAGAAATCATCCCTCATCAGTTATTATCTCTATATTCTACCCACTTCAACGCGATCTACATCTATATGTCTCTAATCATCTCCAACTTCGAATTACGCTTGCAGTCCAACCTTATAACCGCGACGGCGACACTATTAAAAAACTAGTATACACGTTTCATGATCGGCGATCGCATTGCGTCAAGTCGCATCCACCCATATCATAACCAGTAGAAAGAGGGGGGAGCTTGTAGGTGTTTGCCTGTGGAAGGACGAGAAAAGGAAATTAGAAAAATCCAAGGAACTGCTGTACGCAGAGCTCCCAGCCAAGCCGATCGATCAATCACATCAGGACCGCGACGACGGATAAAAGGAACTGAAGCGTATGAAACAACGGTTACGTTTGGGCGTCGATATCCACGTCGTGGATAGTCGACACTATTAGAAATGATGGCAAGCATGGGACCCGGTGGCTTTCATCCAGGCATGCAGCAGCATCCTGGCCATCCAGGACACCCTATGGGCGCTCCGGGTATGGCTCACAACCCAAGCCAACCGGGAGCTCAGCCTGGTATGCCTCCTCAGATGGCTGCTCACATGGCCGTGTCCGGACCCGGTGGACAGGTCAATCCCGCGGCCATGATGGGAACCATGCCGCCCGGTGCTGGTGGCCCTAGTGCCCATGCTCTACAACATCTGAACCCTCAGCAGCAGCAGCAGATGTTCCAGCAACAACAACAATTTGCATGTAAGCCGAGAGTTTTTCTTACCCTGGCCTGAGGCCGTATTGACGACAATCGAATCGTGCTGACAACCCATAGTAGCAAACCAAAATCCCCAAATGATCGCCCAGATGCAGCAGCAAAGAATGTTGCAACAGAGACAGGCGATGATGCAACAGCAGATGTACGGGGGAATTCCTATGAATATGCAGGGGATGAATATGGGTAACATGACGGCTGCCCATTTCTCGGCTTTGAGAAACAACGCAAATATGCGAGTCGGTGGTAATATGGCCCATATGCAGCAGCAGGCGCATCTTGCTCAGCAGGGACAACATCAAAATCCTCAGCACGCCCAGGTAGTTACACGCACCCCCACGCGTTTTGAGCATCCCAATTCTAGACTTCGCGCTGACAACTATATTCACTTGCAGCATATGCTTGCACAGCAGATGGCAATGCAGCAGCACCAAGCCCAGCAGCAAGCGAATAACCAGATGCACCAAGGTAACCAGCCTGGCCACCCCGGACAGATGACTGCCCAGCAGATACAAATGCAGCAGGCGCAGATAGCACAGTCCATGGCACAGCAGGTCCCCCAAGGCCCTCAAGGCCAGGGACCTCAACCTCAACCCCAAGGACAACCACAGCAGCAAGGACAGCAGCAGCAGCAGCAGCAGCAACAGCAACAACAGCAGCAGCAACAGCAGCAGCAGCAACAACAACAACAGCAACAACAACAACAGCAACAACAACAGCAACAGCAGCAGCAACAACAGCAGCAGCAACCGGGCCAGCAGCAACAAGGCCCACAGCCAGGTCAACAACCGCAACCGAACTCGCAAGGACCCCAGAGAGCCCCAACGCCAGCAGTTTCACAACCGAACCAACCTCAGAATCAAGGTCCCAATCCCGCACAAGGTAATCAGCCGCAACAACCACAAGGCCAAGGACAACCACCGAACGGCCAACAAACCCAACCTCAGCAACCCACCCCCCAGGCGTTGCAGGCAGCCCATATGCAGCTGCCAAATAGTATCCAGCAGCAGTTACTACATCACCAACAACAGCAGCAAAAGAACGACGGCATGAAGGGACAGTGCCTCTTAAAGCTGCTTCAGTTCGGCGAGCACCTCAGTGCCTATACTGTCAGTATTAATTATATATCTGTTTTTTACGCCTAGCGAACTCGACTTGCTAGGCCTTGGCCCTGTTTGAGACTAAACACTAACATTGCCTCACTACCTAGGGTCCACGAACAAAGGATGATCTTACGTACTGGAATAACTTCGTCGGGCAATTCTTCTCTATGAGAGGCATCTTTAGAATCTCTCTATTTTATATTGGTAGTGATACAGGCAATGAAGAGCACGCGGATAAACAGTATGATATAACACAACCTGCGCTAGCACGCTACTTTCATACACATTACGAGAGCGGTATCCGAAGGATCAATTTGACGTTCGAGAAAGGCATTACCGATAGGCCATTGCCGAATGGTTGCCATTTTATCGAGAACCAAAAAGCGCATTTGACCTACTGGTTCGACAATTCTCATGTAAGTTACACAGGCTGCCCTGCATATTCAACCTCGTATAACAACATTCTGATGGCTTGGCATTTAGCTCGTCGCGACAGGAATACTCCGAGCGCAGTTTGATAGCGAGCAAAAACTAGATCTATTAGAATTTGTCACGCAGAGCCACGAGGAGTACCACTCGAGGAAGATGGTTACCGAGGCGGCGAGACCGGCGCACAACTGGGTCAAAGAATGGCTCAAGGTCAATAACCAGGACTCGCGATTGTCACCGGAGATGAGCAAAAAGGGAAAGGCGAAGACATTGAAGTCGCCACCAAATCCACCTCCAGATATTGACCTACCCCCATCAGCCGTCAAACAAAATATAGGCCTCACAGAAGGCGTGTTCCAATTCCTCGAGGTACGGGCTCTTCGTTTTGTAGTTTGTGTGCTTTTGCTAACATGGTATATCCTAGATCATAGAAGTTGTTGGACAGATGAATGTGAGTTGGGTGCTTCCAATAAATAATATGTTACCGAGTCAATTGTAGGCTCTGTATACTCTACCTATCTCTTACTAACCTGTGCAATTGTTTAGCCATTATTCAACTTTTACCATTCGCATCCAGGCCTCTCCCCTTACGCTGCACTTGAGCAGTACGTCAACCAGAATATTACCAACGCCCCGCAGCAGCCGTTGGTGAATGGCCAACCTCAAGGCAATGGCCCACCTAACCCGCGGACTCCCAGTTTTGGCCAATTCCCCATGGGCGCTTCGCCAGCTACCGCGCATCTGCAACTTCCCAATTCGCCTCACATGGGCAGCCCCGCCCAGGGACACATGCAAGCACCTGGCATGCAACTACAACAGAGTCAGCAAGGAACAAGCTCTAGCGGACCCAGCGCTAATACAAGTCCAGCAAGCAACAAGCGAAGGAGGCCTTCAACCGTAAAGGCTGAAGAGGAAAACGGCGCCCCAACACCCGCGAGTATCGGGGTCTCTCAGGTAAACGGCGTTGCGATGACCAACAAGAAGCCACCCGGAACGCCTCGGTTACAGAAGCGCGCTAAGGGTAACCCTTCATGATATCTCGCACCCTCCGGAGTAGGCACGTTTGAAGGAAAGAAGAAAAAAATATAATAAAGTTGGCATAGCGACGTCGCTTCTGATTACGGAATTCCGTACTGTTGTTCGGTCTCGGCTCGGTTGCTTTATACGCACTACTACATCGGCTGGACGTTCAGGATTTTGCATTGTTTTGGGGATTAGGAAGGTCTGGAGGCTCTGAGCGATTCCCACCCATGATTTGACGTTTCTGATAGGGCCAGATTAATCACTTGATATCTCTATCTTCACCATTGTTCCCTATGGGGAAAGCAAAGAAAAATTGGCGTTAGTCCACGGTTGTACCATTTGATTCGAGCCGCTTAAAGGGTTATTATATGCGGATATGAATGTGCTGAGGAATTATTGCTAGTTCCAAGCAGACTTTTCTCAAATATCCGCCCTGTGTACGATTATTTTACATTGCAGCCGGCCTCGCATTGCGCCCTTCAATGCGCAGTGCAACCTATATCTTTTTCTGTCTTTTTCTTATTGTTTAAACAAAAACTGTTGGGTGCGAGTAGATGCAGGACGAAGGGGACATGGGTAGAGTGGGACAAGCCAAGAGTTCTTGGGAGGCAAGCGAGATATGATTACATACAAGGATTAGTACACGCATCTTACGATGCGCTCATTCGAACTGGGATGCTCGTTGTACTTGGCAATATTCTCCGTATAGCTCATATCAACTTGAGATGTGAACATCCTTGCTATTTATCGCTATATCTTACTAGCTCTACTCGTTTTAGTAACTGCGGAATATAATACTACTGGCTTCCTTACCTGTGATTATTTCCATGAACTTTTTGATATGAGACATCCATATCCAAGAACACTGTAGGTTGGACGATATATAGCAGAAGATATCCGGGTGAGAATATTTTTGAAATATACTTGGAACCATTACTCCATTATCGATCTTGGCCAATGACTTGAATAGGCATGATAACGAAAAGGTTGACGTTTCGATACGACTTGGATCCTCTACTTGGGGGGCATAAGGCTAAAAGGCTGAAGGTATTCGACATAATAACCCCTTAATGATCAAAGGGGGCTGATGATCATAAGCACATACTATTTCACTAATCTAGTGAATTACTACTCAATGGATTATATTCGAACTAGACCCAAGTGTAAATTTGTTGTAAACAGTATTAATGTATAAGATACTTACATATTAATAGAATAGATCGGCTTTTGCGAGTTAGGTAAGGGGTTTGCAAATCATCAGATGCAACTATAGTTAGTTATAATATAGTTGACTTCGGATAGCAGATACTCAAATAGCTATAAACGTTGGTGACAAAGTCAACCCGGTATTCCACCTATCTACATTCTTTCAGACCCCTTAACAACGAGATATTATAAACAATATCGTTTCTTAATTCAATAGGACAACAAAGTTAATAATCAAAAAAGTTTCTTTGTTGGGCCTGGTAAGCTGTTGGTCATATCGAGATGTGACTTGACCCTCTTACAATAGGAGAGCGAGCTTAAACTAATTACCACATTCTAGCAATATATATGGTTAGTATTGTAGCTGACGTATGAATTTATAATCCCAAGAGATTTTCTAGAACTCCAAGCTCCTGAATACTGAGCCCTATAGGAGTGCCGCTTACGTATAAAGGATGTACATCTTGGTCCCCGTGTATATATTTCACTGGTAACGTTAAATAAAGCCCTCAAGATATCGACTTTATCAAAGCTAAGAAATAGTAGGGGTTATGTAGAAGACGTCAAAAATATAAATGAAGATATGTCACAAACACTTTACTTGGTGAAGACAGTTGTGTAGTGATACTACCTAGGTGCCTAATGGAACGGCTATGTATACATCATGGAAACTTTTATGACATCTAATTCTACTAAGATTCGAGACAAATAAAAGCATACTATAAAGTGAAGCGATAGTGGCTCACGAAGGGTGTATGTATAGAAGCCAGCCAGTCCGACGGGGGATATTTACTACCTAACCCGCAAGACGATTTTCCGACTCGACTCACACTTCCATAAACACTACAACAAACACAGACAACTGTTGCGACCAAGATATCAAAAACAATTTAATACCTAGGTGGTAGTCATCTACTTAGGAGAAAATAACTCGGATTGTGAATATCCACAGTTGGAAGTAATTGGTGAGATGGCCGAGTGGTTATGGCGCTGCGTTCAGGTTTAGCTGAATATGTCTATCAAGATGTAAAAATCTCGCAGTGGAGCAATCCGCGTGGGTTCGAGTCCCACTCTCATCATCTGAACTAACATCATTCGCTGAAAGGTGGATGGTGAAATCTTTTTTTCTTCTTTTCTTTTCCTCAAAGTTAGGCACCTTTTTAAGTTATCATTTTGCATTGCTTGATTGATACTTGGAAATGTTTTTTTTTGTTTTGGTTGGCATTCTGCTCATCGTAAACTTGTTGAAAGGTATATGGCGCACAAAGCTTAGGTACCAATGGATGTACGGCATGGAAGGGAAGGGTTAAAAAGGAGGACCTCAGCAAACATATTTGAAATACAACTTGATTAATAAGTGAAACAGTATATAGCAGGTATCACTACAAAAACGGTTAGAGGTTCACTTAGGAAATATGGTGTAATAATGCAAGCACATAGTAAATAGAACTTCGTTTCCGGGTGAAGGCTATCAACTAATCTGAGACTGAACTGCCGACATGGCGGTACCCTTTTTCGTAGCTGTCTTGGTGATCTTGGGGCAAACCTTTCAATACATAGGGTGTAGTTACATAGCTCGTTACTGGTTCTTATCGTTACCTATATATGATCTGGCAACATGTGATTGAAGCGTGGCTATATTAGAGGTATCGAAGTATGTAAAATATCAGTTAGGACCTATTATATCTTATTCAACTTGTTTCAAGAAAATGAAGCTAGAGTTTATTCAAACACTTTAAGCTATAAGGGAACCATATATGACAGGACCGTGCCCAGAGGGAGGCTTGCGAAGCTATGCACAGAATAGGTTATCTAAGAAAGCGTCTGTTAGAGAACATAGGCGGTGTACCTGGTCTGATGCTTGGTACGTAATACAGGTTATAGGTTACCCCGATCGTTGGGAATAGCGATGCCTTGATGGATTTCATAGTAAATGCTCGTTTATGCATGTCACCCTGGGCTCTGCATAGGATGAATTGATGGACGGGCCACACTGATATTGATTATATGAAATCAGAAAGGGTGCATCTAATTGTCATCTACACACTTAGGAACGCGATGTGACCAGGCAGACAGACGCAACCCCCTATCAGTTATCCGTCGTAACTATTCCTGTCCCTATCCATAATTCATCACCACTAATAATCACATCGTTGTCGTCCAGCCAGAGATAAACCGTTAACGCCGTTGGGGGGAAATCTGAGAAAGTGTACGTCTTAAGCGGCGTCGCCGAAAGTGTTCTCGCCTGAGTAAGTTATGTAGAGGAATCTGTAAAAGAAGGATAGTTAGTTGACAAGTCATCACCATGGAGAACAGCGGTCAGAGAGGTAAACGTACCCGTCTTCATCCTTGTGCTCCTCGTAAATGCTACTCATGAGAGCAGCGGTCGGAGGGAGGACCTCATCAACGAAGATGAAGATGGCCTTCTCCGGGGACAGCTTGATGCGCTTTCGGATTACGTAGACAAACTGGCCTACGGTAAGATCGGCAGGTACAAGATACTTTTTCTTGTCGATGGTTGCGATATCTGATTTCTCGACCTTCTCGCAAATAACCTATTCGTAGAGATAATGGTTAGATTCTGGGAGAGTTGAAAACGAAGAGCGGACAAAGCGGTGAGATGGTGAATGCGGGACGCTAGAGGGGAAAGAATGACGACAGAAGCTACGAAGATGACTAGACGAGACGGTTGAATAGATAATAAAAATGATAATGACAAGAGAGCTATGAATATAGAAAGATGAAGAAAATGAATACATACTGGAATGCGGTCGGCATATTTCTGACGGATGCGCTCGGCTTCGGCCTTGCGCTTCTCAAAGGGGTGTTCGTCCTTAAACTTTGATCGCATCTTGACAGTATCGTTTGTTGGTGTTAATGAGATGGTCTATAGGAGATTAAGAAGAACGGGTGGGCGTATTTAAAATAAGAAAGATGAACTAGAAAAATAGAAGATGGTAGACGATAGAAGATGATTTCGTTTCAGTGGCTTTGTTTGATGATTATGATGATGATGATGGATGGATGGTTCTTGTTTGGTAAAGGTGTTGAGGTTTAGGTTAAAGGTTGGAGAGGGTTTGCGGTGGGGGAGGGAGTCGTGCTAAATCTAAGGCAACCTTTCCGGTCGCAGCACCCCAAGTAGCAGCTTAGAGCCCAGGTGATTTGGGTTTGATGACCAAATTTATTAATGTACCTTATGGTAAAGCAACTCAAATGACTTGGACTGAGCCACTGATGTACTGTTACAGTCACCGATAAGCCTAGTGTAATGTCTACATCTATCTACAATGTACCTAACAGGCAGAGGCAGGCAGAGGCAGGTACTAACACTAGAGTAAGGCTGCCGGGGCGGTTAGGTATTTAGTGCGCGAATGCCCACTGTATTACATTTGTATAGGCAGCTAGGTATTGGCGGGGCAGGACCTCAAGTAAGCGGGGCAAGTCTATTGGTATTACCTACATAGGTAGGCAGTGACTGAGTGACCGGTGACTGGATGAGCAATTAGTAAAACGTGACCAAGCCAAAATAGGATTAGTTAGATCTACCTCATAAAGTTAAATACTGTATAAGTCAAAGCTTTCAATTAATAACATGTACAGTACCTTACTCATACTCATTTATATGTACATAGGCACATGTACATATTCGCACTTACAATTACCTCTGATTCCATCATCAGCCATTCCGTCACAACGTGCTATCACTTGATCGCTACTTTATAATAAAAATAAGGCACGTTTTCGACAGGTCCCGAACCTTTGAGCCCTGACGAAGCATAATGGAATGACATGGAAAGAACGGAGCATTAGGTTAGGTAATTAATTATTCATTGTTCGTGGCTGGTTACCATGACTAATCCGATGGACATCCTTATCGTCTTGAATAGACCTCCTTTTACATACTAAGCTACTAGGTCTATTTCTTTTACTTCGGAATTAGTGGTGAAGATCTGGCTGTTAGCATCAAGTCACCGACACTATCGAGTACCAAAGCTTGAACCATATTTGTTGGTTGACGGGTATATGTTATTTTACTACTTACATGACCTGTTTTCTTAATTTATCACGAACCAAGTTACATTGTGCATGGTCCTCCCCCTTTTTTGTGCCCTTCTCAACGAATTACTTCGCCCTCCTTGTCGATGCCTTCTTCCATCTCTAAGATATCGCTCCTAGCTAGAACACCACTGCCAAGCGTAGTCGCCTTGCGAGATGCTGCCCATACCTCATGAAATTTGACGCTCTCGTCGCTGCTCGCTACCACGATACAGCCCTCTTCGGCAGTGCGGCTCCTTAATCTCTCCTTTGTACGGTATGTATCGCTCGGACCACCTGGGTATGCTATGGCATACAACGCACGGTGTTCTCCCTCCTACGGCACGGCGGCTACTTGTTGACAGTCTGGCCAGCTGAACACGGCGATGCGGTATGGGTGGTCAGGTTGTGCGTACCCAAAAGTTGCTGCGATCTCCCGCCGAGTCTTGCTCCATATGAGAGAAGTAACCTGAGCCGCAACCGAGATAGTAGCGAGTGCAGCCCCAGAGTTTGCGTGGTAAAAGTGAATACATTTGTCGTTAGACCCTCCACCAGTAGCAATCAACCCTTGACGCCACGGGCAGAATGCGATAGCTTTGACAGCTGCCCCGTGATGCCATCGGTGTTTCTCAGAGCCGGCTGGAAAATATTTCGAGGCCGATAATGGATCGGGGCTGTCATACGTAAATTCGGGTAATGACAACGGAACACCGTCTCCAGGGTTAAGGGTTTGTGATGAAGTAGATTGTATTTCGCCGCTAGGCGTGTCAGCTATTGACAGCTTCGAAAAGCCCAAATTTAGGTCACACTCTGTATCTGTGAGACTGTCAATAGCGAAGAGGCAACACAGATTGTCGTTTCCTCCTGTGGCGAATTGTTCGCCATCAGGAGACCAGGCGAGACCACATATCTGTTGGGAATGAACTTTGATACGAGCAAGTAGAGTCATCGTACCGCGCCAGTTTTCCCGAGCCACTTCCTAGGGTTCGGGCCATTCAACCGCGTAATAATAGACGTCGCCCAGGTCGTCACCTACGAGGAGGTCTTCCGTATTAACTAGGACGCCAGGATTGCGCTTATTTCGAGAAGGTCGTGGGGTAGAGGTAGGACGCCAGGAGAGGCAGGCTATGGGTGTATGATGATACATCTCAAAGCGAGGGAGTAGGCTGTCGAAAAGTGATACTAAGGAGAGCAGACCGCTTGATCGGCCAAAGGCGAGGATGGACTTGCCGCCCTTCTCGGACGAGAATGCTACCGAAGTTAACCACGAACCGTCCTTGAGTCCCGCATTCAAAAGCGTGACGCCTGAAGCTTCTGACCACCCATAGAGCAGATTGCCTAAGCCAACAGCCAACGTGTTACATGTGCGAGAATATGCCATCACCGAGCAATAGAAGTCGTCACGAAGGCCCGGGGCATCGAGGACTCTGGTAGATGTCAACGGCTGTATTGCGAGAGGAGAAACTTACGCACTTGAACGGAGCATTAGGGAGACACCGCTCTTCCCTCTGAATTTCTATGGTCGTGTTAGTCTTATCGAATTGTTGAGAGGCATGGGGTTAGCATACTGGGCACGTAAAAGTCGTTGCTCCACTCGCTTCCCGTCCATGTCGTCCTGGTTTCTCGCAGTAGTAGTCTCTCTTTGTGTTTACAGCGAGGAAAGGTTGAGTATCCGTCAAAGTCTAAAATCCGTTGGATTCGGTCTATCTTTAGTGCTAGAGCGAGTCTGCCTTCGTGTTTCTCCTGCTCATCTTCAGATTTGGGTCGCGCATCCGAAAACGCAGTGGCATATAAGCGGGCATTCGTGCTAGAGCTCACCCTCCGCCCGCGCCCGTCATCGACGCCTCCAGGGGCCAAGCCGCCTACAGACCAGACGGCACCACTGCTGACTTGTCGTTGTTCTAGGCTGTGCAGCCCTAGGACGGTGCCGACACGCCGCTGGCTACCGTCGGACCGAGATGCTTGTCGGACAGAAAGGGGTGAAAATCGCTTCGGCGTAAAGCAAAAGACATCTGAGGCAGCATTTTCCGTACGATGAATTCGCTCTAATGGTGATAGCTCATTGACTTGCTTGGCGGCTCGAAAGCGATCTTGAAGGGGCATATATGATGGTACAAATCGGTCTGGTGACGTGATAGGCATGTTGTGGAAAAGAAAGAATAATGAAAGCTACTGATACCATCGCTTAGGTCGAGAGAGAAGAATAAACTAGGGATTGACGAATTTCGCGAAGTGGATATGCGAGCCAGGTGCCCACTGAGGATTACAAGCGTTCCTACATTGTTCGAAAAAGTGAGAGAAGGAATGAATAGGCGAATGTAAGAGAAGGTAGACTACACGTATTAGGTATTCAGGGAAACTGTTTCCGCTTTGAGGAACATTGATTTAAGCTATACGAAACCTTAGTTTATGATACTGATAGAGCTATGCTAGTAACTACCTCCTACCTAGACAATACATAGGTAGAACCTATTGTTTTATAAATATCAGCTTGTTCGAGGTAATTTCTAAGACTCATCTCCCTAGTGGTTTGTCATGAAGTCTTCAAATGGAAATCGCATGAGATGACGACGATAGCTTTCTAATTGTCTGGGTGTAATTAAAGGTATCAAAAATAGGATGAAGAGTTTAACTGTATCGTAAAACAATCTCTTTAATTATTCATATTGACATGGTCTTTTCGTATTCTCACAATTTATATTTGATAAACTCGGTACCTATACCTAGATTTGAGTTTTGCTAAAGCTCTTAGAACGATAAGCTAGAAGGTAGACATAATAAATGGGTAGTATGGATTCTTTTAGTTTTACCCGTATGTAGAGCCAACATAATGAACAAATTGGGGACTTGACTATGAAGGATCTATTTATTTCACTTTAACTTATGAATTTATAAATAGAAGAATAAAAAAGGAGATGAGCGAGGAAAGAGACATGTTTGTTTTACTTTAACTAAGTTAACTGTAAATTAATGAAGCTTACCTAAGGAATTATTACCCCACTACCATCATATCATCATACCTTACATATTATCGTATAGACTTTCCTTTATCCTTTATCTTATCGACGGTATTTCGTCAACTTACTCTTATTCTTACTCCTACATAATACTGATACATTGGATAAATATTTGTAATATAACAATTTGTAATCATATGGGGAATAGGTATATTGCTCGCTGTCCGTCCCCGCTGCAGAAGAAGCTTCGATATGGATAGCGTGCGTTTACTCGAAAGAGAGACATGGTATGGCATAGCTGACGAGTCGCAAGATAGCACGGCGCAGCTCGCACCGCTCGAACTGCACGAACCGAAGAACAACGCCGGCAGGATCTTGATAGGATTAGCAAATATCGCGACCTCGAGGATTCCATCCGTACCCAGGCCTTGGCTGACAACTACGACTCCGCCTTGTTCCAGTTGACCTCTAAATTACTCCGTCTAAATCCCGAATACTACACAATATGGAACGTCCGTCGCCGCTGTCTAATCTCTGGGTTATTCTCCGCACCCTCGGATGGATCATCGCTCTCGAAGGCGTCACTGAATACTTCTCAGAACGACACTATGAATCCGTCTTCAGACTACTCCTCTCATTCATCCTCGGATGTGACCCCGCTATACCGAGACTCCCCGATAACTGGGAAGAATGGTACTATAGTTGAGGACAGGCGAAGAGAAGACGTCGAGGCCGATGTAAACACATTGCAGTCCGAGCTTTCATTCACCATTCCTTTGCTCCTAGAGTACCCCAAGTGCTACTGGATATGGAAGTACCGTAGGTGGCTTCTCGAGCAAGCCATCGTACGACTCCCCGCGACGACTGCGCGCAATATCTGGGAGGCCGAACTTGCCCTAGCGTCTAAGATGCTAACCAAGGATCGCCGCAACTTTCATGCATGGGGATATAGGAGGAACGTGGTGGCTACACTCGAGAGTTCTTCACTAGATGGCAAGAGCATGGTCGAGGACGAGTTCGCCTATACCACAAGAATGATTAATGTCGACTTATCTAATTTCTCAGCCTGGCACACCCGAAGTCAGCTGATATTACGTTTGCTTGATGAACGCGGAGCCAACGACGTTGAAAGGAGGGAATTCCTCGAAGCAGAACTTGATCTCGTTCGAGAAGCTCTCAATGTCGGACCCGAAGATCAGAGCCTTTGGTATTACCATCAATACATGGTATCGCAGATCGTCAACCGCGCCAACAAGCCGACTATAGCACCGGCTCTAACCGTAACGGAGCGGGTTACTTACGTAAAGAAGGAGATTGATAATATCAAGGACTTGCTGGAAGACTATGAGGACGTGAAATGGATTTACGAGTCTTTACTAGAATATACAATCGCGCTGAAGGGTCTCGGAGTGCAGGTTGAAGATCCCGCAAAGTGGCTAGTAAAAGTCCGAGCCCTAGATCCAATGCGGGCGGGTAGATGGGATGATATAGAGAAGCAGCTGGGAGCTGCTCAGCACTGAGTAGCCAACTATTGATGCTACTGCTACGTTCCTGATGCATGAGACAAGTTGTGCTTCCACCCTCTCAATTCTCTCTAGACAGGTAATGTACCATTACATTTGCCTACGACCAAACTGGCATCCGTCCCGACTAGCCCGTCGAAATAAGCCAGTAGGGCTTCTGCTGGCACCATATCTAGCAGGCCGAGGCTAGGGTTAGAGGATCTAAGTGGCTTACCACCAAATAAAACCCTCACGAAAAACTTACCGTCGTATGTCCCTTTTGATTGCCTCTGACCAGCTCCGAGATTGGATTTTTTACTCGAGTTTCGAGATGCTGTCCCGTTTCTCTTTCCCTCGTACAACTCAAACACTACCTCACTACCCATTCCAGGCCACTAAGAATATTCCGTGTCAGCAATCCCCTATTTGGGGTTGTAACAAGATAACACAAAACAACTTACCACCATAACATCTATTTGTAGTATACTTAGCAACCGACTCACAGACCCGTCGTGCGCTATATTGTGGAAGTAGATGGGCCCACTCTCGCCAGCCATCACATCTCGTAAGTGTTTACTCAGTTCTGCAACCCAGACACCGTACGTAGTAGCAGACGCGGCAAGCGAAGCGTGGGCATCGCGGTATATCTGCGAATACTCCCACTGCCCCATGCGATATACGGTATCAGCTGTCGCCTGGTCAACGCATGTGGACGAGTTCGCGCCGTTTTCTAGCTTGCACGGCAACGGTTTGGCGTGGCACTGTCGCGCGGATAGGTTGTCGAAGTAGTGGTCGAAACTCGCGTGGAAGCCGGAGTCGCTCGGGGACACCCCTGATATGTTATCTAACTTGCTAAACAAATCTGTAGCGGCCTCTAGATGGTGTTCCCAAGCCGCGTTAGAGGAGGATCTGATCGTGTTGAATAGATTGCTGCCTACTCCGCAACTATATTGCGGTTCGAGGCTGTCGACTCCGGCCCCCTGAATAGTCAGCGGTACGGCCTCGGTCGTTCCCCACATCCCGTTGATCAACATGCCGGCGACCTGACTCGTGATTACGTTTTGGGTCACACGGTACGTCACGCTAGCTCTCCAGTTTTCGTCTTTTCCGGGGATAAATCCGAGCAGGCCGTGGTAGACCTCGTAAAGGTCTCGACCGTGGACCCAGGAGTCGTCGAGCCCCGCAGAGGTTATCTGGGGGAATTGGCAGGTTCCGATCCAACCTGAGGGCGTAAAGGGGTTGATCGGTGATATATAGCCTTTCCAATAAACTTCAGCAGGTCGCTTGCTGTTGCTCCCGAAGGGGCTCCCGTAGTAATAGAGTCCTTGGTCGTCGCAGTCCCAACGGTAAGATTCTACTGGAAAAGCATTGCTCGCGTATGGAGTTCGCTTGTGGTGTCGTTGAATCTAGCTAGGCTTAGTTACTTGCCTTGGGACAATACGGTAGAAGCTTTAGACTAACTATTTCGACGTATTTAAGCTTATACTCACTTGCTGGCTTGACGTACTCTGTCTTCCGAACATGCGGCATGTTGCACCAGTTATACGTCCCATACTGCGCGTCTGGCGTCTCCGAGGTGTCGAAGATAAACCCGTAGACCCCTTCGCCGCGCAAAGCGGTAGTTAAATTGTTTATAGACGTGTTGCTTGGAGGGTACCATCCCAAATCGACTTTTTGCGCGGCGGTAACTGTCGTTATAGACCACAGGCTCGAGAACCACGATTTCATGATGGTGGCTGGACGGGTTTCCGTCAATTTGGAGTAGTGTAGTGCGGTGATTAGTGCAGCGTAGATGGAAATGAATATTAATGCGAGACTAATAATCCCTTGCTGTCGGGATGGCATAGCTGTTTTAAGTACCTGATGTGTAGACGTAGGCTCTTGTCGGCGTCAAAATGCGACTCTACTTGACCCTCCCCACGTAGTAGCGGCAGTAGAGATTCATCTGTACCTGACATGGATTTACTTATCTAGCGTATGTTATTTTGGAATCCTATTACCACATAGGATTAGTGAGTTTACTATGTCCTTCATGAGGAAAGTTACCTAAGGTATTAAGAAATGAGTTTATATATAGTATTATCCCTACTAGTCCCGAAAGTTTCGCTTTGATGAAGCTTTATTTGAATGACTTCATTATATATAGTGAGTGGTAGTACGTATAGCATGACTGGGCACACACGTTCTCGCGAGGACTGAGCTGACTGGTTGGAGATGCTAGCCCAACGCCTCGAACAATCCGGAGATTAGATTTACTTACTTTAACTTATAAACCACTTGCATGTCAGGGATATAATATGTACCTCTTTAGGTTACTGGATTGTGGCGTTTTTATTTACTATTAAATTATATACTTACCTACCTGAAGATTTCTGAGGTAGGTATGTCGACTTGTAAGTGCAAACATCTCATTATAACGCTAGTTATGGTAAATTATGATATCTTAGGTAGGTTCTATACTCATACCGAACACTTCTAATTAAGCGCAATGGCAGAGATACGCCAAGGTCTTTCTTCTATATATAGGTAGATTAGGTATCTAGGTAGGTAAGTACTGTATGTATCAACAAACCATTAAAAGTACTTCTGCGTCTGCGCAAAGTGCATCCCCGCCGCAAAATGGAACAGCTTCGCCGCGACGATAGTGCGCTCGGCCTTGGAATACTCGACCAAGCGGTCGTACAGCTCGCTCAGAGGCACGACCACGCGCTGGATGTGCTCGCCGTCCTCGAGGCGCTGCTCGGGCTCCTCGTCGCCCTCGCGCAGCTGCACCTCGACCATGGCCATCTGCATGTTGGCGTCGCTCATGCCCGGGTCGGCGGCCTGCACGGGGCTGATGCTGAGCAGTCGGCAGTCGTACCCCGTCTCCTCTTTGAACTCGCGCACGGCGGCCTGCTCCGCCGTCTCCTCCGCGTCGATCAGCCCCGCCGGCCATTCGACCGTGTACGCGTCCAGCGGCGGCCGGTACTGGACCACGAGCATGGTGGATGCCGGCCGCGACGGGTGCAAGAGGATGTTGCCCATGGCGACGGCGTCGACGCCCGCTTTGCCCCGCGTCTTGCGCGTGGCTACCTCCCACGTGCGCTGCTTGCCGATCTGGTCTGTGTAGTCGATTTTCTTGAGAGTCACCCATTTTGCCTGTTCGATGGGTAGGTCTGAGATTTTGTTGATGACTGGTTCTTGGGTCTTTTGCGACATCTTGAATGGCGACGGGGGGTTTATGTGCTAAAGAGCGAGTGCCTGCGAACGGGCGCGATATTGTCGTAGCGAGATGTTGAGTTTGAATAGTCCGGGTTTTGAGCAGGTGGGATTTTTTTCATAGAGGTTTGGACTTACTGGCGATCTCGTTGGATGATTATCGGAATTGAGAAGATGAGATTGTGTAATGGTTAAATATATAGATCTGGATTAGATAGATCGTTTATATGTAGAAACATTATCTTGCAGTTCGGGAGGATTACGTCATTGTTTAGATAATTAAGCATATGGCACAATCAAATAGTTACTAATGTAAGTTAACAATTGTATAGACAATTTTTAATATTTCTTTTTGGGGAAATACTCATTACCTAAGTATTATAAATAAGATAGGTAAAGCTTGTATCCGTATTTAATACTATGTTATTGCTGTTATGGATATGAAATGTAGAGTAAAAAGAGAGTGATATGGATCAAAGCAGTCTAGGGGCTGGATATTATTCGACTGGTCACTGAAAAACAAACTAAAGTAAGTGTAGCAAATATTATTTTAATAGCAATAAAGAAAGTATAGTATAATTCTATAAGACTCATTAATATCGTGATAATCTGCTGAAGGGACGTTCTAAAAGTCCCAACTTTGATGTTTAGCGGACTCGAATTGGACAACCCTGAAGCTCAATGCCGTATTGCTACACCAAACCACTTCGCTAAGAGACTTGAATTATTATTACCTAGTATATCCTAGCTATTACGAGTAGATTATGCTTGCTAGATTGCTAAAAACCGGCACTATATATCATAGTCTTTGTTTCTGACCAACCCCTATTTCAATATCTCATTCAAGACCAATTAACAAACACCACGGTCTTTGGCCAATGGATATATTGCATAGATACCAATCCGGAGTGTCTTTATTCGTACACTATGCACTCTATACTATCTTTGGAATGTCAAAGCCTTTGTTATATTATGAAGACAAAGCAGTGAAGAATTGACTCGTGTATATGGTCACTATGAGGAAACTAGGTAAGATATAGCTGCATTTTTCGATCGAGTATTCCATCATGTCGGGGTCGAGCGAGAACCAGATGTCATGGTTCAGCGAAGGGGGTGCTGAAGCAGTCGCAGAACGAATAAAAGCATTTTTCGATCACAGCAATAACTTCCGATGGGAAGGCACAATTGGTTCGGGGGCTAACGGTTCTGTATACAAGGTTACACGCCACGGCGAAGGTGGTCTATGGACATTCGCAGTTAAGATATGTCATATAGATGTCGATCTTAATGGGAGTAAATCATACGACGAGGGTGACGGGGATGACGGGGATGAAGAAGACGAAGTGTTGCAGCTTGCTAACGAAAAGCAATGGCTAGAGGTGAGTGTATTTTATTTTGAATTTCTCTGCTTATATACTCACGATTTACAATATAGAGGCTGCGCGATTGCTATCATATTATTCAATCGTATGACGTACACGATGATCCGCTTAGACGGACGCCACACGGTCTCGCACCGCACCGGATGCGGACTTGGATATTCACAGAGTTTATTGAGAATGGTCCGTTAACGATGTTGGTCGATAGACATATCGAACTATACGGGGGGGAGTTGTTTCCCTGCCGTCTGCTATGGAGATTTTTCATGTGTCGTAAGTTTATCCAGTCACTGAAAGCCGAAATCAGTCTTCTACGTTCATCGAACTAACTATGGAGCGGTGTTTAGTTGTGAGGTTTTGTCTGGAAATGGCGTATTGTGGTGCTCAGCAAGATGGCCGAGTAGATCTAGCTACAGCTACTCTAGAAAGTCTCCGGGGGATCCCTATTGGGTATCTGGCCCATAAAGATTTGTCAAAGAGTAATATTGCGGTTGGAGATATCTTGCCTGATATCCAAGACCCTGAGCATAAAATAAGCCCGATATTGAAGCTACTGGATTTTGGAACAGCGGCGGTAATGGATCCCAGCGAGTGAGTACTTCATATTAGCACCTATAAGGTATAACTTACTTATCTATACATTTAGTCCTCGTTCGCTTGACGATTTTGATCGTACGGGCCCGCAAAGAAATATTAACGATATCGGCGAGGTAAGACAAGGCATTCCTACGAATCATGACTTATATAAGTTACTGAAATTCTAAAATAGGTTATGCAATATCTTGTGCTACAAAATGATGACATGACGAGCGAAAGAGCAACAGTAACCGTTGGCACCGAAACTTTTGAGACCTTTGCCGGTAGCTTACACGCAGTACGCGACGATTTAATAGCCCATGGCGTCGATGCTCAACTTTTAGATCTTATATACTGCTGTCGAGTAGTAGACCGACAGAGACAGCTTAGACTCGTCGACCTGGCCATAGCCGTTCGTAACTGGGTTTCTCGTAGGGGCGATTATGGTGTCGGACGAGAAACAGACGGGGAGATATATCAGAGGGTAACTAATCTGATTTACAATGCCGGGACTGGCAGTATTTGAGAGGCCTAAAAGTGACGACGACGACGACGATGACGATGATAATCCGGACCCTGGTGAGTACAAAGCAGAATATCCTACGAGTGATGAGGGTCTAGCGGAGTAGTTTGAGAGAGATATCATTCAAATATGGAGAGTCGGTATTTAACCGCTAGCATTTTGAAAAGTTCATGTAGTAGCATTTTAATAGCATTAGACAGCAAGAACCGTGAGAATTGACACTATTCCTACCTGATCTATGACCTTGTACCCTATAGCATAAGAAAATAAAACGCTATTCTTTATTTTCCGTGTCTCCCTGCTGTGAGTAGTAAATTTACGACTGAGGTTAGGCCTGCGCATCCATTTCCTTCAAATAGCCCCTATCAGAGAATAAGTGGGCCAGGGGTAGATTCAGGGGCAGATCTACTAGGATTGGACATGTAAGAGGAGTGCGGCGTCCTCGAAGGAGGGTAGAAGAGCAAGAGTTAATAATTTAATTCAATTATCTTGATATTTACTCTATGTATGACATCAATCAAGGGTTCTATCCGACAGCCCCCTGCTTGAACTATCCGAGTGAATGACTATATGAACTCGCAACAAACTGTATTGTTGATTGGCTTCTAATTAATCATTTGAGATAGCTTCACAGGTAATACGTATAACATAAAAGCGCGCATGTTGTATAATTACAAGTTCTAGAAGTCTATTTCGAAAGATGCGTCGTGTTGAAGAGACGATTGCCTGTATCAGTACCACCGCTTCCGGTATACTTGTTGTCCGAGACACGCAGGGCTATGAGTTCTAGCCCTGCTTCGAGAGCATACTCTGATACTTGACCACCCGGAGAGATCGACTTCTTCTGAACAACCCCAGTGATTACTACAACACGGACTTCACCGCTTAGTTTTCGCACGTGTTGTGTAAATTCTACTATCGTGCCGCCGTTATTGATGACCGAGTCAACTAAGACTACGTTGCGGATATTGTGAAGATGCTCGACCTTGATATCGTCTGGGCGGTTTGCATGAACAAACCGGGCGAGGGGGATGGCTCGACTGACACCAAAAGCCATGGCCTCACCGCCACGCATCAGTGGGATGATTAGGGTATCTTCCTCGTGGCAAAGTCGGTGGCCGCTTGTCTTATTGCCCTGGACATGATCTATGGGATACTCTTCGACACCGACAAGTTCCGATAGGAATTCAATTGCCAAGTACCACCCAGCGTTTTGATGAGCTTCTCTGAGGTCGTGACTAGCAACCGTTGCATTGCGCATAGGTGTCATTAATAGTTTGGCAGATCGCTTCTCTGTAGCGTGTATTAGGGATAGCTTGCCGGTATTATTATTCAAGGGGCCGGCGAAGAGGGAATCGATAAACTTTGGGTCGTGAAAGTCTACCAGGGGGAGTTTTTTGGTATCTAGTCGTGGTGGAACATTTCCGGGCAACAGAGCTTGATAAACTTCAAGGCCGTCATCAATAGCCTTTAGTAAAGCTGCATCCATGGATTTGCTTCTCGATTTCTCTTCGCCGACAATAACAACAGCTTTATTCGCTTGATTGAGCATCGCCAAATCTAGAGGACTATCCCCAAAGGCCCAAGTATGGAGTCCATAGGTTGATCGGAGGTGAAGAACTAGGGAGGCCTTGACTTCTGGGGTAACGAAGAAGCCATCCGAGATATGTCCTCCACCAATAACCTTTACTGTTCTTGATAGACCTGCTTTTAAGAGGATCTTATCCCATATATGTCGTAGACCACAAGTAACGACTACAGCGCCAACGTGATCATCTTCCTTCACCCTCCGCAAAAGTGATATGAATTCCGGCTGAAGAGTTACCGATGCTGCTACCTCCTCACAGAGAAGGTCAAACATATCATCAGAAAAGTTCTCTTCGTATAGTAGGACAGCTTGCCGAAAAGCGGAATAGGAATACCCCAACCTGCTGCTGAATATCGTCTTCAGTGGTTCATCGTCTGCAACATTTTGCTCATATTCTAAACTCTTTCCCCAAAACAGCTTTCCAGTATCATCCGCAGCCAGTGTTTTGTCAGCGTCCAGTACTAGCATTGTATGTAGTTGACGTGCGTCACTCGCAAGGATATTGTCTAGCTTTTCTATGGCGCGGGAAAGGTTCAAACTTGTTGTATGGCACTGGAAGTATCGTATCAACGTCAAGATCCGGGAGAGAAAAAAAGGTACCCACGCCCTCGGGGACATTGATGAAAATAAGATGTCATTATCGTAGCAGAGTTGACGCAGTTGAATCTTCTCGGCTTCTTGCCATTTGCGTAAGTGTTCGACGGAAACCGATGGGCGAACCCTCTTAGTGTCGTCTAACCGATTTCTTGAAATAAGGTCGGGGTTAATATTCAAGTAGATGATGTGTGTGTACACGTCCAAATCATTCGATGTACACACTGTACGTCCGGTCTCTTCATCCTCTTCCCAGAACATGAAGTGCCCGGCAACAATTCCGACACGTCCTGTCATGGAGCAGCTCTGTGCAATGTGGTCGATAGCAAGCTTACGATGATGGTCTTTTTCGGACTCTTCCAATTTCTTAAAAGCGCTAAGGCCTCCTGGAACAAGAGAACCGATTACCTCGGAACCCTCGTAAAATTTAAAAATTTCTGCGTTGAGTTCAAATTTTAGCTGTTCGAGTAAGAACGACTTTCCACATCCTGGTACTCCGTATAGGCCAATGATCACAGGCTTCGGTAATGGCGAAACTATAGTCTGAGGTCCTAATGGCCGGCTAGTCTTAGGATGAGCGGACGAAGTTGACATGGTGAGAGTTTCTTAATATTTGAAGCTATATTAAGGGGCTCTAGTAGAAATGATTTGGCTAATAAAGTATTTAGGATTTTCTTACTACATATAAAAGGAGGATACGAATAATGGCCTAAAATGTTGGCCTAAATGTTGGCCTAAATATTGTCAGTTGTAGCTCAGAGCAATACATGGGTTATTATCCCGCTCAACCCCAGATCTACCTGCGGGTATGTGCGTATCTCCGCCAACACTGCAGCCTTTACCTGTAGGACTCCTTAAGACATCAAGGTTCTACTAATATATTGTTACGATCATGCATTTACTTACATATATCAACTGATTTCTCCCGTCTAGGACAGTAGATAAAGTATAGATTATCCATAGTCACTACAGTAATATTCCCACTGTTCAATCAAAGAAGACGCTGCGGAATCTTGCAGATGCCGTACGTATGTTCCCGAAGTATTCTCCCGAATGGTGACGTAAATATTAAATTGAACGCCATCTTTGAGAGACAAGATGATCTGCGATTTAGATGCTTTTCCTTGTGCGACCTAGACATTTATCCAATTACTTTCTGCTCAGTTTCAACCACAATGGATTTAATAAATTTGTAGAAAAAACTGTTACTCATGAATAAAGGCGAACAGTGTACGCAAACAAGCCTGCCTCTACATTTACATACGAAGTAGTCTATGTCAAACGCGTGAATCATTAAGGATTCCCAAATCACCACTTGATATCGTTTCTAACCACTACATATTCTTTAACCAAACAATCTTCAGTATCCAATCTTCAACCCTTGATCACCTAAAAGGCAAATATGGCTCGTACGATTGCCAAGAAACTCCTACACCAATGGCACAAATTGCTCGGCCTGCAGCGTCAATCGCCGCTATCATGGCACCGAGACCGCTTGCGCGAGGAGCTCCAAGAACGCCGAAATGCAAGCACGCCTTTGGAGAAGCTCAGCGAGACGGCAGACGTATTCTTCTCGATCAGCCGCGCTAAGTACGATGGTTTTCCCGTCCGGCCGCTTCCTCGCTTTTCCGTCAGCCACATCCTCGTGTATGCGTACATGTTGGCCAAGTTCACATCTCGATGGGCGTTTTATCGGGTGGCTGCTTTCCTCTGCGGAGCTCCCAATCACGACATAGTGCGCGAGGTTGTGAATCCGTCCAAGGATAATAAACTAGATGAAGTCGCCTTCCGTCATCATATCGATCAGGGCAAGTTTAAGCGTATTGGACGCCGACTACGACGGGTTTGGCCTCTGTTCCCGTAGTGGCACTATTGGTGTGTACGAAAGCTACATGTATGCCACGGCTAGTTAGGGAGATTTATAGGCGTGCATGATGCAAGGTAAGCTACTTCCCTCAAATAGCCATGTTGTTGAACTTACTTGTCTAACACTCAAAGTCTATGGGCAAGTCATGCTGGTTTTAGACTACGGTACTTTTATCTCAACAGGATTCGATTCAGTCTCTGTGGTTGACTGGGTCTATGGAGCCGGATAGCAAGGCCATAGAGTTTATCCTTCACTGAAGACACTTTACGTGGGGAAGCTCTATTAAAAAGCTAGTATGAAATACATTATAGATCAATATACAGAACATCCGAATTCTAAAGTGAAATAGCCCCCTGAAAGAATAAATACGGCAGAACAAGATTAAATTACTTATGGATGTCACTCATGAAGTATTAGTAATTTTGATAGGCCTAATAATTCCTACTCGAGTTCGCTTGTTGCGTGAGGGAAACTGCCAATCAAGAAGGGCGAATACTTCTTCCTTCGTCTTAACTACAACATTAGTAAACATAATTCGACACTACTTTGAAGAGTTTTAGTGGGATTTATATGAGTTATATTGTGTTGTTTGATATTTTAACTATGATGCTGAAATGAGGCTTAGTAAATCGGCCTACTTTGCGTTGAGATACTGAATAGCACTCAGCTTGGTAGCACGAATTGCCTATTTTTAGGACTGCAGAATATGCACGGCTATGTTTTACAACATTCACAGCCTTCGTACAATAACCTTACTTGAAACTACAATTGGATATACCACTATATCAAGTTAGGGGTAATACGTCACACTCTCGTTAAAGTACGTATAAGATCGATATTTTTGTCGAGAGAACCAAGGCAACCAACTGGCTAGTAAGGACAGGCATACTTGCATCTGGTCTGCCTATAAGTCTGACTGATAGTTGTATATTAGAGGCTAAGAGTTGGACATAAGTGAATAAGAGCAAGCTAAAATATTTTGGCAGCAATATTCAGCCTTTATTGTCCACGCGAGACTTATGGAACCGACATAACAAAATTCGACAGCTACTATTTTTATGCTTCAAAATCGCTTAGTCGTCCACGATTCCGCGGGCAGAGTTACGATGGAACTTTGTAGCATATGTGTGCTTTTAGGAGTCGTAATATGTTTCAAAGCACCAACCTCCGGGCTCTTGTCTTGTAATCTGTATATAATGTTTGGTGCTGCTTCGTTAGTCACTCCTTATTCGACGGTAATGTAGAGTTTAGCCGACTCAGATTGGTCAACGGCGCGGGAAATGGAAACATGTCTTTCTAATATTACGTGCCGTACTGGTATCCAAGGGGATTTTACTATTCTCGACGCACTAAGGCCAGGGGTATCTACAACTCGGCAAATACATCCAGCTCAAGAGAAAGGCAAGGCTATATATCCCATTCCGCTCTATCCTATTCCTAACGACCCCAGAAGAGTTGCTCAACAGCTAATCCCAACACGTATATTAGAGATCCTCTTACTAACGATTCTTCTTCTATCTATAACAAGTTGGATTACGATGCCACGTGTGAATATTCTTCCACGAAATCCCACCAACATCGCAAGCATAGTAACACTACTAGCCGGCGGAAGTCTGCTCAATCATGTACCCTGAAGTCGTAACTGTAGTTCAATAGATAAGTTTCAGTGGAGATACGGTGTATCTATGCGACTTTGAATGGGTTGGAATAGTGAGTTGGATCAGCCCCTGAAGGAAAGGGATAGATTCAACGGGACCGCGAGGTTTGGGAATTTTGGAATAGGATTAAAGGATGAGGTAGAGCGTAGGACAAACACTGTGGGTAAGGTTTGATGTTCTCCTGTTCTGCTGGTTGAGTCCACTTTCTCGCAAGCAAACCCCTTGAATTTGTAGTTCTATATAGAAGTAAGGAGTCGAACCTATTATAAACGAAATGACTGAAACCACTTTATTAAAAGCTCGGTTCTAGAAGTAGAAGTAGAGGTGGGATTTGGTGAGATTAATTTCAAGCAAACTCTGACATAGTACCAAACCAACTCTGTCTTCGGTATATCAGCACGTTCCAACTAATTCGCGAGAAAAGGGGATGAAAACATGGTATTCTCAATTTGCGTTAAAATTAATATTTCTATTATGAACTGAATATATAATAGTTATATTAAATAAATTTGACATTGCCGAAGAAAGGCGTCATGTGAAAGTTCGACTCGTTAGTCGGACTCCACGCGCCAAGTAACTGGTCCGGGAACGTATCCGGCGATACAACAGTGCGGAAGAAGTTCATCCTCCACGATGTCCCCTTCGCCTGTCCGTCGTCAACGTTGAAGAGTCCGAGCGGGATCTTGGCCGCCGAGACCCAGGTTTGCGCTTCCTTGTCCAGCGTCGTCTCGGCTGTTAGGCCGTCGACCACCGGCTGGGTCAAGAAAGAAGTATCCATCGGAGCGCCCGTCGCGCGCACCTTAGACTTGTTGTAGATCCAGGCCTGGAAAGTGACGTTGTTCGGGCTGACTTCGAACTCCAGGTATGTCTGCGGGTCGTTGGTCCCGTGGTAGATGAAACCCTCCATTACTTCATACGCCCAGATAGCGTCGTTGGTTGTCTGGCTTTCGTTGAAATAATAGTTTATCTCCTCGAATGCGGTAAAAGTTGCGTGGATCGAAGTATCATCGTAGCAAATATCGACCTGGGTCTTCGGGAAGCTGGCCTTATCAGGTACGGATTTGTCGTATTGAACAGTGCCTTTCCCGACGGAACATGCCGGCGCCTCTAGCGATGGCACGCTGGCGCACGCGGTGCTGGCTACCGTAAGCAAAGACCCTAAGCACAACTTCATGCTGAACGAACGACCCATTGCGCAGACAAGTTTTATTTAATCTGGAAATGTCGATTTAAAGAGAGTGAAGAGGTCGTGACTAGAGAAGTTGAAGAATACGAACGTGAGCCTCATCGTGGGAAGTCCCCGGTATTTGTTTTCCAAGATAAAGGGTCTCGTGCAAGGGATGTTGGCGACTAATTTCCCCATATAGGATTAATTACATCCTTCTGGAAGGAGGATTGCGCAGGCACTGTAACGTAGTACACCTAAACGAGCAGCTTAACCTGGTCCAGATCATTCCTTGGTTGCTTGGCATCGAAGCACCATGTTGGCGGAACCTGTCAGTTATGTATGTAGACCTTGCACCAACAACATGCCGTGTATGTGTCTCATAAAGTATTCATAAAGTGTTTGAGGCGTATTGTAAATCTCTCTTAATGGATGCCGCGAGATTCTATTTTTGTATAGATTTAAGCTTGTTGGAAGAAATCTGGATATGTATTTCTTCATTCGTCTGTTTTCTTGTTCTCGTCACCCTTTTCACCCTCCATTGCGCCGCCTGTTGGCTTTTTAGACACATCATAACATCTAAACCAAGGCATAAAGAAACCAGACAACAGCGCCACGCCGGCGAATGGCATAACAATCGCGAACGTAGACCGCAATGCGCCATTGTAACCCTGTACAATACCTCCCTGGCTCGCTCTAGGAAAACTCGAGATTGCTTCACTACTTGCACCTGCGGACAAAACTACTAATGGATCGATATCGGGGACTGATTGACGAAGCGCCTTCATAAGCTGATTTTAAAAGACTGCTTGCGCTGTAGGAAGTATAAAAGCGCCACTCATTGATTGTGAAACTCGAGGTAGTATTAGTGCATTGAAAACAGGGCAAACAGATGGATAAAAGACATACAAATAATGATGGGCGTGGCTGTCGACACATCCTTTATCGGTACCACGACTTGTGATAGTATGAGAGGAATGGTGAGACAAAAGCCAACTCCAACTCCGAGTATGATCTGAAATCCAATCCATTGGCCTGCGCTGAATTGTTCGTCAAGCAGCATGAGCAAACCAGACCCAACAGCTGCAATCACAGGTCCCAAGATTAGAAATGGGTTATGGACTCCGGTGGCGGTAATAATACCACCGATAACAATTTGAGCAATGGTCAAGCTCAGGATAAACGGGATGAGCCGGACATCAGAAGAGATGGCCGAAACACCACGCACTGCCTGGAAATAGATAGGGAGCTAGTAAAGAGCAAGGTTGAAACAGCCTGCAATGCTAAGATTATGTCAATCTACAGGTCTCGCTCTGAGGGATATATATGATGGCTTACAAGAACTCAAAAACGGCACTGACGAGTAAGACCCGATTCTTCAGGAAACTCGGCATGATAAGTACCCTCTCTCCTTGAAACCATTGATCAATGGCGAATAAAACAAGAAAAATCGGTGTGGCGACCAAGGTACCCACGACGTCTTGATCCGCCCACGCCTTCTCTACGCCAGCCCATCTTAAAGCAAGCGTAAGGCAAACAATGATGGCGCAGATAAGTACAGCTCCAGGAATATCCATCTGCAGGAACTTTTCCTTTGTAGTCGCCGGTGTTGGCGATGCAGATTTTGGAAGTCGAAATGCAAAGAGCATGGTGTGATAAAAGGTGGTGTAATAGAAGTTGGCTTTTAGGTAGACGCTTACCGCAAATCAGGCTGCCTACCTCAAAGATGAGGATGCCCAAGAGGAAGACTCACTTCACGGGAAAATGCTTGTACGCTTTCCCCCATACCGGCTGTGTAGCCGCTATAGGAAATACTACAGCCGAGCCGTACCAGCCAACATCTTCAAGGCTGTGGAATTCGTTGGTGATGGAAGGGATCGCGTTGGTGATTATGGTCTAGCGAGAATTAGAGAACTAGAAGTTGAGTAGGTAGGTCATCCTTTTTTCTTGACGCACGGTATCAGGAATATGCTGAGAACAAGAGCTGCAACGATAGCTGCCAGACGTAGGCCGCCCGGATACTCGTGCTCCTCGATGGTTTGGAACGGGCTGGCCTCGCCATCTTCGACAACTACTTCTTTAGATATCGTAAGGTGTAGAAGGAAAAGAAGTAGGGGAAAAGAAGAAAAGAGGTTGAGTTTCTCATGTTTAATCTAGCTGCGAAAAGCCCAGGCTTCTTATCTCTCTTTCCCTTTATTTCCTAGGGGGCCGTTACACGATCCATCCCTGACATAGTAGTAGAGTATTTTTAGGGCCCTCACACTTTGAGCATCGCCAACATCAGGCGAATCTCGTGGTTCACCTTGCCAAAGACACTCTCAAGCCTCCCTACCTCGGCCTCTAACTCAGTGTGCAATGCCTCTAATACGCGGAACACATACCTTAGACTACCAGCTTCGCGCATGTGTGTCAGAATAAGGTGTTTCTGCTCTATAGTGCATTGTCCATTTCGGCGGCGCTGATTTAGAAGACCTCTGAGCTGCAGAGCCTTGTCCGTGTGCGCCAAGGCGTGAATAAGAGGTAGAGAGAATTTACCTTCGTCGAGGTCTTCGCAGAATCCTTTCTGCGTCGTATACTACTTACGATTAGCCGTGTCTTGGGGGCTCTATACAATGCCACCTACTTCTTCCGAGACAAGATTTTGATAGTCGTCGCGGATCTGAAAGTAGCGTCCTAGCAACCGGCATAGTGGATCGATAACCGCTTGGTCGACGTGTAGAGATTCGGCGGTCATCAACCGTGCCAATAAACGGAAAAGCCCTCCCGTTTCTAAGACATTAGCTTAATTGCCTCTTACTTACAACTGATACAAAGATGATGGAGACCTACTTCCGTCGACCATCTGCAAGTATTCTACTACCGAAGGGCATTGCATCTCATTAGTCCAATAAAGGTCGAACCCCTGACCCACGAATAAATGATGCATTTCTTCGATAAAAATATCCAGACAGAGTGGATTCTTCAGCCTACGAAGCTCTGTGATAGCTTGCACGTATTGAAACGTCGCAGAATTAATCGTTTGCGCCTCGCCAAATATCATGTGAGTTGAAGGACTTCCACGTCTCAGTTTAGATCCATCTTGTAAGTCGTCCAGCCTATGCCGTATAACTTCAGCTTAAGGAGCGCACACACACACACACACACACACACACTTCCGGCTATGCACTTACATGATAGAGCTGTTATGAATTGTCTTGATCACGCCTCGAATGACGGCGGTGGACTCTGGTGAAACTCCTAGCCAGTGATTGATACCGTCGATTGCCATATCTCGAACACCTTTCGATGGTAGCGAACTGACATAGAGAAAAGGCTCGAGTACAAACTTGACTACGTAGTTAGCAACCAGACTTGAAGACTCGAAAGTACCTAACTTACTGCTTCTCCTAATTTAGGTAACTCAGTACTGCGCGTCAGGTGGAGAATATTCCAGTCGTTATCCTCATCGGAACTCTGGCGTTGGCTGTCTGTTGGGTCTATTGGTAACGCACTTTGCCTAGTCTCCTTATCCGACAAATTAGGATATCCATTCGTCCTCACCTTCTTACTTGAAATGGACGTATGCTCTGAACGACAGCTTGTACGTTTATTCTGGCCGACATACTGGTACGTTATAGGGTGCTTTGCAACACCATCCTTCTCCCGCAATATCTGTCGCTCATTGTACTGAATGTTCTTGTGGTATCTAGGACACTGCATACTCCATACGACATTCCCGCTTATAGTGTACTGCATGAGTTCGATGTATCTTTTCACATCGCTAGAAAGGTCGTCCCTTGACATCGTCTCCCTTACTATGCATGTATACTTTACTACTTCCTCTTTGATGCGCATCCGGCACCTGGCCTTGGCATCTTCTAGCGAAATATTATGCTCGCCCATAAGTATCCACAGAGCGTTGACGACGATAGGAAGCCCTGCAGCTTGGGCGGCTTCGTATTCTTTCTCGTAGGAGAATAGGTCATTGGTTAAGCTTGCTGCGATCACAGCAGGTAGCACAAGCTCCGCGCATATGCTCGTCTCTTCTTCTGTGATGGTAATGGCGCAACCGAATATAACAAGAGCGTGCCAAAACCTACATGACGAGATGAGAACGGTGGATGAGACTTCAGGGTTAGAATGCTTACATATGGCCGATATTTTTAGAACGATATGGCAGATATTCGTCTAGTGTTTGGAATTTACGGTGGTGTTGGCGTCCGGCTCCTTGCTCCATGAATGTTGCTTAAGAGCGCATGGCAGCCAAGGCGCGTGGCCGATCAATGGCTATCATCGTGTTGAGGATTTTTGCTTGCATCTGGCGCTTCCCGGATTTCAGAGAATCGATCTTTCCGTCTCGCACTCCTTCGCGAAACGCATCCAATACTTCCTCGTTATTGATGTTTCCCTTTCGTGTTATCAGTCTTGTAATAGCTTGCTCTACACAGGCTCACCTACCTCGTGCTGGCTCAAAATATCTGTGGCGTCTGCAGTCTTGTAAGTATAACGCCTTCTCTCGCGCCCGTAATCTCAACGTACCATCCTGGAGGAAAGCAAACTCGTTCGCATATGACACAATTTCGAATCGATCAGGGAGGCATTCTAGTAGCGAAACTGCCATAAGGTTGTGTTTGTGGCCAAGTCCTCCTTTGTAATTCGGTATAGGCGCAACTAAGTCTCTCCAGTCTTCTTGTGCCTTGAATGTTCCAATCTCTTCCAAGTCTTCGTTTATATATGCTTGCGTACCGGAAGGCCGTCATAAAGGTCGTCGGCTTCGTACTGGGACGAATGCAAAATATTTGAATATTGGTATTTCATGATAGAAGCAATTATCTGAAAAAGATAAAATAAAATTGGGTTTAAAGGTTTTAAAGAACGTTTATAAACGTAGTAAATAACGTGAAATGACTTTATTATATATAACAATATTTATGTTGTTATCAATCAGGTAGGTATTTCAAGTTATAGCCTGGCAGTTAATATATATTCAGTGAAATATATATTTCTCAAAAGTATACCTTTTTACATTGGTCTTAGCATCTTCAGCGCGTTTATTGTCCAGTATATTTTCAGGGTTATTCATCGACTATGGTTACAATGAACTGTCATGCAACACAATGTTGATCAATCAGGACCAATCGTACGTATCAACTCAAAGGAGCTATCAATTGTTCAGTTAAATTTCTATGATAACGTCTACATATCCGGGAACATGTGACGAACTCAAGGACACAGGCATCATCGCAAGCGCCGCAAGCCACTCGGACTTATCGAGGTCCGGTAGCCATATCCAAGATATCTCTAGCGGGATTCTGCGTTGGTTGAACCCAAAAGCGGAATGTTTCAATGTGTGGAAAGCTGTTCGTCTAAGTGGAGGCAAAGGTGGAGGATTATGAATATGATATATGGTGGTAACCTAACGGCAAATAATTGGTGATATTGATACTAATTAAGCCCATATGTAACAAGACTTATAAGAAAGGGATAAGTTGTTGGTTTGTGCCCTTTTTTCAAATAATGCTGTAACTTTGTAACCTGGTAATCTACTGAATGAGATCATTCTACCTCTAACACTCTCGTCCATTAATTTCTCTCCTCATAATCTTCTCTCACTCTCAGGCTTATTCCACATGTAAGCCGCCACTATGCCGCCCGCAGAGGATGGTGCCGCCTTCGACATCATCATAATAGGCGCAGGTTTGTTGTCAGTTCTGATCCATGTGATACGACGACTGACGACTCTCTCCAAGCCTTACTAGAATCATCGCAGCCCAGCGTTTGCTTCAAGCACACCCCGAGACACGGCTAACTATTCTAGAGCGCGATTACTGCGTAGTTGGAGTATGGAGTGAGCGTATGAGATCCGAAACGTCGATCCGTGTCATTTATTGACATTCTATAGGACGAGTCTATCCTAGCTTTTGGATGCAATGGACACATGGCATTGCCGAGTTCTCCGATATGCCTATGGAATGACCACCGGCTGAAGATTGCATGCATGACTTGTTCCGTGCCAAGTATACAACAAAATATCTCGAAGATTATGTCCACAACATGAGTCATGCTGGACAGACGTTGCGAGATAGAATACAATTCAACACTCATATCGAGTCCATCAGGAAGGCCAATGGCCAATGGGAAATCATGTGCGTTGATATGACTAGCGACTCTCAGTGGTCAATCTTCTCCTCGAGACTCATGATGGCAAATGGCCAATCTTCGGTCCCCAACATGCCCAACTTCCCCGGAAAGGAACATTTCCGTGGGAAGGTCATCCATTCGGTTGACTTTGGCCAATCTGACGTCGTCCAAGACAAGTCGATCCAACACATTGCCGTTATTGGCGCGGGAAAGTCGGCTGCCGATATGGTGTATGAAGTAGTCAAGGCGGGCAAGACCGTATCGTGGATTATTCACGAAACCGGGAACGGCTCACTTGGAGCTGCAGCCTTCGCACCTATTGACTTGCCCACGCCGTACAAGAACGGAGGTGAAGCGTCGCAGGCAAGGATAATGGCATCGCTGCAGCCATGCTACTTGATTCCCTACCAATCGTGGTGGACATGGCTTCTCCACAGCACCAGGCTGGGCGCGAAGCTCATCAATAAGATCTTTTCACTTCTAGATAAATCAGTCCGAAAGTATGCTGGTTATCGAGAGAGGAAGAGTGACAAAGGGTTTGAAAAGTTAGAATACGATAATGAGTGAGTTTATTGCATGGTAGTTGCTGCTTAATTTAACCCGTGGCAGATGCTAACATTTCCAACTATAATTTGGCAGAAAAAACCGCTGGAGGCTGTCACTTCGCAGACTTCTGGCCCCTTGTCGCGGAGAAGGTCTATGTATATCGTGGCGACGTAAAGCTTCTAGACGGAAACGAATTGTATCTCAACGACAAGAACGGCACGCACTTCCCTTGTGATGCTGTCCTCTGCGGAACAGGCTGGAAAAGCGGACTTGATATGTTCGAAAACCATACGCTCATGGAGCTAGGGTTACCATATCCCAAAGATATTGAGCCACAAGAGGTAACTGCAAAGTGGGAAAAGCTCGTTGGCAAGGCAGACGAGCAGGTCCTCAGAAGATTCGTCATGCTCAGAAATCCGCCAAAGCACTATCATAAGTAGCTATGAACCACGTAGTCGCCGGGGCGAAACTATTTGGTGCCGAGGCACAAGCTATCTGGGCAGTAGCTTACTGGGACAAGGCGTTTACGCTCCCCTCCGTAGCAGAGAGGGAAGAAGATATCGCGCACATGATTGCCTGGAACAAGCGACGTTATCTGTCGAACGGCGAGCTTGGAAATTTTGCTGCCTTTGATAGCCTCCCGTATGTAGATAGGCTCTTTGACGAAATCGGCGTTACGTCACATCGAAAGAAGGGCTGGCTAGGAAACATGTTCGCTCCCATCATGCCTGCTGATCTAGGTAAGGTGTGGCATGAATATCTCTCACGGCAAACTAAGGGATAGTATTCAGCCTATTAAGGAATTGAAAGTGTTACTTATCTTGTACACCAAGGTCTAAAAAGTAGGCCACTTTAAGCAATAATATGCCCAGGGTAAAAACGTACAGAACATTGTGTCGCGACCTAATAAGTGTTAGGTAACCTGAGAATGTTATTTTTCTTGTAGTTTTGGCGGCCAGGTCGATGAATGTGGTATCCGGATCCTATCACCAGCGCCTTATTATCTCGCACATCTATGCACGGAGCCAAAGAGAGCCTGGATAATATTAAACTTGTCAGTATTCTAGGGCAAATATAGCTACATATTTGCAAAGACCGAAGCTAAGCCACTATCTCTTAGGTAGCCCCGAGCTAGACATCTTATACATATGGTGTATCTGCTACTAGAAAAGCGCGTGGGAAATACCTACTTCATATCTTGATCATGAAAAGTTAGTGCATTAGGAATCAAGGACATGGTTATGGCCGATTTCATAAAGGGGGGGGGTGCACAGCCGGCCGTAGAAGCAGGCTCTCTAGTGCTGTCAGGCATTTTTATCAAAGCCTTCGTTGATACTTTATTCAGCCCAACGTTACACAGCATGTTTTATAGAAGCTCTAATAGGTCGAAGAACCAGCGATACATGCCTAATCTGCCTCGCCGTCCACGAATCATATGGTGAGATGGTTTAAACTGTAATGTTTAAAGGAGGGCTCCTCTGTTTAATTTTACTAGAGGCTTTTCTTTTCTTTTTGTGCCCTCCCCCATCCTTCAGGGAGGATCCATGCCAATGGATCCTTTCTCCATCGTGACTGGCATTGCCGGTCTCGTTTCGCTCGGCCTAACAGTCTCAGGCGGACTAATTCAATACTGCAGAGACTATAAATCCCAGGATACAGATCTCGTCAAATTGACGCAACATGCCCAAGAGCTTGAATCATTACTCAGCCTTATTGAAAGTCGAACTGCTGGGTCACAGGGTCCTAGTGGAGATATCACTACTTCATTGCAAAAATGCCGAGATGCTTGCGATGACTGCTTGTGGGAGTTTAAACGGCTGAATGCTAAATACGCCGGCTCGAAGCCTAATCAGACCTTCAACGGACGTAGCCGGAAACTCGTTCATGACTTGAAATATCCATTTGATAAAGGGAAATTTGATGATTGTCGATCTCAGCTTCAAGAGTTCAATGCTAAATTGCTCGGGTACTTGCAATTGGTTAACCTGTAAGTCCCGGACTCGTATCCAGCCTTCTTTACTAATTTGTTTTGCTATGGAGCGACGTTACTCGAGATATGAGGTGCACTATGATTCTCGAATTTGCGCAAGTCACTACAGCTGTCGACTCCGCAGCAAGACAACTTCAATTATCTATCACAAATACCAACAATGCGGTGACCAGTACGATACGTGATGGCGTCGACCAGCTAGAAGAATCATTCCGACGAAGCCTTCGAGGTACAGAGGAAAATATGACAAGTTCTTTGGCAGTTATGGGACGTGGGCAAGAAAGACAAATATCAGAAATGTCAACTATTACTCGTCGCCTGGACCAGATTTCCCAAATGATACAAAACCAGAACATGGCACAGACATCAAGTACTTCAGTCGAAAACCGAATAGCATTAGATATGTATAAAATGAGCAATACTTTCCAGGATAGTAGCTCGATAAGAACACCATCTTCAATAATGTCTGGAAGAGCTATTCTCTGCGACTGCCCAAAAGCGCGGCACGGGTACTCAAGTACGCGACATCGAAAAGATTGCCTATATTCGTTTGCCAATAAGAAGAAACAGACCTTCTCTACGAGGTTTCAAGCTTTCCGACACCAAGTTATCTGGACGTGGCAAGTCGAATACTCTCCACTGGCGTGGGCTCGAAGTTGGCAAATACACCGCAATCTCACGCTTCGAGCCACTGTACCAAGAAGTGCTCCTTCGTTTGAACTAATGTTAGAAATAGAATCCAAGTTGTACGACAGAAAAATAGTCACCATACAAGAACTAGGAAGCGTCCTCCAAGACTACTTAGGTGAGCTTCAACTAATATTTGCAAACGGCAAGGGGTGGCCAACGGATGTGGATGAATATGGAGATAATTTATTGCATGTACGTTGAATCAATTGACTGCCCTGATAATGATACTCGCTGAACCTTACTATGGATGATCTACTTACTATAATTTGAATGCTTAGGAGGCTCTACGCTCGATTTATTGGTATCTTGATGTCTTGGAACCTAAAAGAGACGAAGAACTCTCAACTATATTCTTACAGTTCATAAACACTTTGGTTCTTATGGGAGTACCAATCAATGATATGAACGATCATGGGAAGTAAATTTCACCGGTTTAAAAGGTGTAAAAGACCTCAGGACACTAGCTAACGATACACTAGAACACCTCTACGAACCGCGATAAACTATAATATATTCGTGGATAACGCCTTACCTGTGTGGGCCAACGTGATCAATAAGTTAATAGATATGGAAGCTACGATCAACGAAAGCTACATACCCTATGAGATCATGAACTTCTTGTCCATAAATAATCCTGACGTATATGATGGTAAGGCCCTTAGATCATCCCCGCTTTATATTACGCGATACTCATAACCATCAACCTACCTTAGACTTTAGTTGCACTGAATTCTTATATGAGGTGCTGCTTCGCTCAGAATCTAGCTTCGTTCGCCTCCGTGCCGACCCTTCTCTGATATTCGAGCGCACCAAGGGGGGCCAAACAGCATTCCACTTAGCTGCCAACTGGCCTAAAGGCATCTCGACTCTGATCGAATGTGCGGGCTGGGAGATAAAATCTATAATCAACGCGAATGATACATACGAAATGACCGCTCTAGAATACGCAATAGAACTAGATGAACCAGGTTCCGTTCGACTATTACTTGATGCAGGGGCAATTATTACAGAATCTCTATTCTATACCCTTGGAAATATAAGAAATGAAAACCGGGAGGTAATGCAGATTATAATTACATATCTCGCACAGCAACAGAAAGGATTATTGAAGCTTGCACTGCAAAATCTTCCAGTCGAGATAGTCGACAAGCTTGAATTGAAGGAGGATGAAATACTTGACTTTGACGACAAAGCATTCGATGTTGCCGAAGCTCTCAGGCAACAGCAAGTCCCAATACCTGACACTTACTATATCCCAAAACTCGACCCCGTCTACTATCGGCTTGCTTGTAGTGCTTCTATAACCCAAATGTTATTTGACGCTGGGTTTCAGAGGACGAATATGATATTTGCTGGATATACCCCACTAATGACCCTATCATACTACCATCGGGGTCTCGCTTCCTACTTAGAGCTGGTCTACTGGTTCGAAGATCACGGCACTGATCTCCGTATGCCAATTCCTATCCCTGGGCATTATACCATCGCATCGAATCCAGAACGACTGGAGCCAGTTCATCCAGCTATACATAAAGTATCATATGAATTAGGTAAAGAGCTATTCTTTTCGACGAATAAGAGTATGAAATTATCTACGAAAATGATATCTCGATTTGCAAAGCTACTTCAAGACGAATACGCAGATCCTTGTCTTTGCTATTGTACTCCCAACGGGTGCACTTCGGCTTCAAAGTACGTGCATGCGTTCTATGGTGAAATTAATGGGATTAGTATATCTGAAAGAGCGGTGGATGGGATAAAATTAACCGAAGCAATGACTGGCCATAATCTAAATACAGTGGCGTCGGGCCTGATTCGTGTCATGACATTTGAGGAGCTTGGTATGAAGCATACCTGTTGTAGATATAGAAACAAAAGGTACTACAGCCTCCAAGAAATCATTGAGGAAGGGTTGCTTATTCTCATGGAGCCGGCGGAGATTGAAGAAATACGAGAGGAAGACCGATATCTAGCAGAACAGCTAGACTCTTTAATGGAGGAGTTTGAGGCAAAACTACAAGAGATGGGCGTGCCATTGAGTAGCTTTGTAGAGAATTGTTGGCTGCCAAGGATGGAGGAGGTGAAGAAGGAGCGAGATAAGTTGTCTGCCGGGGAGTCGCAAGCTATGAAGGAGATCGGCGTCGTGCTAGAGGAATCCTGAGGGCGTTTTAGGCTGGTTACCTTGACATTCTAGTCACTTTATCATTCCATTATTTATATCTCTATTATGGTATAGCATGAATTCTTTCTTGTAACATACTCATAAGTAATGATAGCTATAAAGTCCTGCTCAGGGATAGCACTTAGCCACTCACTACGAGAACTTCGCAACCTAAGCCCACCCAAGACAATTGCCATAGCACATAAGCGGAATCAGATCTTCAAAAGTTCATTAGCTTCAATAATCCGGTTTGCGTGACCATTCAGCGCGATCTTCAACATAGCCCTGGCAAGATGATCTACCGCGATAAACCCGCTCGTGTTAGCAGTAAGTGCATTTATCACCCCGGCGTACTTTTTCACGATTCCACCGGGTCGCACGGCCCAAACATCGAACGTATCCTTGTTAGCCTCTGCGATATCGAAAAGACCTTTCTCGACTTGTCCCTAAAATATTCGCAGTTAGACTCCACGGCCACTAAGTAAGTCACCGCAGACTTAGGAATCTCTATAGTTATGAGTTATCAAGCGCCTACTTTGATAAGCCGAGTATCCCTCATCATCTTCAAGTTCTTGTTCTGGTCCCACTCGGCAAACTTCCCGCTACAAAAGACGAATCGGAATTTTCGAGACCCCTTTTTTTTCTCTATCGATCAGTCTAGTCCATTTATTATACCTAGCAGACTCACTAACCTCCGGCAGCTTCGATGCCAGCTCGGTAAAGGCTTTCGCCGCTGCGAGAGTGTAGTCGACCGAGACTTTCCGTGCCGTTTCCACGTCCGGAAACTGCGTGGCGCGGCCTCCGATGGCCCTTTGCCATGTGTAAGTCGTTATGAGCTCTTGGCGGTACTTGTTTGAAACTCACCAAATACAACCCTCTGCGCCGGTGAGTTGTGCTAAAAGCTCCGGTGGGTAGGTGGAAAAGTCCTTGTGTTCAATTATGGTAAGTTTTGTATTCTTCGAGAGGTCTTCGGGTAGCGGCTTGCGAGTGAGGACGAATGCTTGCGTGATCCCCTCATCTGCAATCGCCTGTCGGACCACCTCGCTTCCAACGAATCCTGTGGCGCCTGTGATGATGATTTTCATTTTGACAGGAAATTTGCTGAACAATATCAAATATCTAGTTAATAGTTAAAGTTATGTTTAGGTTAACAAGAATAAGGTCGGAGGGGTCCAACATGGTTAGATTGGTGGTTGCAATATAGTCAAATCAAGAAATTTATACTGTTACATTGCACTACGTCAGTTACTTATTCAAATTAGCTAAGCTATAATAGGTAATTGGCTATTATTGAAAAGTTATTTAAACACAAAAAAATCATTACTTATGAATAGGACATTGTAGAATTTATCCGAGTATTTGATAAGTCTTGATTGAATCCAGTTGTCAAATCAAAGAACTAGCCTAAGTCGTTAAAGCATAGAAGGTTTCTAGCGCTGATGAAAACTAAAAGACTACTAATTTTAGTGACATATATAGCGTAGCGTAGAACTAATAATTTTCTGGAGATGCCAAGTCCCATCATTTGCTACTAAACCGGATAATAACATATACTCAGTTCTAAGACAAGTCCTTGTACTCCTCCTTGTATACAACCCCATCTTTCATAACAAATTTCACCCTCCTCAGCGCACTAAAGTCTTCGGTCGGATTACCATCAACAGCAATTATATCAGCTGCAAATCCTTTATCCAACACCCCAAACCTTCTGCCACAGAGATCCCCACCACATGCCTCCCAGCCGTGTAATGTCGCTGCTTGTAAGACATCAAGGACGGGTATACCCGCCTTCGCCATCAGTTCCAGCTCAAAAACATTCTCTCCATGCGCGAAGGCGCCCGTATCGCCACCCGCGGCGAACTTGATTCCCCAATCAAAGGCAGCTTTAATGTGTTTGAGGATAGCTTTCATTGCATCACTATCGTCCCCTAATGAAACCTGATAGACTGCTAGTGTTGGCACGAAGATGGTGTTGTTCTCTTTCATTGCCTTTAGAGGCTCTTCGCTAGGCATGTAACCGTGCTCGATAGATGTGACACCCGCGTTAGCCGCCATTACGACAGCATCGGGGCTCTGTGCATGAGCGCAAATAGGAGCACCCGAGCGTTTTGCCTCTATCACCATCGCGTTCATCTCTTCTTGAGTGAATTGGAGGATATTCGGATTCCTTTCCCCGGTGATAGCATCGTCGGACGGAGGAAAGGCAATGTCTTTCTCGCCTACCCAGCTGGGCTTTGGATACCTTAACGCCCGCTTCCTATAGTCGGCGTAGAACTTGATGATATCAGCACCAGCCCCCAAGCGCCGGCGGACAGCTGCTCTGACACCATCGACACCGTCAGCGGGGTCTGATATTCGAGGCGTAGTCTGGCCGACTCCAGGAAGACCATTCTCCACCCGTATCTCGTAGCCCCCGCTAGAAGCAATGCATTCCGTCGCCACGAACATGCGAGGCCCAGGGATTATGCCACGATTAATAGTATCCCTAAAACTCACGTCGGCATCTCTTAGACCTTCAGTACCTAAATCACGGTAGGTAGTGTAACCGGCCATCAAAGCGGCTCTGGCGTGATTCGTAGCTCTTACTACCCTTTCGACAAAGCTCTCATCGCGCATCTGGTTCAATGCAGATACCTCGGAGTATGAATGTAGAAATATATGAGTATGAGCGTCGACGAGGCCTGGGAGAACAGTCAGGCCTCGGAGATCAATTGTGTTCGGTTGCGACGCATCATCGACTGGCCCGTCCCGCTTATACACCCTTGTTATTAAACCAGTGTTGACGTCAATCAAGATGGACAGGTCCGAAACGAAGCGTTTCTGCTTCGAGTCGAAGAGAGAAGACGTGTGCACGGTGATCTCTTTGCTCATATTGTCCAAAATAGGTTCTCTGAGGAGCGTCATCTGAAAGCAAACATATATATTATAATTTATGAGAGATGAATGTCCTGTGTTGAATATAATTTAAGATGGAACGATATATGTACCTAACCTAGGTAGTTCGGAGTATTGCCTATTAAGGAGGGTGGACGAGCTGATTGGACGGTAACGAATTCGGCTCACATTGGCATATTCTTATGCTCGTAAATCCTCATAAGGGGCTAGCTCGGACGGTCTACAAACACTATAGCGTAAAAAAAATATCGTATTTCTGTGTAGGTGTTCCTATCATAAGAGGCGTTGATCCAGAAGAGAAAGGCAGAAATATTAACCTACTACATGACGCTGGACATAGCATATCTGCCCCCTACTATTACCAAGGAGCAGCAAAATGCAATATTTCCCTAGGACTTAGAATAATTATATTTGTTAGGATCATTAGTTCCTAAGATTTGAGATACTCTCACCAAGCTCTCAATGCTAACCCTTATGCTCCTGGTAAGTATTAAATAGAAACAATAGCCTAAGCTAGTCGATCTCAACACTCTTACCCTAGTTTTCTTTTAGTATCAATTACTTGCAGTTTCACTTCGAGGACAAGTTAGTCTTTGTTTTCGTGGTTAACAGATTCTTTTTATGAAATAATACTATGACTATTAATTATTAAGATTACTATTCTAATATATTAATAACAAGCAAGAACCACACCCCAAGAACTCCAAAAATATAGTACGTCTTAACTCTTGTATTATCAAGACTACCCGCCCGGGTGGTGTGATGGTCTCTTAAAGATCGTAGTTCCATTTAGATGCAGAGCTTTGGACTCAACCCCAAGTTCCTAAACTTGAGTGATATCATCACGCAGTTACATCGTTAGAAACCAGCGTTCCTCATTAGCAGAGCTAGACTATGATATAGAAATAACTTAGCCTTATTTAGCGTGCGTAGAGCATTTACCAGGCTTGGTAACTATTACTTCCGTGTAAGGAGGCGAACAGGGCGAATCTGGGAGGTGTACAACCTGGGGTGGAGCCCATTCGCAACCACAGCCCGCATAGGTATGGAAGTTCTTATAACACATTGTGAGAAGTTGTAATATAGTAAAAACTATTAAATACCGAGTATTGTTAACCTTAATTGAAGGCAATTATTAGTTTCTAAAATAATCGCTATAAGTAACTTCTACGGCGTGGATAATATTTCCATCGTAAGGCATAGAATAACTAATCCCATTTATAGAACGACCCTGGAAACAATCATGTACAATATAACTATGCAATTATCAATTGCTTAGGCCTTTCGGTTGGCTTCAAGACTCTTGAGAGGAGCCTGATTCTGAACAATATACTACACTCATGTTTAAACACATGTTGGTGCTAAGCTGATGTACTAGGCCAATGTCTTTATCCCAGTGTACAATTTAACTCCCACTAACGCGTCCAGAGGTAAGGTCCAATATTGAACCATGCCTATGTGTAATTGATCATTTATAGGTGAGCGCCCATTATACTAGCTACAACGACTAATTTTGTCGGTAGGGTCAAGTGAAAAGAGCTAGATAGTTTAGAAAACTGAACGCTATGCTACAACTCAGGGATGATAGTCCCGTGTTCATGATGTGGAAATTTAATTACAGATGAAATGCGAAATGGTGGTAACATCACTTCAGCTTTTTCTGGCTCTGATCCTCACTGAGTAACTTCGTTATCTCGCTCATTCGGAAAGTGCGCCAACAGAAGGCATCAACAAACCACTCGCCTATGCATGTCCCAAGCCATACGACATCCGCCAGACCGCCAGACCAGAACCAATCCGGTCGTCCGAACCAGCGTCTTAGTATCGCAGGAACCTCCGGGCGCAAAGAGTCATTGACTAACTTTTTAGCAAACGTCTCCGTAGGAAAGGTAGACGCATTCTGACTGAAGACAACTCTCCATTCGAATATCTCCTTGGCGCGGCTATAGAGACTATTTTCCGGTAGGTCACGAAGAGGTTGGGCAGCTGTATTGCTTTTGACCGTACCAGTCATCGATACCATCACGCGAACTCCGAGGGGCGCTAGCTCCATTCGTAAGGCACGCGAATAACCTACGACAGCGGCCTTGCTCGCACAGTAGACCGAGCCGAATACATAAGGGGTCACAGACGAAAGCGAGGAAATATTGATGATCAAGCCCTTTGCTGCGATAAGCTGGTCTATAAAGGCTTGCACCATGGCCATTATCGAGAAGACGTTGGTTTCAAAGGTCTGTCGGACATCTGACAATGAAATATCTGTCGCAGGATGGGTATGTGTACGGCCGCTACAATCCAATAAGCAATGCAAACAAAATGGCGATAAAGAAATGTGAAAGCTTACGCATTGTTCACGAGAATATCCAGCCTACCACCGGTGAGTTTCGCAACTTCTTCGTGGCACTGTTTGATGCTCTCGGCATCGGTAACGTCGAGCGGCAGAGTGCTTATGCCCAGCGCCACGAGATCGGCCAGCACCTCGGATCTTCGGGCGGTAGCAATTACATGGAGACCTATACCCATATTAATCCAATGTCTTCCTTGAATAAGATAGGGAGCTCTACCGCGTTGATGATATTCCAGGCATATGCCGTGTCCAATGCCACCTGGGGTACAACTACAAATGCGCATGTCAGTAACGGGCCTTCAAACAAAATCATCTCACAACTCACCCAGTTATGAGAACTGTCTTCTGTCCCGGTTTAGGTCCCGCCATTTTGACAGGTTTAAAGCGTTAGGTATGGATGGATTATTTGCATATAAAGTTCCTAATGGTCGTCGTTCTAATCGTTGTTCTAATGGAGGCGGAAGCTTGTACGTGTGGGGTATAGATACTAAGGTACCCGTGTACTTCAAATAGAAGCAAAACCCCCACTCTCGGATTACCTACCTTAGCGTCTTGCTATGGGTTGACATAACTGTATATATTCGGCTCAATTATCCTAATCTGTACATATACTGTTTATTACAATATACCGCTCAAATTATTTACGTATCCCTATTTTTACCATTCATTAGTTAAATAGTATTGGTACGGCTCCCCCGCCGCACGTGCCAATATTTTTAAACGTACATGGGGTAAAGCCATATTTATACTGTTTATTTGAATAAGCGGTATAAATATCGTTTAATTAAAATGAGCGGTTTAATTTTTAAACCGTTTAAAAATATAAACCGATTAATTAAATAAGCCGTATATTTATAATTTAATATAAATAATATATAATAAATTTAATTAAATAAACATACCAATTAAATAAATTTAATTAAATAAACTTAATTAAATAAATTTAATTGATTTAATATGTGTGGCTTTGTATGTGGCTTTATATGTGGTATGTAATATGTGGTGTGTGTGCATTTACTTTGTTAAATACATATATATCATACTAAAAATATCATGTACGTGCGCGCGTAACGTGACTATTGATATTGATTGGTTTATTTGAATGATGTCCGTAATTTGACCAATTGAAAAAATAGATCTTGTGATTTTATAACTGTAATATTTACTTAAGTAAAAAAATAAATATGTGACATATAAATAATAAAAAGTACAACGTTATATAATTAATATAATAACATTATATAATTAATATAAAGTTATATTTTTTTTTTATTACATATGTTTATATATTATATAAACCGTTTAAATTTTAAACGGTTTAATTATAATAAATTGTATTTATACCATATAAATACGGTTTATTATATAAGCGGTTTATTTTAATTTAACGTTTTTTTTTTAAAACGTTTATAATTTTTTAAATTATTTAATTAAATTTAACGGTTTAAAATTTTAATTATAATTTTTTTATATAAATATTAATATAATTTAATTTTTTAAATAATATATATATAATTTAATTTTTTAAATAATATATATATAATATATATACCGTTTAATAAACTTTTTTATAAACGTTAAAATATTTTTTTTTTATATAACATGTAAATATTTTATAAAATACCAAATTTCCAATTAATTCGATTTAAAAAAATCGAGGTATAAATGTATATTTAATTTAATTTTATATAAAATAAAAATATTAATTTAATATTATTAACGTTTATTAAAAATTAAATTTTGTTTTAATTTTTATTTATTTATTTGTTAATTATTTTATTATTTATAAATGGATTTAAAAATACATATAAATTTTAATATATATGTATTAAAAGTTATTACTTGTTTAATTAATTGAAAAATACGAATTACATGTTTTTTTATTGGTTTTTATTAAACGTAAACTTTTATTAATAACATATATTTAATTATTTAATTTATTTTTATGTATATTTATATTACGTTATTTATAAAACAATTTAATAACTTATAATTTAAAGTTTTTATTATTATAAATGACGGGTTTATATAAATAAATAAAAATTTAAATATATTTTAAATATATTTTTACGTTTATTAATATATATTATAATAAAGTTTTAATAAAATTTAAAATAAATTTAATATATTAATAATTTTTTAAAATTTTAAAATTTATAAAAATTTTTAATTTAATTTAAAAAATCTTAATTTATTTATAAATAATTTTAAAAAATATATTTTTATATTTAATTTTTTTATATTAATATATTAATTTTATAATATAATTTATTTATATTATTTTATAATATATTTTATTTAATAATTATAAAAATAATTATTTTAATTGTTTAATTAATTTTTAATTACTTTATATTTTAATTAATAATTTTTAACCATATTATTTATATGATAAAATTTAAAAAAACGCATGCATTTACAAGTTCGCGCAAACGTTTTTACGTGTTTATAACACGGTAAAATCCGTTAAAAACATTTAAATATTTTAATGAATTTTAACCAATTATTTTTTTTATTAACTTATTAATTTCTTATCATTTATTAAAAAATTACTTATCAATTTTTTATCAATTATTTATCAATTATTTATTAATTATTTATTAATTTTTTATAATAATTTTTAAAAGTTTTAACGTAAAAAATGTTTTTAATAAATTATTTTTTTTTTTAATATATTTATTTTTAAATTATTAAAATTAAATTTATAATAAAAAATTTACGTTTTTTAATAAAGTTTAAAAATCTATAAATTTATTTAAATTTTATAAATAAAATATAATAATTGTTTATTTTATATTTTTGTTTTTAAAATATTTATAAAATTTTTAAATTTAATATTTTTTATTAACCATTTATTTTATTTAATTAAATATTTTATATTTTTTTAAATTTATATAAAATCTTTCATTTTATTTATTTTATAATTTTTAAATTTTATTAAAATTATTTTTTATAAAATTTAATTAATATTAAATAAAGTTTAATTATTAACGTAATAAAATTTAATAAATAAAATATAAAAAAAATTATAAATTCTTTATTTTTTAAATAATTGAAATTTAATAATAATAAGGAATATTACTTTTTAAATTTTAAAAAAACCAAATATTTTTTTTTTAATTTTTTAATTAATTATTTAATTTTAATATTTTTTATATTTAATATTATTAATTATTTTTCTTTAAATATTAAAATTTCCTTTTTTTTTATTTATTCATTTTTTTATTTATTATTAATTTTTTTTAAATATATTTATATATTTATATAAATTTATTTTTTTTAATATATATATATAAATAATTATTTAAATTTTTAAAAAAATTTATTAAAAAATTATTAATAATAAAATAAAAGTTATAATTTATATAAAATGACGTTATATATATTAAAAATAATATTATATTATTATATATAAATTTTATTATAAATAATAAATATTTTAAAATATATTTTAAATATTTAATTAAATTATTTAATTTAATTATTAATTTAAAAATAAAAAATAATATTTATTTATAATTTAATATTAATAAATTTAAAGTTTTAATTAAAAATAATATTTAAAAAAATTTCATATAATTTTTAATAAAATTTAATAAAAATTTTAATTAAATTAAATGTTTTTTTTTAAAAAAAAATATAAAATATATTATTTTAATAAAAAGATTAATTATAATTTAAATAAAATTATAACTATTTAATAAAAAAAATTAATAATAAAATCCATGGTAATAATATATTATAGTTAATAATATAATTTTATAAATTAAAATAAAACTATTGCTATTGGTACACCCTCGTTTTGCTATCGGGGCTTATTGGTACACCTAGTACATTCAAATACATCCCACCCATTTTCAACTCCTATTATATCAACCATTATAACTTATTCAATACCATAATGATATTTATATGATTAATATTGCTATTTTCGCCTCAATTGGTGCTTTCTAATGATATAAGTTTCAATTAGATGCATACGTTACTTCAAAAGTTATTTGAATATATATATTTAATTGAATGTAAATGCGACCGCAAAAGAGCCTCCTGCAGAGCCTCATTCCAATGCCTTATCGAATATATCAACCCCCATAACTTATTCAATCCGACAATCCAACTTGTATAATTTGAATCGCTAGTGTCGCCTCAATTAGGACTTGCGAAGGATATAATTTTCGACCTGATGCAGGCCTTTAATATAAAGTTATTCAAGTATGTCTGGTGGTGGTGGTGGTGGTGGCTCTTGGGGAGACCACGTGATATCCTTTCGTGCGGTCGCATCTGCATTGAATTGAATATATACTCTAATAATTTTTGAAGGAATGCATGCATCCAATCGAGACTTGGATTGTTAAAAAGCCCAAATTGAGGCGAAATTAACGATCCAAATTATATAAGTTAAATTGTCGGATTGAATAAGTTATGAGGGTTGAAAGGTTGAAATGTGGTATAGTTGAAGTAATTGAAAAAATTGGTGGGGATGTACCTGTTGTACAGGGTGTACCAATAAGCCTCCGATAGCAAAATGAGGGTGTACCAATAGCAATAGTCTAAAATAAATTATAAAGTATATATTTATTAATTTTATTATATTAACATTTAAAATATTTTTATATATATTTTTTTATTATAACTTTAATATTTAATTACCAAAAATTTTATATAATAAATTTTAAGATTTTATTTATTTTTATATATTTTATTATTAATATATTATATTTTAATTTTATAATATTTTTTTAAATATTTTAAAATATTTAAAATTAATTTTTTTTATATAAATTTTTTTTTTAATTTAAAATTGTGGGAACGTTGGTCATGTGACCTAGATGGGACAAACCCACTTATTTTATATATATTCCCACGTATTTTAATTTAAAATTAAAATATATATTAAACATTATTAATAATAATTTTTATTTATTATATATATAATATTTTTTTATATTATATATAATATTTTTATCTATTTAATATTAATTAATAATTAATGATAAATTAATTATAAATTAGTTAAATATTTAAAAAAAAAGAAATAGTTTATACGTTAAATTTTAATAAAAAAAAATAAGTAATTTTAAAATTTTATATTTTTATATATAATTTTAAATTTAAAATTTTATAATTTTATATATAGTTTTAGGAAATCTTATATTAATTTAAGATTTTTAAATAAAAGAAATAGTTTATATGTTAAATTTTAAATTTTAAGTTTATATTTATTACGTATAAATAAATAATATTAAAATTTTATTTTATTAAATAAATAATTTTAGGAAAATTTATATTAATTAATTTATATATTTATTACGTATTTTTATTTATAATATATAAAATATTAAAAAAAAGTAATAATATTATAAATTACA